AAGGAAACCTCGTTAGATAACTTTTGATAGGAGAGTTCCATATTTTTCTATCTTTGCTCTATTCCTGTGATTGATTGATTGATGACAATTTTTTCATTCTTAGCCAAGAGAACAAAGTCAGCTTTCTTAAATTTCTTAATCAACCCGTCATCTGATATGATTATTTTCTTCTTGTTGACTTAAAAGTAGAATTAGGTTGAAATGTACCAGGTACGCATTTTTAGAATGTGAGGGGAAATGCGGCTTTTTGAGAATTAAAATTTCTGCATTCTGAAACTTTTTAAATGACTTATTTGATAATGCCATATCACATTGAAAAGTATTATGTTGATTGAATTCATTGTATTATACTAAGATAACGGTCAGCCTTTAAAACTCTGGTTCTATAGATAGTGGAAGTGTTGCGCCCTTAAAGTCCATCAGTATATTATATTTTTTTTTCAATCCTGTACTTATATTTAGATAACAGGCAATACTCTCAGATCTGTACTTAGTGTCTTTTCGTTGTGTGGATTTATAAGTACCCGTCCACGTCCACTCTTTGTTTTTGTTAGATGTATTTCTATTTGTATCCATCTGATGAGTTAAGCCTTTTTCAACTGATTTTTATAGTTTGTTCTTATGTTGTACAGTTTCACCACTGTCCCAGGTTAGGGTAGGGTTGAACGCTCACAAACATGTTTAACCCCGCCACATTCTCTGTGTGCCTGTCCCAAGTCAGGAGCCTGTAGTTTAGTGGTTGTCGTTGGTTCATGTCTGTCATATTTGTTTTTCGTAAATTGTTTTGTTATAGATTATGCCGTTAGTTTTCTCAGTTGAATAGTCTCATATTTTTCAAGTCGCGGCCTTTTATAGCCGACCATACGGTATGGGTTTTTCTCATTGTTGAAGGCCGTACGGTTGCCTATAATTGCTTACATCCACTTCATTTGAACTTTGGTGGATAGTTGTCTCATTGACAATCATACAACATCTCCTTATTTTTATAATAGTAGTTTAGTTATCGATATTCAAAACAAGTAAAATTCATTTTGAATATAAAAAAATCAAGAGAAAATTTTAAGGGGATAGAATGAACTCCAAAACACACGAGATGTGTCGACATGGTGAACGGCCCCTAGGCTAACTCTTTGCATGTGCCACCCTTCGAGCAAACCAAGACTTTTCAAAATGCCAATAGGGAATAGAATTAACATAATTGGTAATTTTAAAGATATAAGACACATCGTGAGTTGAGACACTGACACCTAGAAAAACTTTCGAAGTGTCGATTTCAATTACGAATCCTCGTATAGAAGTTTTGGTGTTAAGAGCACACGCCTGTTGATGAAATCCGTCACGGTAATGTAAACATGTACGCACCTACTGTTTTAGTTGATATATGCAAACGCCGGTGTCTTCCTGGAATATCTACATTTTCAGTATAGTAAAATAGTTTATTTCAAACCAGAAGCAATACAGCTTATATGTATATCATAAATATATAGATATAGGAAGATGTGGTATGAGTGCCAATGAGACAACTCTCCATCCAAGTTACAATTTATAAAAGTAAACCATTATAGGTCAAGGTACGGCCTTCAACACGGAGCATTGGCTCACACCGAAATATACATGAATATCATAACAGAACATCTTAAATACAGTCGGAGGAAAGACTACAAAGTATAAATCATTCAAAGGATTATCCTGAAAAATGCCTACAATTTATAAAATATCTATTTCTCGAAAAAATTATTTTGCACCTTAAAATATCACTGTTTTCAATAAAAATGAAATTGAAATAGAATGAAATTACAAGGAAAATGGTATAAACACTTTTCAAAATAAAAAATATTTATAAAACTGAAACAAATAAATAAAATAAGTATAGTAGATGTTTTTTTTTTGAATTACCGAAACGGAGTGTTACTTAAAAATGGTAAACTTTGTGAAATGTGACCAGTCATGCTGTAAATTTCAAATACTAGTATATGTGTGCTTCACTTATATGTGATTGTGGTATGTGCTTTGATATTTATGTGTTTATGTGTTTTTGTTTTTTTGTTTTATCGTTATATCTTTATATCTATGTGCTTGTTTACATAATCATTGAGGGAGAAATCTGTTTGCGCAAAAATGCATCCTGTTGTGTTACAACTCATTTGCGCAAATAATGCGTTTGTGCCATTAGGTTTTAGACTACCTTTTATCATTTGCGCCAAAACGTTAGTATTCGATTACACCAATACGTACATAAGAGAACACTTTACAATTGAAAGGCGTGTTTGTAAAGACTTGCGAAAAAGGACTTCAGCCATTATTGGTATCCTTAATATTTAACTGAAAACATATATATTCCTTATTCGAGTTATCTTTTATATGCTTCCACTGAGCTGTTAACAAGAGTTTAACGGTTTGTTTGCATTCGTTTAAAAAAAAAGATTTCCTCATTTCAAACAAACAGAGAAAAAAATTTTCATTGCATACAGAATAAATTGCTTCACCGAGCGCAGCTGGATACGACCGCAGAGGTCCAACCCTGAACAATTGGGGCAATAATGGACACAATATTCGCGCTTGATACAGGTCTGAATTTGGATTGTAATTCAATATTTGACACATAATAGGTTTCTGACACAGAATAACTGTAGTCAAAGAACTTAGAATTGGTTATATGATTTGAATTTATATTCAAGTTTTTGCTTTTGTGCAATACACTATTCTGTTGCGAATTGATTTCCCCCCCCCCTTTTTTTCAAAAAAAAAATTGAAGGATTTTCTTTTTGATTTCTGAAATCTTGAGGAGAAAAAATTGTCCCCCACCCCCCACCTATTTTTTTTACCCCCACCCCCATTTTTTTTAACCTCCCCCTTTTATTCCCCAAAAAATTCTTTCCCTCAGTCATGGTTATAATTTCAATTCAAATTTCCAATGGAGTTTGCAACCATAATAACCCATTTAAATACATCATATAAGTCTTAAAATAGAAAATGACATACATAATCAAAGTTAAATTAATTTACCTTAATCAGCATTTTTTAAAATTATTAAAATAGTAACTTTTAATTTAAAAATGAATTAACAGCTAATCACCTCAAGACAATACAAACATTCTTTATACATAATTTAAAAGCAGTGTAAGGGTGGTAATTCAAAGTTCTGTTTGAATTACCTCCCTTACACTGTAATTTGTACTTAATTACATTATAATTAACATTAACCAGGACACCCTTGTTTTTCTCTCACTTTTTTGCCCCTAATTCCTAAACGGTTTGAGCCATAACCCCCCACCCAAAGCCAATCCTAACCATCCCTTTGTGGTATGGAAACTTGTGGTATAATTTCAGAGAGATCCATACACTGTTCCACAAGTTATTGTAATGAAACTAGAAAAATGCTTATTTGGGCCCCTTTTTGGCCCCTAATTCCTAAACTGTTGGGACCATAAACCCCAAAATCAATCCCAACCTTTCTTTTGTGGTTATAAACCTTATGTTTAAATTTCATAGATTTCTATCTACTAATACTAAAGTTATTGTCCGGACACCAAATGTCTTCGGACGACGACGACGAATTTTTTGCGGTCGTATAAAAATTGCAAAATTTCCTTAAAATTAACAATTCAGGGGCAGCAACCCAACAACGGGTAGTCTGATTTGTCTGAAAATTTCAGGGAAGCTAGATCTTGACCTGATGAACAATTTCACCCATTATCAGATTTTCTCTAAATGCTTTAGTTTTGGAGATATAAGCCAAAATCTACATGATACCAATATACGACCGCAAATTTTTTTGCGGTCGTATAAAAATTGTAATCTTACCTTGAACTTTAATTGGAAGACTTGGGATACCTGAACAAATTATCATTACTAAATGTTTGATAACACCTAATTTTAATCAGATACTATTCTTTGAAGGCCAACATATTTATACAATATTTTGTCGGCATATCAAAGGATGTAAGCATGTTTTGCTCTTTGGTCGGGTTGTTGTCTCTTTGACACATTCCCCGTTTCCATTCTCAATTTTATTCAAGGAATAAACCGTAAACGCCCATACAATCGGACAGCAGTATGTTACTACTTAGAAATGGGAAGTTGGCAATGAGAAACTGACATCATCATAGACCCTAGTTTATAGCTGTGCATTTGTGTCAGTTTCAAGAAAAAGTTCCAGATTTGAAGCAGACCTTCTTGTTTCGGTAGTATCTTTATTATACTCGAAGCTCGCTGGGATATGTAATATTCGTTGAATGTGGGTTATTGAGTAACACAATCAACAACAAACACTATCGTTATAGTGTTGGTATATCAACCTTCAAGTCAGACAACTTTACTATCTTTGCACTCTTAATTATTATTTTACTGTATGCATGTGATCTATACAGAAAAAAAATTTCTGTAAATATTCAGGAAATATTTGATCTGGGCATAATTTTCAGTGCATTTTATTGGAATTAAAAGTAATAAATATGATTTTTACAGAGTTTTTCCTGACAAACTTAACAAGTTCGGACTTTAATCAGTTTGTAAAAAGTAAAATAACAAAAATGATCAAAAATACCGAACTCCAAGGAAAATTAAAAACGGAAATTCCCTTATCAAATGGCAAAGTTTGTGAACCACATCAACTCCTTCAAATAATCTTTATAACTATTATATTCTCAACAAACTCAAGAATTATCTGCTGTGAGTATTATACATTATTAGGATAAATCTATGATTTCAATGATTTGTAATGCGCCTCCGACCGATGATTTGATATGATATTTATTGTATTGCATTGTATTGTATTGTATTGTATTTGTTGGTTTTTAATTGTGTAATAAAATTGTTTTCTTTGACAAAATCTCTTTTCCATTTCATGTTTAGGTTTTTATTTCTATCTGATTTTTTGTAGTTTTGTCTCTTTTTCCTTCATTGTGGTACATTTTCATATTTTGTGCATTCTGTTTTTCACTAATTTTAGTTGGTAATCAGATGCATCTCTCGAACCGGATATTTACCTGAAATCTAAAACGAAACCGGTTCAGGAAACCTTTTCTCACATAATTATTACACAGTTTTGTTTTTGTCATGATATATTTTTGATGGTACGAATATTGTTGATATTGAACCTGACAATTTATAAAATTGGCATCGGGTCATGCCATATCCAAAAGCTTAACGCTTTTCGACTTTGTAAGCCTCCACCACCACTGTCTAAAAGGCCAACCAGTTTTGTCAGATCAGAACTGCAAGTAGACCCATCAAAGATTTTAATAGTATTAGATTCCTTGGTTGATTCAATTAGAGATAATCCGACTCAAGAATTATCTGTCCAGAATCAAACCACCCACTGTTACACAAGGATCTGAAGATTTGAATATTGTGTCCATTTTTGCCCCAACTGTTCAGGGTTGGACCTCTGCGGTCGTTTCCAGGTGCGCTCGGCGAAGCAGTTTATTTTATTATATATAGGTCTTTTCCCCCCTGTAACATGTTTGTCCTAGTTTTCAATAATCTGAATTATTCAGTCCCTCCCTGTGATTGATCTCTCCTACTTTCGAGGTTAAGCAATCTAAGATCAGCAGAAAATATCGATTGGATTGTTCGGGTTAAGTTAATTTCAATTAAAAGATACATGTACAATGTATATTAATGGCATTTGGGTTTTTATATACACATGCACCTATTTTGGTTATAATGTAAGTACATACATTTAGGCTTATGTGACACATTTGCTAATGTCACAAGGCAGGTTTATTACAAATAAAATAAAGCATGGAACATTCAATTAGTCATGTTTATTGTTAATTATCCATTTTTAGATGGTGACGTTCCCTTGTCGCCATCTTATGGTGTTTATATATCTAAACTTGTTCAATTCGCTCGAGTAAAGTAACAACGTATTTGATTTCAACGAAAGAAATCTCTGTATGACTGAAAAATTATTACACCAGGGTTTTCGATATCACAAACTGGTCAAAACATCTACTAAATTTTATCATTGGTACAAGGACATCATTCGTAAATATAAATCAACATGCAGACATCTTATACGTTCAGGTATTTCACATCCAATATTTTATGGTAATATTCTTTACAAAGCACAAAAATGTCGACATTCACCTCAAAAGCTAACCAAACCTTTAAACAGACTTATTCGGAAAGGATATAGTTACGATACTGTTGTCAAGTCATTGAGGATTGCATATTTTGGTATTATATTGATTCACTCATAGGGTCTTTGCATTGGAAATAAACACATTTATTCTAAAACCAGTTTTTGGCATGATACAGGTTATGTTCTTCTCATATATTTTATGATGGTATGATACTAAACCCCTCACGGGAGGGATTGTACTTGATTTTCATATGCTGAAGTTATAATCTTTCAATCAGTTTAATTGATGTCTGGAGCTGGCATGTCAGTAACTGCTAGTAGTCCTTTGTTCATTTATGTATCATTGTCATTTTGCTTAGTTTCTTTTGTTACCTATTCTGACATCGGAGTTTTACTCTGCGTATTGCTATGTGTTTCTTTATTCTACATTGGCTAGAGGTATAGGGGGAGGATTGAAATCTCACAAAACATGTTTAACCCCGCCGCATTTTTGCGCCTGTCCCTAGTCAGGAGCCTCTGGCCTTTGTTAGTCTTGTATGTTTTTAAATTTTAGTTCATTTATATGTTTTGGAGTTTAGGGTGACCTCCATTTTCACTGAACTAGTACACAATTTTATTTAGGGGCCAGCTGAGGACCACCTCTGGGTGCGGGATTTTCTCGCTGCGTTGAAGACCCGTTGGTGGCCTTCGGCTGTTTAATGCTCTTTGGTCGGGTTGTTGTCTCTTTGACATATTCCCCATTTCCATTCTCAATTTTAGTTGAAAAGTTAGGTGGAAACAACTGTCAGTACACAGTACATGATGTTTTCCATAACCCTTTGCTCCAGACTTTCACAACAAGGTTCAATTCCATTCCATTTAAGGAGCTACCATTTGATTTTTATGGGGGGCTAGGATGAAAAATTTTGTCCTGCATTTTTTTTTTAGTTGTAATCTCTGTCCTGCCTTTTTATTTTTCACTCTATTCGGTCCTGCCTTTTTTTTTATTAGATTATACTGACTTTTTTTACATAAATTGTCATCCTGCATTTTTTTTTTTGCCATTAAATTTTCCGATATCTGACATTGAATAAAAAGGGGACCAGGGGGAATGTAAATATAGGCAAACAGACCCAGGTCAAACAGGAACGTGTGGATGGAACCGGATTCAAATCTCAAAATCAGAAAAATTAAAACAGTGTGATGTTAAAAAAAAACCTGAATTTACAGTACATACACACGAAATGATTTAGTTAAAAAAAAATCTTGAACATGTTGAAAGTGATTTTTTACAGTGAATACTGTTGATTGTAAATGATTTACTCTGAAAAATCTCTCTAGTACAACATATATATGACATAAATAATATACAAAATGACTATGTCATCAATAAAAGTTTTGTCACCTCAAATCACCCCGTTTCACAGTGAATCACTCCACACTAGCAATAATGACTTTTAACTGAATTATCTTTTGTGTACTTAAACTTGGTGAATTTTACTTTTTTTGGCAAATTGCCAATTTCAAAAAGTATTTTCCCTTTGAAGACGATAGGATTCAGTTTTGAAATGAGGTGAAAACAAAAAGTACTATATATATTTGTGTTACAAATGGTATATAGTATTTGTTTGTATTATTACAGTATAAAAAAAATAATTGTTCTAATTTTCTAAGTTTTGCTGTCATTTTGACACCAGTTTAAGAAAGGTTTGATTTTCCAAGATTGACTCCATGCGACAGCCATTAAAATTTTTTGAGAAAAATAATGTGTCATTTGAAAGCTTAGACTTATTGTCCAAATTATATAAAATTTGACAACTTTGCTTCTGGACCCTTTTGCAAGGTTTTCTTTGAGATGGCCTCTTAACATTACAGATAATCTGCTTGTTAATGTTAATGTTCATGTATTTTTACTTTTTCTGCTTAACCTTTGCCCTTTGATATGCACTTAGTAGAAACTGGGAAAAGAAAACGAAACATATCAAAATTATCAATAAAAAATGTATTTTTTTTATTATTTTGCAAAACCATGTTCCAATATTTGGCAATGTTGTTAAATATTTGGATAGACAGAATGGCCACTGACCAGTTAGTATCTACACTTGGTACCATTGCTGCCAATAGACCTCATTTCTATTTTGAATTCTTTCACTTTTGCTCTACTGATATAGAATGCAACAATCTCTTTTGCACTCAAACACTTTAAAATTTGATAATTTAACTATCTTGATTGGATAATTCTAATAATCCATGAGTAGCTTTGTAAGAATCTGTTTCACTAATGATTATCAAATAAATTTTAATTTTTGATAAACGAAAATCCCCTTCAAGTGCCTTCCACATTCTGGATTTCTACATCATACAAATGTAAAGATGTCAATTTCTCCAACCCCTGTTCGCACATTTTGATTCATCCTGAGAGCTAATAAAGGTTGTGACCTTTTACTAAGCCAATCATCTACTGAGATCATCAGCAACCACAGGTTGATTAAATATTTTCAAACAATGGGTCCAGAAAGGGTTAAATTGACAAAGAATTAGAGAAATATTATTATCTAAATTAAATTTCAAGTTCTTCCCTATAAGATTACAAGAAATAATGTTTTCCTGTAAACTAGAGTAAATATTTGATATCAGAGACCAATATCTTATTGTTTTTTCCCATCTGAAGTTAGTCAATTTCTCATTCAAGAAAAAAATCATTTTCAGTTTGGTCAACAGTCCAAGAACATGAACTCAGAAGAATATGTGATGAATCTGAAAATACACCTTTTAAACATGTCATGCATGTAGTGTAAGCTTTGAAATCATGTGTAATTTGTTGTTTGACTTTACTTCCTTACTTTGAGGTCAGTAAAATATTCTTATTCTTTACTTTTAAAGGTAGAAGGACAATGTCCAGACCAAGCAGCTCAAGACCATGTTCAGCAAGGACTAATACTGTGAATCTTTTCCCATCTCTTAAAGGGTTTGTTTTCACAGAAAAGCTTGGAAGTGGAACATATGCCACTGTTTACAAAGCTTATAAGAAGACTGGAGGCAGAGATGTTGTTGCTATTAAATGTGTTCTGAAGAGTAGCTTAAATAAAGCTTCAACGGAAAATTTACTCAGAGAAATTGAATTACTTAAGAAACTTAAGCATGAAAATATTGTGGAATTATATGATTTTCAGTGGGACGAAAAATACATATTTCTTATTATGGAGTTTTGCAGTGGAGGTGATTTATCTAGATTTATTAGGTCAAAAAGAACGTTACCGGAAAGAGTTGTTAAGAAATTTTTGAAACAGCTTGTAAGTGCCATGTTATATTTGCGAGAACACAATGTTGCTCACATGGACCTAAAACCACAGAATGTGTTATTGACATCAGCTTCAAATCCAACTGTTAAAATTGCTGATTTTGGTTTTGCTAAACATATGTTTGATGGAGACAAAGAAAGTGTTATGAAAGGATCACCGTTATACATGGCTCCAGAGATTATTTGTCAGAAAACGTATGATGCACGAGTTGATCTCTGGTCTATTGGAGTAATTTTGTATGAATGTTTATTTGGGAGAGCACCATTCGCTTCAAAATCATTCCAAGAACTTGGGGCAAAGATTTGGAATGACAAGCCTGTTGAGTTGCCATATGGTGTAAGTGTAGGTGAAGATTGTGGAGACCTTATAACTAGACTGTTGCAAAGGGATCCAGATAAACGCATAACTTATGAAGAGCTGGCCAAACATTCCTTTATTGATATAGAACATTTACCTTCATCATCAAGTCTTCAGAAAGCAGTTTCAGTTGTAAAAGATGCTGTCACTGAAGATACCAAGGGAAATTATAGCAACGCCATAAGACTTTACTGTAAATCACTAGAATATTTCATGCCAGCCATACATCATGAAAAGTGCGAGAACAAGAAAGAGGCACTCAGAAAAAAGGTAAAGGAGTATATGAATAGAGCAGAAGAACTTAAGAAGATGATAAGACCCAAAAAAGATTCTGAAATGAGAAGAAGCGTTTCATCAGATCCTATGGAAGAGCTTTTGGATTTATCAAAAGATGACGAAGAGCTTCAAGCAGCACTTAAAGTTATCAAAGCTGCAGAAATGGAGGAATCAAATGAAGAATATGAACGAGCATTAACACATTATGAACTTGGTTTAAAGACTGTTATCACATATTTAAAGGAAGACTCTAATAGTAGGAGAAAAAAGTTACTATCAAAACAGGCAAGTGTATGGATGTCTGAAGCTGAAAAAATAAAATCCTTTTTAGATGTTAGTCTGTTAAATACAAATGACACATCAGGTCAGGAGGAGATGGAAGAAAATGAACACTTACAAACTGGTACCTGCAATTTACAGTGAATATTTTAAGGAAAGGATTGCAGAAATTATATTTATATTTTCTGTTCAAATATTTGCACATAATTATAAGAATTAGGGAGCATCCATTTGATTTTTAGTGGTCAACAGAAGTGATCTCAGTTTCAAGGTTTTTTCATGCCTCTTTGAAACTACTATGAGCTCACTGGTACAAGTTCAAGAGCTTTAACAACACTTGTTGGTAATTTTCCATATGGAATAGATATAAGAAGATGTGGTATGAGTGCCAATGAGACAACTCTCCATCCAAGTCAAAATTTATAAAAGTAAACCATTATAGGTCAAAGTACGGTCTTCAACACGGAGCCTTGGCCTCACACCAAACAGCAAGCTATAAAGGGCCCCAAAAATTACTAGTGTAAAACCATTCAAACAAGAAAACTAACGGTCTAACTTATTTAATTCATAGGTTATCAATGTTTACTTAATTCCTTTGACTGTCATCTAGTATCAAACCAACATGGCCACTGTTACTAAATTTAGAACATACATGAGGGTCTGGATGGGGTTTACAGAATAGAAAATAATGGGCAAAGAGTGCAGAATAAAGGGCAAAAAATAAAGAATAGGGAAAAATAGACCAAAAAAATAAAAAATAAACAATCTGATTATTTTTGTATTTGTGTTCAATCATGACCTTTCTTTTTTACTATGACTTTTTATATCTCTTCTTTGTCCTTTAGAATTTAAATTGCTGCTCCCTTAGTTACACCATTTTGTAACAATTAATGTTTATGGTTTCAAAATGCATACAAGTTATTTATTTAAATTATTACAATCAGTCTGTGATTCCAAGAGTGCCATTTATGTTTTAATTTTAGCTAGTACTTTTTAGTAGTAATTGACATATTTTGAAATAAAATGATAATGTTATGGTGATGGTTTGAGAAAAAGAGATTTCTGTATGTACAACTTGTGTTTGTTTAATAATCTTCATAAAGTATGCTCATGATCAAAAGCTTGGAAGCAAGAAATGTAAAATATTTAAGATTCTAGAAGGCAACAGGATCTAAATTCAAACTCCCATATTGCCTAAGGTTAACTTTGCCTTCAAGGCAGACTGAGTTAACATTACAGCCTTACTTTTAGAGGTAGTACAAATTTCAGGACTTTGACTAAAGAAGCAGAAATTTGAATTTGTATAGAACATTCAAACGTTAAAAAATCAAAAATTTATCATTGAATATTTTAAAAACTGTAGGAAAAATTGTAATTGAATTTTGTAAAAGTTAAGTTGGAGCTTGAGTATCTAAAACAGTTTAGAATATTGCTGTGTTCATGGTGTTATCAGAACTTGAAACATTAATGACGCATTAACTGTATCTTTACACAACTTTTTTTCTAATTGAAATTGGTAGACAAGATGGTGCTAATTAGCATCTCTAAAAAAGGTGCATGTTATAAATTAGTGCATAATTCTGATTTTGGTGATAAGCACCTGTCAAGATACTTTTGTTAAGTCATAGAAAAGAATTTTTTACAGTAATCTGGTACTGTAGATAATTAACATAATTTGTTGTTAAAGTGTCAGAAAATTACATGGAAATTACTAGGGAAGAGATTTTCTGTTCTTAGATTACATTTATTTGCAGTTTAATGACTGTATGATAAAAGTTCAAGGTTTATAGATTTATAAAAGAAAAGTTACACGGTTTTACTTTTGGTACATGTATTTGCAAAACGTATGTTCATGAGTTTTTGTGTTATTGTACGCAGATGATACAGTGTTATTTTCTGATAATGCATCTGATCTACAGTTGCAATTAGATATATTCCATGATTATTGCAGAACCTGGAAATTGAAAGTAAACACTAGTAAAACTAAGATTATAATTTTTTCTAGTGTTAGATTACCCAAAAATATTAATTTTATATATGATGGAAATGCAGTTAATGAACTGACATACCTTGGGTTAAATTTTTCAAGAACAGGTAGCTTTATGAGTGCTAAGAAAATTTTAGTTCGAAAAGCAAATAAAGCAATGTATGAAGTATTGAAAAAGGGGAGGTTGCACAATTTGTCAGTGAAATCCCAATATGATCTATTTGATAAAATTGTGAAGCCAATCCTACTATATGGATGCGAGATTTGGGGTTTCAGTAATACTGATATTATAGAAAGAGTGCACTTAAAATTTTGTAAACTATTACTAAACCTTAAGAAGTCGACACCTAATTTTATAATTTATGGTGAACTTGGTATTTATCCCACGTCTTTATATATACAGCTGCGTATGGTTAATTTTTGGTCAAAAATGGTAAATAGGGATGATAACAGGATTGCTAAAATATTATACAGATACATGTTCTTGAAGAATTCTGACAACCAATTTAGGTCAGATTGGTTGAAATACGTTAAAGATACATTAGATAGATGTGGGTACAGCAATCTATGGTTGTCACAAGGACATTTTAATCCTAAATGGTTAGGTATTAGTTTAAAACAAAGGTTATTTGATCATTTTCAACAGAAATGGAGAGCAGATATTGACTGTTCATCAAAAGGTTTGGCCTACAAATTGTTTAAACAAAAATTTGAATACGAAGAATATCTGAATATTTTAAGTGATAAAGATAGAATAACATATTGTAGATTTAAAACGGGAAACCACAAGTTACCCATCGAAACTGGTAGATGGAATAAAATTGAACGTAACTTTAGATATTGTAATTTATGTCATTGTAACGGGATTGGGGATGAATTTCATTACATTTTGCAGTGTAGTTCTTTGACAAACTTTCGAGCACAATATTTGGATACTTTTTTCTTGCACAGAAGTAATATACTAAAGTTTGGAAAACTATTTCAGTTAAAATTAAAAAATAAGTTAAAAAAGCTGTGCAAATTTATCAGGGTTATAACTTTTCAAGCAAGTCTTCCTGGTTAATCACCACTCTTCGCCACTACTGTGTTATTTTGTTTTATTTTATTTTTTCTTCTCAACTTGTCGTGTGTTTATGTTATGTTATAACTTTTGATGAACTTCTTTGTACCATTGTAACTATATGGTGTTTGAGAAATAAAGAATCTTGAGAACTTTTCAGAATCAAATAAATATATTGACATAAAGTTTGCCAATGTCTTGAATGGCATGCCGAACCATAATTACCATGCCACAACATTATATTGACATTGGGCATTGGTGACAAAAATATATTTTATAAATGGAAAGCTTTTGAAAACTTGTGGGGCAAACTTGGATGCTGCTTAATGCTTTCAGAAATATGCCTTTTGTGGTGTATTTTTAATGATTTCCCTTGAAATTACTGCATTGTGATGTTTAAATTGACAATTTGGATTATATTATGATTTTTTTTCAGTAAGTGCTACTTTGGATAACTTCATTATCATATATGCAATACTTCAATTTTTATTTACAATAATTATTTATTTTTATTCCTACACCATAAAATTTATATACAAGTCCATGTTCCTTGTTTGTATTAGTTACATCATGTACTTGTATATCTTGCTTATATTTTGCAAATTTTGAAAAAACATAGTGTGTATAGCATAATATTTCATGTTTTATCAGTCAATATTGTAGTGGTAAAAAAAAATGATTAATGTGTGTACATGTAATTAAGTCTGAGTGAGGATTGGGTTTATGAATTCATGAACTTGTACTTGAGTTTCAGTTGAATTGTTGTTATTTTATGCACTACATATATAGTGTGCTGTTATATTAAAAGTAAAATTATTTGTATTATATGAACCTTGATAAATTGCCTATACATCATGAAACTAAGGTGACTCTGGTGATGTGTTTTCAATAAAAAAAAGAATTTATGGAGGTTCCTCAAAACATAGCATATCTAATTTGACAAGAATTTGTATTGTCCTTGCATTGTTCTGATTTAGGCCAAATAGTATAGAGAGATATAAACTTGAATACCAAAAATGATCAGCAAGACAAGCTCTATAAATAAGTCAACATTACCAAAATTGTCAGTCAACTTTTATAGTTTTTGCGCTTAAATGACAATTATTATACAACCGCAAAAAAAATTTGGTATCACGTCGTCATCGTTGTTGTCAGATCGTCCCGAGACATTTGGTTTCCGGACCATAACTTTAGTAAATGTAAATAGGAATCTATGAAATTTTAACACAAGGTTTATAACCACAAAAGGAAGGTTGGGATTGATTTTGGGGGTTATAGTCCTTACAGTTTAGGAATAAGGGGCCAAAAAGGGGCCCAAATAAGCATTTTTCTAGTTTCCAGACAATAACTTGTGGAACGGTGTATGGATCTCTCTGAAATTATACCACAAGTTTCCATACCACAAAGGGATGGTTAGGATTGGCTGGGGGGGGGGGGGGGGGGGGGGGGATTATGGCTCAAACCGTGTAGGAATTAGGGGCAAAAAAGGGGGAAAAACAAGGGTTTCCTGGTTAATGGACAATATGGCTCAAACCGTGTAGTAATTAGGGGCAAAAAAGGGGGAAAAACAAGGGTTTCCTGGTTAATGGACAATTAAAAAAAAGTACAATGTTAAATTTGGATTACTTACCTTACACTGCTTTTAAATTATGTATAAAGAAATGTTGTATTGTCTTGAGGTGATTAGCAAACTCCATTAGAAATTTGAATTGAGATATGAGCATAGCGTGAGGGAAAGAATTTTTTTTTGGAAAAAGGGGGGGGGGGGGAGGTCAATTGGCAACAGCATAGTGTATTGCACAAAAGGAAAAAATTGAATATAAATTCAAATCATATAATTAATTCTAAGTTCTTTGACTACAGTTATTCTGTGTCAGAAACCTATTATGTGTCAAATATTTAATTACAATCCAAATTAAGAACTGTATCGCGCGAATACTGTGTCCATTTTTGCCCCAACTGTTCAGGGTTGGACCTCTGCGATCGTACCCAGCTGAGCTCGGCGAAGCAATTTATTACCATCTTTTTTTTAGTTTTTGCCTATTCCCTAGAAAACTATAATAGAAAGATAGAAACTTTTAAAAGTAAAAATTATCAGCAAGACAATTACAATCTATAAATAAGTCAACATGGCCAAAATCATTAGTCGACTTTTTTAGGAGTTTTTGCCCTTAAATGACAATTTTTACCATATTTTTTAGTTTTTGACTAGTTTCTAGACAGTTATAGACAAATTACAATATATAAACACTTTAAAAGAAGTAAAAATTATCAGCAAGACTAGACCAACAAATAGTCTGTTGACTCCTTATAGGGATTATTGCTCTTAAATAAAGATTTTTACGCAATTTTACATTTTAGGCAAAAAGTATAGAAATTTGGAACAGTAAAAATATACATTTATATATCCCTTATGTCAAATACAGAAGGGGAAATAACTCTCATATGGAGTTTACGTATCGCTTTGGTCAAAATTAGACAAAACATCCTGAGGAAATAACGAGCAATTTGGTAAAATAAACTTGTCGCTTTCTTTTACGGTTACGGAGGAGATGCACGCAAAAGGAAAACAGTGTTCGGGGAGATAACTCCTACAAAGAAAAGTATTCAGTTAAGCAGGGTCTATTTCGAAGGCGAATAAACTGTTCGATATCATATACGAAACATCTAAGCGACATCTTGCGATACAAAAATTTATCGCAAGAACAAAATTTGGCGGAAGAAAAAAATTAAAAACCAAATGTTCAAAGAACAATTGAAGGTCTTTCCACATCAATTTTCTAAATAATTGATAGGAAGCTACTTCTGGTTTACTCAAAGTTATTAATAGCGTCAAAGTATAGATTTCTTCATACTGATTCAATAAATAAATGGTTTCTATATACTTTTGCCTGAAATAAGGGAGATAATTGCCAAGTTCCGGTTTAGAAAATGTCACTTCCGGTCTCATATGATAGCTTTATTCACACTGATTCCAAAAATATATAGTTTGTATATACTTATGCCTGTAATAAGGAAGATAATATGCTACTTCCGGTTTATTAAAAGTCACTTCCGGCCTCAAATGATAGGTTAACCTATGATCATTCAAAAAATATATGGTTTCTATGCACTTTTCCATGAAATAAGTGCAAAAAAAACTCCTTCCGGTTCACTCAAGGTCACTTCCGGTTTACTTTTTTCAAGGTCATATGTCAACCAACAGTTTGCAAAAGACCCTATGGCTTTATCATGTACCAAGTTGGAGTAATAATCAATTAACCTTAAATTGAATCATTTCAGGGGCAATAACTCCTATAAGATATCATTGGATTGTTTCAGACCAAATGTATCATATCTTAATCACAATTAAGCAAACATTTTGCACTAGTTCTTTAATTTGTAATTTTAAAAGTGACAGAGGAGATCAAATAACAAGGAAAAGTCAAAATTTAGAATATGACCTTGACCTTTGATCTTTGGCCTCAATTTCATTTAAATGAACCAAGGAACTCAAATCAATATACCTTAGGTCTCTATCACTTACCATTCATGCTATATATTAATATATCTCTTATGTCAAATACAGAAGGGGAAATAACTCTCATATGGAGTTAACGTATCGCTTCGGTCAAAATTGGACAAAACATCCTGAGGATATAATGAGCAATTTGGTAAAATAAATTTGTCGCTTTCTTTTACAGTTACGGAGGAGATGCATGCACAAGGAAAACAGTGTTCGGGGAGATAACTCCTACAAAGAAAAGTATTCGGTTAAGCAGGGTCAATTTCAAAGGCGCATAAACTGTTCGATATCATAAACGAAACATCTAAGCGACATCTTGCGAAACAAAAATTTATCGCAAGAACAAAATTTGGCGGAAGAAAAAAAAATCAAAAAAATCAGAAGAAAACCAATAGGTCTTTCCACAGAAAAGTGGAAAGACCTAATAATCAGAAGAAAACCAATAGGTCTTTCCACAGAAAAGTGGAAAGACCTAATAATTTAAAAAAAACTGAAGAGAGAAAAATTGCAAAATGTAAGATTACAGAATTAAGGTTGAGAAAAGTTAACATATAAATAAACGTAAAATAAATAAAACATTAATTAGCTGAGACAGAGACATATATACACATGGCTGAGATCAGTGACATATAATGTGGACTGTCTCTTCATTTTCACACATGTTCATTGTATTAACATACATGTCAAGGTATATGTATTTCGCCTTCAGGTAAGTAAAATTATAACTTTATATAAATTATTACCAGTGAAAAAAAAAATTAATAAATCATCATAATATTACATTAGAATAAACTTGATCATGCACCATTTTTGCCTTCTCCAATGATGGTCACGTGCACCGGATCTGTTGAACATATAACTTGTACATCTTTACAAACCTGTTTTGTGCATTTTTCATTGTTATTCAACGCAAAATAATTATTTAAGATACCTTGGACGATCCCATTACACAAAGGATTTCTATTGTTTACTTATTGTACCTCGAACTTATTAACCGGTGTAGGTCTTTAAGTTGCAGGTTCAATTTACTAAAAGTTAATCGTGCATGACTAATTAGACACGCCCTCTTAAAATCAGGGGGCCATAATAGGACTGCGGAAAATAACAGCCAGCGGAATACCATAATTCAAAATTTAGAGAATCAAAGTGCTTTTCGTTGATTTAATATCTTCGGTCAATAATCAAACGGTATTTGAGTGGAAACACAAACCTTTCCGAAACAGGGAAATGCGGGCTGCAATAGGAATTTATTTACAAAAATTTGCCCATATCTGATTAAATTGTAGTGGGCTTTAGTGATCGTAGATTCATGTCGTTTTGTTTTTTGGCGTGCGTCTTCTGTGGAGAAAAAGGGGGGCTAATAGCTTAACTCAAGATTTTTGTTCATTATTCAACTTTATTCTAGTACGGCATACGTTTTACCTCTAGAAAACGCTCTATCTTTATAATGTATCAATCAATTGCTTCAGGTCGATCCACTTTGCACCTCGTCGTGAATATGCGTGATATATTTGCCACTGAACATTACGGGAGCAATCAATTTATCAGTTTCATTTAGTGATGAATAATCATTAGTTCTCAACTGATAATTGTATAAAACAGTTTTCCATTTTTTGTGTATTTTATTTTTATTTGTATTTTTTTTTTAAGCGTAAATTTCAGAATTTCTTTTCGCATCTTTCTCTTTGAATTTATTTGTTTGTTAACATTAAGTAAAGTATTCCATATCAGGGGTTACATTGTACCCAGCTAAACTAGGAGGGGGGCAGTAGAACAGAAAACAATCTCCATTGTGTACATGCAATAACTCATATATTGAAGCGTAAAACAACGGCAGTCAGGCTCGTTTAGGTGGAAAAATTACTGTGTCATTTTTTTATATATATAATGATATCTGGTAAAGTTGTCATAAAAGCAAAAACGGACGACAAAAGGTTGGCAACAATTTATAATCAGATTCAACTTATTTTGGCCGTTTCGTTTATTCTAAAGTTATTGTCTTACTGATCGGTTTTGTTATTAAAAGTTTTTTTTATCTACAATTGTCCTTGCAAAAGGCGCAAAAGATGTGTTAAAATCAGCCATGCGACCTATTTGAAGATTCAGGTGACCTTTGTTGTTGTTTAGAGATTTCAATCGAAGTTCGTATATCCCATCAACAATTTATTCAAATGGTTCTTCATAGGCGGATCCAGGGGGGGGGGGGGGGGGGGGCTGGGGGCCCGGGCCCCCCTTTCGTGGGAAAAATTTGGTTGATTATATAGGGAATCACTGAAGCATGACTCGAGCGGGCCCCCCCCCTTAGGTCAGTCAGCGGGGCCCCCCTTATGAAAAGTTCTGGATCCGCCACTGTTCTTTAACGTATAGATAGCGCGAAACTCTCACTACAACATGCATCGGATATTTTTATTTCGACCAAACGAGGCTGCATATTTATACATCCGAACAGCCAAACGGCCGCACCCAATTTTAGCAAAGATATACTGTCGGACGGGAGAAGTCCTGAGATGTGAATATTTCTATACCCAATTAATCCTTTAGTTTTGAAAACGATTTTAAAGGTACACATTAATACGACAGCAACCCAACGACACATATAAATAAAAACATTAAGAGTCAACATACAGATTTTTGTAATAGCGAAAAGCCTATTATGATATATAATAAAAAGCCCAAAACCGCAACATGAGGCTAAATAATACGGAGTCAGTGAGTTTTTAAACAAGTGTCGATCGGTGAAAATTATAGAAGGTGTAATATAAATCAGTAGAAGAAAAACACTTCACTGTCAAGTAACGGTAAATTAAATAATGATTATGGATGACGTCCAGAGGCAAATTAAATGAATATTCAGGACAAAAACATGGAATGGAAATATAATATGAAAATTAACCCTGCTTTGTACTAGACCGACACACTGAGACGGATTTTTAACGTGTAAGTTCACAAGCTAACAGTTCGAAGGAAAACGTCACTCTTTGTTTGACCCGTTCGGGATTCGGACCAAAGTCCAACTCTCGAGGCGAACATACTCTCACGAGACCATCCAGGAGAGCGGTCGCAAAGAATATCATACCAAAAACTACAGCATAATAAGCAATACAGTTTCACAGAATTATCACCGTTATTAATGCGAGTTGAAAGTATCTAACCTAAATTAGATGCGTTATGTGATATTGGAAACTACACACGGTAAATAACGATGGCCGACATCAGAGTAGATTTAGAGGACCATCGCTCTCTGCAAATTAAAAACTCTTGGTTCAATTATTTTAGGGGTCCCACTGTGGCGAGCTGTTGCAAGGCTAAATTTCTATCCTTATTAAATCTACTCTCATTATCCAGTGGTATTTCAAGTTTACGTCTAACCTTACTGTCGACCGACTATTGCAAGTCCTTCTTATTATATTTAGAATTAATGTGTTCCCGTCATGAACATGAACGAAATATTTGCCGCTGGAGGTGAGGCAAACAACAATGAATCAACTTCAAAAATGATTCCATTTGAATAGTACACGAAGACACCATCTTGTAAAATGCGGTATTTAATATCAATTTTAATCACCGAATAAGAGTTCAAACATTTTTATGCTATTTTGTGCAATTAACCACAAAACTGAACAATTAAATTTTTTTAAATACTTCTTTACTATCATGGTTCTTTAATGTCTACCGTTTTGTAATTATTTATAATATATGATTATGTCAGGCGATTATAAAACTAACAAAGGTAAAAGTGTTTTTCAACGTGTTTATGCTTCATCTATAGCCGTGAAAAGGGACTGACGGACGACTAAAATAAAAGTGTTTGTTCTCATATAATACTTTGTAATTCAATTGAAGAATGATGAAAATTTCTCATCTATACACGTTTTGATCGAGCCACTTCAACCTCAAATCTTGCAGCTAAAGTTTTTACATTTAGGCTATTCAATACGATTGTATTCATTGAAGTTTACAGGCGTAGTTTTTTTTTTTTTTTATTAAAAAGAATAAAATAATATTTATAAATAAATTGGACTGAACAGACAACACTAATTATTTCGCAATTGCATGTAACTAGTGTAGAAAAATAACAGAATCTAGACCAAATTAAACATTTACCTGAATATTGTAAAGGACCTTATGCATCTAGGTCTGTTCGATTAGAAGTTGAGAAACAAGCTGTTAAATAACTTATTGTTGGAAGAGTTTACTTACTGTTTTCATTTTGTCTGGCCTTTACGAATCTGTTTCATGATTACTGACAGATTGAAAACATGAAATATATATAACAAGACATTTTTGTAGAGAACATTCATTGGTCAGTTGTAAAGGATGTCTGTATAGGGTTTTGATTTGTTCATTTATAAAATGAAAATCGTTATTTAGAAAAGTTGGAATTAAAAAATATAAATTTACCACTTAATTTTTTATAAAACTATCCTATGTTGTTATTTAAATGCTAAAATATGATAATAAATAGACAATTAAATGATGTTCTGCCATTTAATCGGTCCGTTTCAAATGCAATTCGGTAACGGTTATTTGTATATACCAGTGTGAGTACTATTTAAGTTAGATATATTTAGACTGGTCCAGTTCAGGGGATTAAGGTTTCTGCAAGTGTTTTATTACGTACTTTTCTTATGTTTTTGACGGTTTGTAAGTCAGTAAAAGATCAATCATGATTAAGTTAATATTGACATTAAAAGACCTCCGCACAAAAAGGGCTGTTCAAATCCCCTCGCCCTTAGGGCTCGAGGATCTGAACATCCCATTTTGTTCGGAGGTCTTTTAATATCAATATTAACTTATCATTGAGCTTTTACTATTACTTAACTGTACGTTCGGTGCCTATTATTTTAATTTGAAAAAAATGGTTTTCAGATTTATCGCTAAAAGCGAGTAATGTCGTGGCGAGCAAATTAAGTATAAACAATTTCGATAAGAATTCATAAATTATTTGGATCTAAAATGCAATGTGATCTCCAAAGATACTGTGAAATGTTTTGAATAAACTTTTAATATTATCATTAAAACATTCTGACTTAATTATGATTATATTCAATCGCTTATTAACAGTTTCGCCCCTTCAACTTAAAGCTCAAATCGGAATATTGTCATCCTGTAATTATACTTTTGTTTTTTTGGTTTCGATAGACGCGTCTGCAAAAATATGAACTTGATTTTGATCTTTTTTAAAGAGCTGTAAATATGACATTGCAAACAAGAGCTCTTCAAGACAAGAGAACATGTCGAATTTTCTTTTCGTCCCCATTCGGTGGTATGGAGGACGAAAGGGGAGAACTGACAAGGCGTTACTTCCCAAAAATACACCACCTTTGTAGCTTACATGGTATTCAGTTTGTTGCAGTTGACATGAGATGGGGAATAACATCAGAAGCATCTAGTAGTGCTCAAGTCATAAACATATGCCTAAGAGAACTAGACAGATCAGACATATTTGTTGGTTTTTATGGACAGGTAAAAGATCTTTTTGTTGAATGTTCTATTACTTCAAATAGTTAAACAGTTCGAGTTTCTACATAGTTACAGTTCTATATGACATAGGTATAAGAAGATGTGGTATGAGTGCCAATGAGACAACTCTCCATCCAAGTCAACATTTATAAAAGTAAACCATTATAGGTCTCAAAGTACGGTCTTCAACACAGAGCTTTGGCTCACACTGAACAGCAAGCTATAAAGGGCCCCAAAAATTACTAGTGTAAAACCATTCAAACGGGAAAACCAACCGTCTAATCTATATAAAAAACGAGAAACGAGAATGTATGATTTACACCAAGGTTTATACAAAATTAGCCTATAAATAATGTATCTCCAGCTGCAACATCAACATAATAGCTATAATATGTTGTTTACCTAGATGGGGTGGATCTAAATTAAAATCCATAGAATTTTTTTTATTAATTTATTTGCCAAAACGTAATTTATATAATGCTTTCTTCAAAAATATAATAAAGAGTATGAGTCACAGGGCTTTTTTTTTTCACACTACAGGCAGTCAGGGGTACTACTTGTACAAGTAATTTTTATTTACTTTAAGAAGTAAATATTAATATACTTATATAAGGAAATTTGTAGGATACTTATACAAGTGTATTTTATTTACTTGTACAGGTAAAAAAAAAATGGGCTTAGTTATGTCCCTTAGACATTCAGATTTTTTGATTCAGCCATGCTGGATCTATGCGATCACTCTGGTTTTGGAGATGGTGCAGAATACTAAGTTGAAGACATATCATGAAACTAATTATGTGTTTTTATGACTTGCAAAAACTTTCTACACCATTTTAATCATAAACTGCCAACTTTTGACATGTTATTTGCCCTCAAATTAAGAAAAGATTGGTCGAATAACCCTTTTAGTTTAGATATGCACTTGCATATCGTTCCTTTGTAAATCAAAATTTATAATGATTTACTATTTATGAATTAATTTGAAAAGTATTTGTACATCAATTGAATCAGTTGATAAGAATTTTGAAAGTATTAGATTAGTATCTTATACTTGTGTAAGTGATTGTTCAATGAAATTTGGGTCAACATGTGTATTAATATATCTAAGTTGATTCCCACACTTTTTTGAAATGGCATTACTCCAATTCTTTCCATAGGCAAGTAAGAGTCATTATGATTATCAACTGTCATGATTTTCAAATAATTACACTCAAAGGTGTAAGTGTCAATTGGAAACAACTCCAGTCTTAAATCACCAAAGTTAATATCTCGTGACCTGTTACATAATTAAATAGACACACCTAACTGAATACACACATTCTTGACCTCAATAGTATACCTACAAATGTATTATTTATTTTGATCCACACAACATTAAAATATTCTGTTAATTTTGCTAGCTAGCTGAATGATTAATCAGATGTGGGTTATTTTCAATGAAAAGATAAAAAATGAAAAAAATATGTATACAAAATGCAAGCAAATTTTATTTCACTTGTAAAAACAGTGTCATTATCATCTGTCACATAAGTCAATAATCAATTAGTTCTTATTAATTAGTTACAATTATCAGAAATTTGGTTGAAACAATAAACAAAATTGCATAACTCTTACCTGAGCATTTTCTGCCATAAAATTTATTTGTTTGTTCTACATTTATATCCCATTATATTGCTATTTAACAGTAATTGGAAATATCTCAGCATTAGGTATTTGTTCATTTAATTTGAATACAGGAAATTTTTTTTTTTAATGAAGAATGAACACCAATTTAGATAAAAAAATAGTTATTATTTTTTTTAATTTTTGTTGTTGAGAATATGGATTTTTAATGCATATTTCTGGAAATTATTAAGCCAGTTATTATTAATGGCATATAAAAAGATATATTACTTGTTTGACGATTTCCCTTTCCATTCTTGCCAATACCATGAGATTGCAAATATTTATAAAAAAAAAAACTGACAGAGTCTAAAATTGAAATATCAATATTTATATCAATATTTGCATCAATATTGCGAAATTCCTTACCTTTGGTCAATAACATAGAAATTTAACAGAAAGATTGGAAATGAAAAGAGAAAAAAATATTGAAAAAATTATGGTCAGAAAGAATATCAGACTAGCTATGAATATGGCTGGATCACAACATCAACGATGCTTTGATTTACTTATACAAGTAAAAAAGTCATCCTATCTTCTTTTCTTGAATTCTTAGGACTTTCTTTGCTCTAATAGAATTTTTAATTGTCTGTCCTTTGCAGATGTCTTTACTAATCATTTATGTGTAATTTCATGGACAATGAAAATCTCATTTGTCTGTTATCTTCAGAACACTGCTCATTTAAAAGCCCCCAAGGGGCAATTTTTGAAGGCCTTGCGCAAATACTTAAGATCTTTGCTCAATCAGTTTCTTTGTTGAATTAATGAGATGAAACATTGAACTATAATCAAAAATTATGAACTAACATGAGAAAAATTTTTAAAGGCATGTTTTTACATCTCAAAACTTGAGAATTTTTGTGGGAAAAAAAAAAAATTACTTATACAAGTAAATTTTTGAGAAAATTAAGGGGAGATTATTCAAACATCATAATTAACTTATATAAGTATATTTTATTTACTTCTTCAAGTAAATAAAGATTACTTGTACAAGTAGTACCCCTGACTGACAGGTTTTGCAAAATTATCAGATTATGTATGGAAAAAGCAATTTTGTGTGATAAAAAGAAAGCTAAACCATAGAAATTAGAATTTAAATATAAAATATGAGAAGATAGCTCTTATGATATGATTTCAGAAAAAAAACAATGGGGTCACTGGACTCATTTTCTTGCTACGTATTCAAATAGTTGGTAAATTCATAACATATTCTATTGTTAAAGTTACTTTATCTGAGTTATCTCCCCTGATGTGGCAAATTTGAAAAATTAAATCAAACCAAATATATGTTGTTTTTGTAAAATATGATAGCCGTAAAATATGATGAAATACATTATTCCTATATTATGAAAAGTCTTGCACATGAATTCCTTGTAACTCTCGAAATTTGCACATTTCATTAAAGATCTAGACTGATTATTTGCTCCTTTCAATATATTTTTTGCCAATCTGCATACATGTGACTGAGTTGAGATGTGATGTGATGGATCAACGACATACTACTTTCGATGACAGAAACCAATCCAACGCTGTACAGACTACGATAGGCTATAATCCACGTAGGGCGAATTCCCGCGTCAGCATACACTCCAAAACCCATTATGGATGGGGGAGTGTTATACTGACTGACGTCCGAGGGCTGTATCGTAGGTGTTAGATAATGGACCGCCATTTCACTGTCTCACGACTTTGGTCCTGATAATGCTGTCTGTCATCTTTATTACTATGTCCGAGACTCATCGACCAGTACTCCATCATTGTGGTTAGCGGGCTGCCAAGCTGACCAGCCTGGCCCTGAAAGCAGCCGTTGTGAAGTACAGACTCAAAAGAAACATCAAAATAGTAAACAAACCAAAAACAACTCACCAAAACCAAGATGGCCGCTTACCAAAATGGAGCCTTCAACCTGTTCCTGACCACCAACTGCAGAAAATATTTAAAGCTCACCAAACGCCCTCGGGCACGGAGCTGACCGTGCGAGGGATGTAAATCCAGTCATGATTGTTAAACACTTCCATCATCATGACTGAGTTGACTGACCGTGCAAGGGCTGTATACCCAGTCAAGGTCGTTAAAAACTCCCATCATCGACTGAGTTGTCAAGTTGCAACTGGAGATATTTGAAATTTTTCACCTAGAGTTTGGGTCTCATAATTGGAGATTTTTTATTGACATTTTTATTGACGTTTTCAATGATCATTTTGATGATAAAGCTGCATATTCCATACTGAAGAAAAAAAAAAGTTTTTCAACATTTGTTTATAAATAAGTAAACAACGATATAATTTATGTGCACTTGGTAAATTTCACTGTTTTGTTATCATGTGAAATATTTGTCTGTATTAAGATATTTGTATATGATTTTTTTTCCTCTACTAATTATTCTTTTTTTGGTCTCTCTCAGTGTGATCCTTAGGTCCAGTTTCTAATAATGATTAATGTTTCATATTGATCTCCTTCTTTTCTTTTTTTTTATATTCTAGACAATTTTGTTATTGCCAGATTTAGCATGATCACTCTCAAGGGTATCATACTACTAGGGGTTGTTTAATGACCTTGACTACCCATGAGGGTCTCGCATGATTGATGGGTATCCTACGAGTTAAATAAATATCTTATCAATTTTAATTTAAGCATTGACAAGAAGTATGGATCTCTCAAATTATTTTCATAATATTATTTCTTATTTATCCTAAGAAATTTAAAATCATTAAATTACCAAATCAAATCAAATCAAATCAAATATTTTATTGTCTTATAAACTTTACAGTTTGTGACCAACATGTATTAACACAATAAACATATATACATACATATCAAACAAACACAATAAAAACAGCATCAAAATTTATAAAAACAAACAAGTTGTTAAGAGTCCCCTGCCCTCAGTTCTAATGACTTTTTCAAGAAGGATCCTAACTTATTTGTTTGTAAAGGCGTTGATGGATTTAGTAAATAATGAATTTTTTCTTCTTCATTTAAATTATTAAAGTTATTATTTTCAGTACATATGTGTTCAAAAAAGGCATTTCTTAGTGTTTTATTATAATCACAATAGAGTAAAAAATGTTTCTCATCCTCTAGTATTTTACATTTATGATTACCATCCCTTATATACTTCTTTGTTTAATTTGTATTTCAGTTACCAGTATATTTTTTACCAATTTACATTATTTTATGGAGAGTTACACAAAACATGGTAAAAAAAGCGAAGTAACTCAAAATTTCTATCAAGTGTTTTCAAATACACAGATTATTTATTACCTAACTGCAGTTGGCCTGAGGTAAAAGGCATTAATTTACACAAGTTCTTCGATATACAGGTAAAAATTACCTTCATCAGTGACACAAAATCGATATAAGATTGACATCAATGGTAATAAAAAATGAAGACACATAAATTTTTTGGTGTTGAAATATTGAAAAAATTTGAAGATTTGAATTATTAACTGGAGGGACAGAAGAGGGCAACAAAATTGTGAGCTTTTGACTCCCGACGATAAACCAAAAATCTATTGATTATTTAATACATTGGCTGTAGAACATGTCACAATCTCACACAGAACTTTCTACAGGAGTTGTCTAAGAGTTTTCTTTTAGAGTGGCCTGATTTGTTTTTAAAACAACAAGATGCATCTTTAAATGGGTCTGACCAGTGTTTCTATCTGGACCAAGTTGTCTTTAAAAGTGGCCTGAGTTTTCTTTAAATTGGTCTATTAGTTGTCTTTATTTTGAATAGTCCCTATTCAGTTGCAAACCCTTATGAAGGATAATCTATAATTTTTCAAATGTATATATATTTTACAGAGGTATGGTTGGTTTGGTGCTGAAGACAAAGCTTTACAAGAAAACTTTGATAATGCTGTACAACAATATCCATGGTTAGATCAATACAGAGATAAAAGTGTTACAGAATTGGAATATCTTCATGGTCATTTGAATAACCCTGGTGATATGCCTGCAGTAATATGCTTTAGAGATAAGTTTAGTATTATTTATTTGTAAAATATTATAACATTTAACATGATCACAGGGGGAAACTGAATTGGTGCAGTTTTTCAGAATTTGATTTTTTTTTTATATTAAACTTACATTTTGTAAATAAGTTAAATTGCACATCTGCCATTTCAACAATTTACTCTGTTTACAGGGTGAGTCCGAGTATCCCTGTTATTAGTAACTGAATTTTTTTAGGGAAATAGTTCAGTAAAAAGTAATCAAACATTTAAATTCTTATTATGATTGCCAATGAGACAACTATCCACCAAAGTTCAAATGAAGTGGATGTAAGCAATTATAGGCAACCGTACGGCCTTCAAGTATGAGAAAAACCCATACCGTATAGTCGGATAAAAAAGGCCCCAACATGAAAAATATGAAACGATTCAATTGAGAAAACTAACAGCCTAATTTATAACAAAACAATTTATGAAAAACAAATATGACAGACATGAACCAACGACAACCACGGAAATACAGGCTCCTGACTTGGGACAAGCACATAAAGAATATGGTGGGGTTCAACATGTTTGTGAGCGCTCAACCCTTCCTTAACCTGGGACAGTGGTGTTACAGCACCACATAAGAACCCAAGCTGTTTTTCTTATTATTATGTTTTATATTGTGATACATGTTCATCAAAATGTGTTTTTTCTTTTCTTTATCCATTTTCTATGTAATTACTATCTGATACATATATTTGTTTTGATATTGCAAAAGTGCTCTATTTTGCCATTTAGTAGATAACTCTGAAGTGACCCATGTCGCATGTTAACATAGCTTTATATTTCAGAAGTCGTCAATGATTAGTATATAGACAGCTCAATTATCATACTATGAATTTTCTGTATCACTGTTGAATATGTTTCCCTATCCTCTTTGCTCAGAGAAGTTTTATCATTGTCGGGAAATCGTACACTCAGGTGTCTGAGATTTTTATTGTACATTAATCTTGTTAATAGATTCTTAATGACTTGATTTTAGGCTTATGATGACATAAAAAGACAAGAAGGTTCAGACATTGGTGATAAGAAGCAAGTTTTTAAATATTCAGCAGAGAGTGAATTATCTACACAATTAATGGATGATTTAAAGAAAAGGATACAAGAAACAAAAGAGAAGGTATATATATATATATATATGTATATATATATATATATATATATATATATATATATATAACCAGTCTAAAAGGGTACAACATCGTACCTGCTAGTCAAATGCGTTTTGTTAAAATATACTTTTTCACTCGTTTGGTCTTTTGGAAAATGTTGTTTGTGCTGTATTTAGACCCCTCTACCAAGAAATTTGTTTTGCAGGCACACGTATAAAAATTGCGGTTTTTATGCAACGCAATCATAGGTTTGCACGTTGTTTTCAATTTAGACTTGTTTATATTTTTTCGTTTGGGCTTGTATTATATTTGCCTTCAGGTTTATATGATCCGTTCATCCTATTTTGACTCTTTCAAAATTCAAGAGTCTATCCTAAAATGAGGTAAATTATATGGCCTTCCAAATATGGTTTCGATTCCTAACATCACTGAAGAGACATTTTAAAATTGTCGAAATCCGGATATGGTGTACAAATTTTTGCACCTCATGTTTGCGGTATACCATCTTTTCCGCAAGTTTATTGTTTTCTGTTTGGTAATAAATTTATAATAATAAGATCTATTTTGTTACATCTTGTGATCCGTTTATTTGGCAATCGCCAATGGCAGTCAGCAGGGTTTAAGAACATCAGTTGTTCGACCTGCTAGTCAAATGCGTTTTGTTAAAATATACTTTTTCACTCGATTGGTCTTTTGGAAAATATTGTTTGTGCTGTATTTAGACCCCTCTACCAAGAAATTTGTTTTGCAGGCACACGTATAAAAATTGAGGTTTTTATGCAACGCAATCATAGGTTTGAACGTTGTTTTCAATTTAGACTTGTTTATATTTTTTGTTTGGGCTTGTATTATAAAAAGTTGCCTTCGGGTTTATATGATCCGTTCATCCTATTTTGACTCTTTCAAAATTCAAGAGTCTATCCTAAATTGAGGTAAATTATATGGCCTTCCAAATACGGTTTCGATTCCTAACATCACTGAAGAGACATTAATTGTCGAAATCCGGAAATGGTGTACAAATTTTTGCACCTCATGTTTGCGGTATACCATCTTTTCCGCAAGTTTATTGTTTTCTGTTTGGTAATAAATTTATAATAATAAGATCTATTTTGTTACATCTTGTGATCCGTTTATTTGGCAATCGCCAATGGCAGTCAGCAGGGTTTAAGAACATCAGTTGTTCGACCTGCTAGTCAAATGCGTTTTGTTAAAATATACTTTTTCACTCGTTTGGTCTTTTGGAAAATGTTGTTTGTGCTGTATTTAGACCCCTCTACCAAGAAATTTGTTTTGCAGGCACACGTATAAAAATTGAGGTTTTTATGCAACGCAATCATAGGTTTGAACGTTGTTTTCAATTTAGACTTGTTTATATTTTTTCGTTTGGGCTTGTATTATATTTGCCTTTGGGTTTATATGATCCGTTCATCCTATTTTGACTCTTTCAAAATTCAAGAGTCTATCCTAAATTGAGGTAAATTATATGGCCTTCCAAATACGGTTTCGATTCCTAACATCACTGAAGAGACATTAATTGTCGAAATCCGGATATGGTGTACAAATTTTTGCACCTCATGTTTGCGGTATACCATCTTTTCCGCAAGTTTATTGTTTTCTGTTTGGTAATAAATTTATAATAATAAGATCTATTTTGTTACATCTTGTGATCCGTTTATTTGGCAATCGCCAATGGCAGTCAACAGGGTTTAAGAACATCAGTTGTTCGACCTGCTAGTCAAATGCGTTTGTTAAAATATTCTTTTTCACTCGTTTGGTCTTTTGGAAAATGTTGTTTGTGCTGTATTTAGAACCCTCTACCAAGAAATTTGTTTTGCAGGCACACGTATAAAAATTGAGGTTTTTATGCAACGCAATCATAGGTTTGAATGTGTTTTCAATTTAGACTCCTGTACGAAATGGGACGCCCGTAAATGACACGGAAACCAGGCGTAGAAATCATACTTTATCAGGGCATCATTGTAGTGTTTACGGAATGCATGTCCAGGTGTCAACCAGGCGTCAACCAGGCGGAAACCAAGCGTAACTGAGGCGGAAACCAGGCGTAATATTTAAATGAGTACGCCTGGTCCACAGAAAACCAGGCGTTATATGCAAATGAGTACGCCTGGTCAATAAAAAAAACAGGCGTTATATCCTTACATAATACTACACTTATTTTAAATCAGTGTTTTACCCTAGCTGTGTACTTTTGTGTATTTGATACAAACTTCTGTACTATTGCTTAAATTTCTCATTGTTTGACATGAAACTTGAAATATTAACCATTAATTGAAGAAGCTATATAAATAAATACATATTGGACAGACACTGGCTCAAATAAGTTTAAGTTTAAATTAGAATTATGGCAATTAATTCTTCCTGAAATAAAACCAGCATTTTAACTAAGTTTTTTTTTGAAAATTAATGTCATTTGAACCAAAATATCAATGATAATACTGCAATTTAACTTAATGTGAAAGATTTTAATGTTATCCAAGGATGAAGGTTTTCAGAATTCAAAATTACTGTTAAAAAATAAAACTTTGTTACTCACATAATTATCTCTTACCATGTATATTACTTTCCTTTTATTTCACAATTTTCATTAATCAATTTGATTCCATAATTCCAATTTCAAATTCTTCCAAATTATCCCTGAATATATAAAGCTGCCATAAGTCCAACTCTTGCAAAATAATACCAAAGAGCCAAATTTTGAAAAAAAAAATCCCATGATCCTTTATCAACAAAGCATTATGGGTATTATGATTTACGCCATTACAACAGTTTTACGCCCATAGGAAAATTTACGCCTTGCTTATTTCAATTTACGCCAGGTTTACCATATTTTCTACGCCCGTAAGGACTACAAATTTACGTTTCCTGTTCCGTTACGCCTGGATCTGGACACGTAACTACCACTTACGCCTGGTTTACGCCAGATTTCCAGGCGTAATACGCCTTATAATTTCGTACGGGAATTTTGTTTATATTTTTTCGTTTGGGCTTGTATTATATTTGCCTTCTGGTTTATATGATCCGTTCATCCTATTTTGACTCTTTCAAAATTCAAGAGTCTATCCTAAATTGAGGTAAATTATATGGCCTTCCAAATACGGTTTCGATTCCTAACATCACTGCAGAGACATTAATTGTCGAAATCCGGATATGGTGTACAAATTTTTGCACCTCATGTTTGCGGTATACCATCTTTTCCGCAAGTTTATTGTTTTCTGTTTGGTAATAAATTTATAGTAATAAGATCTATTTTGTTACATCTTGTGATCCATTTATTTGGCAATCGCCAATGGCAGTCAGCAGGGTTTAAGAACATCAGTTGTTCGACCTGCTAGTCAAATGCGTTTTGTTAAAATATACTTTTTCACTCGTTTGGTCTTTTGGAAAATGTTATTTGTGCTGTATTTAGACCCCTTTACCAAGAAATTTGTTTTGCAGGCACACGTATAAAAATTGCGATTTTTATGCAACGCAATCATAGGTTTGAACGTTGTTTTCAATTTAGACTTGTATATATATATATATATATATATATATATATATATAATAAACAAAAGAAAAGTAAAGAAAGGCAACTTTTACATAGAAAAGTAGACATAGTCTAAGATTGATTCGACATCTGATAGCCTTTTTGGGACTTGCTGCCACCATGAGACATCAGAGTGCATTCAATATAGAAAACATGGAAATTTCTGATGTGGTGGAAAGTTTCTGTCTCCAAATCGTAATTTAAGAGATCTTTTTTCAAGCTGATAGAAATAGCTTTGTTTGTTTCCTTATTTATCTTTCTTCAAGAATATGTACCTCTTATTCATTGACTTTCCATTGTAGCATAATTTATCTGCTTGACAATGGATCTTTTACAATTTCAAAACAGAAACATGCAGTCTAGTCTGGCTTGGCAATTTCAATTTTGGCTATATGAAATGTGCTCAAAGGTCCTACTGCCAGAGGAAGTCACAAAAAGCTGTGAGATGTCAGAGCAATTTTGGACTTAAAAGTAGTATAATGATGTTTTATTGTAAATTCAGAAAACATCGTGTGCATTTATTATTGCAACTGACAATAAGTCAAGAAGAAATTAATGTGATTCATATATTTGTTGTACATGTAGTAGAATATTACTAGCAAAGAAGTTAATGCAAGTTTAACTTTAGGAATGTCCATGATGTCACATTATTTGCTTGAGTAAATATTTAACATGAATATTTGAATTAATAGTATCTTTTTTCATGCCACGTATGCCATCTATTAATTTTCCATTCAAAATCTGGTTTTTCAGACAAAAGGCTCTATAAAAATAAAGTTTGTAGAGTGCAGTGATTTTAGTGAATATTATGTAATATTTATTAAATATTATACAATTACTGTCTTTTGATGTGGTAAATGTGTGGTTTTATTGACTTTTGAAAAAGTGAATGTCACTAGGTTTTTCAAAAGTCAATTAAACCACATATTTACTGAAACAAAAGACAGTAATTGTTTTATTCCATGTTCCGAGAGAGAAAAATATGTTTAAAATAACAGTTATTTACCAAAACCAACTAAACGTCAAACATTGTATCGTAATTATACACGTAAATGCATGTGACGTTTTGTGCGGTGAATATACTTTTTCCGCAGGTGAATATGCATATTTATTCAAAACCCCATTCATACAGAAAAACCTACTAAAGTTCTATCAATATGGAATAAAATTTCTTATTTTTAGACTTAGAGAAATGTAAGGTATTATAAATGTTTGTTGGAAGTTCTTTCAAATGCGCATCTTTTTTGTAACCTTGATATCTATAAGTATTTTATACAGTTTGTTGCAAAAAGTGTTTATAATAATAAGAAGATGTGGTATGATTGCCAATGAGACAACTCTCCACCAGAGACCAAATGAAGTAGCACATAAGAAACTATAGGTCAACTACAGCCTTCAACAATTAGCAAAACCCATACTGCATAGTAGGCTATAGGCTATAAAAGGCCCTGAAATGACAAATGTAAAACAAGTTAAATGAGAAAACTAACAGCATGATTGCATATCTTATGTTTCCTCTTCGGTGAAGGAATTAACTGTAATTGTTTCTTCACATTATTAAATGCTTACAATGTCATAGAAGGAATATGAAAAACAACCAGCAATGACAAAGCTCTCCTATTAAAGTACTTGACAAATTACTGTTGAAAAATTAGTTAAAATCCCCACTTAGAACAGTCATATCCACTTTTTTTAATTCAATTTATATCAGTAACGTCACTTGTAATGTTTCTAACTCATCAACCTTGTGAGGTTTTTAGTCACTTTAATGTTCAACTTTAACAAATTCTCCATTATTTTTGTATTATAGCTTCTGTGATGTCATTTTAATTTCTGTCTGAGATTGTTAGAGCTTTAATGCTAAAACAGTCCATGAAATGAAGATGTTTTAAGTTTTTTAAGTCTGCTTAGTTATTTTAGTATTCGAAAGAAATGAGCAATTCCTCACAAAAATGAATGCAAAATAAATTAATAGTAGGATAGACCATGACTGGTATCACTAAAAATACCAGATTGTAGGCACATGGTTTATCAAATTATTTTGATAAATTTCCAATTTCCAGCAAACATTTAGCTTAGAAAAAGTTTTGAATTAGTAATTTTCAGCAAAATTTCTATATATGCCGCAGGATAGGTCAAACCTCTAAATATTTTAAAACCACAATTTAATATGATACAGAAATGATAATTTCATTTTGCTGTGTTATTTCAGAATTATTAGTAAAAATTTTGAATAATTATTTCCCAGAAAAAAAGGGTATAATGAAAAACAGATAAATATACAAATATAGTTACTTTCTTTTTCAAATAAATATTCAGTTTGTTTAAGTATTTTGATTGATTGCTGTTTGCATAATGTCCAGTGGCAAATATTTCATCCATATACAGAACGAAAGAGTTTTGAACAATATTTAAGTATACAGACACAGTTTTCTGAATTATTAATCATTATTATTTGTTCTGATATTTTTTGTAGACACTTGGTGTATATATGAATTACAAGACACCAGCTGAGGTAAGACTTGTTGAAACTGTGAATGTTGCATTTAGTGATATTATGTATATATTTATAGATTTAAGATATTTATACATCGTATGATTTATAAAATGCATTAGACTTAAAATTTAGTGTGCAATTAAAAAATGACTTTAAAAACTCATCAAAGATACCATTAGCATGATTAGGCTTATGATTTGATATGCCAGAGGTGCATTTCTTCTATATAAGTCTCATCAGTGTAGCTGGCTTTAAAACTGACAATGGCATTGATAAGTAAACACAGTGTGTTTGTCATTTACAAAGGTCTGTTTGACTCCAAACTTAATTGACTAAGATTTCCAGCTTTCCTGCAGAAGGCTGTGGTTCTCCCCTGGCACTCAGTCTTCCTGTACCAATAAAATCTGGCTGCCAGGATGTTAGCCAAAAGTGCTGAAAGTGGTGTTAAACACCAACAATCAATCAATCATTTTAAAAGTTGCATGTATGCATATCTTTATATCCTGTTTAGAATGATATTGCCTGTTTGTAACTGTTTTATGTAGGAGACTTTTTCTGTAGATAGGCAGTTATTATTTTTTCATGCTGTATATTGTTAATTTGGTGCTATTTATAGGGTGCAGAACTCATGTTCAATGACATATGGAAATATTTAACAGAAGTCCTTTTAAAAGATGCAAGGGTTGAATCTAAATCAAGTCGGATTAATTCTGAACATGATGCTTTCCTGTCAAGCAGAAGTTTACTATATGTGGGGAATGAAAGTTATATACAGAAGCTTACAGCTAATATTAATTCAGGTATGTCATATCTTGGAACATTTTGATTTGTTTGAAGACCATCTTTCAACACAGGGCTCAGGAATCTTATTTAAGTTGGAAATATGCTCTTAAGTACCCAATGAAAATAAGACCTGGTTTGTTTATTCCTAAGTGTTTTCATTGAATAAGAATATATTATGATTTAAAATAAAATTCCCAAACCCCTTTGTTTTAAATCAAAAATTAGATTGGAGAAGAAGGAGTAAGCTTAATTTGCATGAAAAAAATGGTCTAATGAAAACCAGAGAATAACCAATTTATTGAACTACAACGTTATAATTTATCTTTTTAAACTTTAAGTTACTGACGGGTCTGAAATGATGTGGGCATAACAACTAAAAATTTGGATTTGTGTTTATTTGTATTTATTAGTATTAATGGAGTTATTTAGGTACAGTAAAATATTTCTTACATCTGGTTTTTATTGGTAAATAGCTACATTTGTTACCAAAGGGACATAATTTACAATTTTAAACTTGATATCAAAGAACTTTTCATAATCAAAATTTCAACAAAGAATACAGGCCAAAATATAATGTATTATACTTATAATTGAACATTAATCCCAAATTTTATGTCTTAATGAAGTTATTAAACATTTAAAGGTACGACTCCATTGTATTTTACCATAAATCAAGTAAGTTAAAGTTGGAATTTCTCTTGATGTCTCAGTTGATGACCTAAAAAAGAGTGCTTTCACCTGACAGCACGAGTATGATAGTCAATTTGCCATTGTATTTAAGTATCACACAACCAATTCACCCACTAACATTTAGAACATATGTAACAGTAGCCCTACTCTGACAAACAAGAGTGCTTTTGATGATGCTGTTTGCTTAAACTAACATTTCAATTTGCATGATTTTCAGAATGAGAAATACATTTTGACCAATGAAAATTAATGTAAACTATTGAAATGTCACAAAGAAAAGTAAATACGAAAAAATGCACACATAATCAATGTATACACATTTTTATACAACCGCAAAAAAATTTTGCAGTCATATATTGGTATGACGTTGGCGTCGGTGTCGTCGTCGACGTCGTCGTCCGAAGACACATTGATTTTCGCACTCTAACTTTAGTTTAAGTGAATGGATCTCTATGAAATTTTACCATAAGGTTCAATACCACAAAAGGAAGGTTGGGATTGATTTTGGGGGTTATGGTACCAACAGTTACTTTAAGGAAAAAGGGGCCAAAAATAAGCATTTTTGTAACTTCCAGACATTACTTGTGTGTTAGTGTATGGATCTCTCTGACATTGTATCACAAGGTTCCATATCACAAAGGGAATGCTGGGATTGATTTTGGGGGTAATTGCCTCAAAATTTTAGGAATTAGGGGCCAAAAAAGGGGCAAAAAACAAGCATTTTTCTAGTTTCCAGACAATAACTTGTGTGTAAGTGTATGGATCTTTCTGAAATTGTACTACAAGGTTCCATATCACAAAGGGAAAGCTGGAATTGAGTTTGGGGGTAATTGCCCAAAACGTTTAGGAATAAGGGGCCAAAAAGGGGCCAAAAATAAGCATTTTTCTAGTTTCCAGACAATAACTTGTGTTCAAGTGTATGGATCTCTCTGAAATTGTACTGCAAGGTACCATACCACAAAGGGAAGGCTGGGATTGATTTTGGGGGTAATTGCCTCTAAATTTTTAGGAATTGGGGGCCAAAAAGGGGCTAAAAACAAGCATTTTTCTAGTTTCAGGACAATAACTTGTGTGTAAGTGTATGGATCTTTATGAAATTGTACTACAAGGTTCCATATCACAAAGGGAAAGCTGGTTTTGAGTTTGGGGGTAATTGCCCTAAACGTTTAGGAATTTAGGGCCAAAAAGGGGCCTAAGAACAAGCATTTTTCTAGTTTCCAGACAATAACTTGTGTTCAAGTGTATGGATCTCTCTGAAATTGTACTGCGAGGTACCATACCACAAAGGGAAGGCTGGAATTGAGTTTGGGGGTGATGAATCATAAGGGGGTTCAAAAAATTTGGGGAGGGATTTTTTTTTCTTTAAAATTTTTCATTTTAAATTGGTTATTTCTGATTTATATATAAAAGCAAATAATAATGATATGGTTAGAATAGGTAAATTAAAAAATTTTAAGGTTCTTAGACCACATTCATTCTGTGTCAGAAACCTGTGACAAATATTTAATCACAATCCAAATTCAGTGCTGTATCAAGCTTGAATGTTGTGTCCATACTTGCCCCAACTGTTCAGGGTTCAACCTCTGCGGTCGTATCAAGCTGCGCCCAGCGGAGCATTTCATTTCACATTAAAGATACCTTCTTCAGTTTTTTTCTTTATAAACAGTAAACTTTAATGATATGAAAGTTTCCCTCTAAACCACTTAGGCCAAATGTGCATCAGAATCTACTCTACATTTTTTCCTGTATCCAACATATCCTCTTCTTGCAGTCAATATTTGCCACCCATCATCAAAGTGATCCCACTTTGCAAGGCTATTATTGGATTTATTGGTAATCTGTTCTTATCCTGAAAAGGCATGAAATATTTCCCACTGGACATTAGGCAAACAACTCTTATCAAGCATCATCTATTACCATTGTAGAGAACCCAGTATGGTATGCTATAACAGGACCTGCAGGAAGTGGCAAGTCCTCACTGTTGTCCCATTGGTTGAAACAGATAAAGTCTGATGCTACCTACTCTGATCTGTGTGTTGTTTATCATTTTGTTGGTGCTGCAGAGGAGAGTACAGGTAGAATTTGTTCAGTATAGTACTGTATTCATGGTAATTAATTGGAAAACTATATCTATGATCTTGTTTTTACATCTCTTTGAATCTGTATATATATAAACCTATTTGGTGTTTGACCATGATCTCATAGGTTTTGATATGCAGAGTTTAAGTATAAGAACTAAACTGCAGGGTCATAAGAATCTCAATCATGTGATTTCCTTGTCTGTTGAAAATTTCTGTTATTAAGAGTCAGAATAACAATTCATATAAAAAACAGAATAATAATGAATCCACAGTATTTGAAATCAAAACATCCATCACTGTTTGACTCATCTATTTTATTTAATGTAGATATTAAAAGTATGCTGGGTAGGTTAATACAAGAATTGAATAATCAGGCAGGAGACAACATAGAGAAAGACCAGAAGAAAGTACCTGAACAGATGGTGGAACGAGTGAATGAGTTTGTTGTTTGTTTAGAGAGAGTCATAAGCATTGGGAAAACACCAGTTTTGGTTATTGATGGAGTTGAAAAAATCAAAAAGTCCACCAAAGTAGAGAAGGTATTTTTTTTATTGCAATCAGGTTTTTGTCTCATCTGTTATAACATTTGGGAAGGCAAGACATTGGTATAGCTTTCATGGCTACATCACGGGCTGTGTAGTTAAATATGAAAAGTAACTTGTTATGTTATCCACACTTTCAGTGGGACTAGGCAATATTTTTATGGAGGTTGTAAATCCTATGGCATGCATGTATAAGGTCAGGACACACAAAGAAGGCTAAATACATATATATGTTTTTATATAGCCTAGTTTGTTGGTCAAGTGGTCTAGGGCGCTGGACACAGTACAGGCGGTGTTGCCACAATGTCTCAGATGCAGGGTTGGAATCAAGCTGAGGGAAGAACACATATAGCAGATCTACCTTTGTTGGGCTAAATATGAGAGATGAAGTATACATAAATTATGCTGTTAGCCCAGTATAACCACAGGTTATCCAATGGAGAACGTCTGTCGTAAAGTTGTCACATATCTAGATGCAAGTTCCTTGTCTGTATTTCCACCAGGGTTCTCACTAAGGCAAGTCCGTGAGTCCTGGACTCATAAAAATCTGTCTGGACTCCTTATGTTCAAAACTTGATGTCATTTTCTTGCTCTATTTTGTCTTGGGGACTGAAATCATAAATGATATAGCAATAGAATTTTAACTTCTCACTGTTGGACTCACCATGGGCAAAAATGACGAGTCCCTGAACTTGCCTTCAAATTTCCTTAGTGAGATCCCTGTCCATAAAGATAAGAAGATTTGCAGTGAAATATCAGACAAAGTGATGCATGCAATTGAAGATTTTATATGTATATACTGTTATTGTAGCCACTGTACTGGTTGCCAAAAAATCTTCCTGCAGGAGTAAGAATGGTTATCAGTACAAAATCATCAGACCATGAAAACATTAAAGAACTGGTTGAGGAAATGAAATTTCAACAGATTGAAATTTTACCACTGACTGAATTTGAACAAAAAGAACTAAGTGAAGTAAGATTTCAGTTTGTATAGATTCTATTGTAGCTTGTCTTGTACTATATTTTGATTAACATTAAAATGCAAAAGTAAATATCATTTGTTTAGCTCATAAGTTCATATTTGTTTTAAATATATGTATGTTGAACAGTGAAAAAAGTTTTTTTTAGCAAATCAGGTCTGTTTGTAGACCTACAAAAATTCTCTTTAATTTTCTTTTTCTTTTTTCTTTTTTTTTTTGGAAAAAGTGGGGGGTGAGGGATGGGCTGTCTTTTACCTTTCTCTCTGTTCATACTTTTGATTTTGTAAACATAGATTGAACACTAATTTTAGAACGTACTGAATAAGAAAAAGAACGACATTTATTAGTTTTTTTAGTGTATTTTATTTTCAAATGTAAACTAGCTATTAGATCAGTTCCAAATTATTTATTTTTGTTGCAGCACTAGATATTTTTTAAACAACTCTTGATAAAAAGTAAAATAGTCCCATAGTCAATCTTATGAGGCTTAGTTTTGATTTATATATATATGCTCTCCTAAATCTTGATTGATTTCTTTCACAGAAAAGTCTGATGCAGAGTGGTAAGCAACTTTCGCCACCTCAGATGGAGAGGATAGTAGCTGCTGAGGAGACAAAGAACCCACTCTACCTCAAAACTACACTAAATGTAAGAATTTACTGTTGCATAACTGTAATCATGTATCACCACAGAATTTTTTTTTCAAAGGTGGAACTTATAAAGCAATTATCTTAACCGTTGAAAACTTATAGGTTGAATGTTTACCTTTTACAATACTCTTAGATACATATATATGAGGGTGCAGAAATGTATGTATTTTTATTTTATAACGAAAAAAATCAAACTTAATTATAGTCTTTCAAAACTACATTGATTAGGAATTATTTTTATGAGATACCTCATATAATCTCAAAATTTAATGGTTATGCTGAGAATTTCAAGGTATTTGCAAATATGTCTTTTCCAGGAATTAGTTGTATTTGGTTATTTTAGACTGTTGGATAAGAAAATTGATTCCTTGATTTCATGTCCAAGGTAAGTGTAACTCAGTAAAACTATACAAAGTTTGTCTAATTAGATGTGCAAATATTTACCTGAAAAGCTTTTTTTTTTTGAGACTTTATGATTTAACAGTATTTAAAAAAAATCATGGAAATTACAATTTGACTTATGATCTAGTGTAAATATTTCAAAATATGGAATAAGAATACTGGGTTCATGTGATTCCAATTTCGATTTTATGAATGAACTGCCCAAGTTGACCTGGGGTCATTTGGGGGGAAACACATGATCATAGGACATTTTGACCTAAAGATATTTGCTTTGTAACATCAAATTTTTCTGGGAAATGCACCAATTGGAAAATCATGTAATATCATTGTTTAATGGTTCACCAAAATCTGAAAATACCCAATGTAATGTGGATTTGATTTTTGAACAGTTATAACTTATGACACAATTTTTGACATCAATACAAATTGTTATCCACAATTAGAGTGCTTCCAAAGGAATTTTATTGTGAAAACTTTCAGTCCTATATCAAAGCTTATGGTTTATAGTTGTTCAGTTTATATCTGTCAGTGTTTCTTTTGAAATTTTATAGGAACTGCTGAAACTTCCAAAATAGATCCTGGATTTTAGAGGAGGTCATATGAATGTTGCCCAATCTTTGTTTATTTTCCTGAACAAAGTTGTAGAGGCAAGACTTATGCATGCTGCTTCTGGCAAAGTTTTTGATAAGGGCAGTTTATAGTAAGAGAAACCACTAACGGAAAGTCAATGATATTTGACATGCAGTTTTGTTAATGTTAGCTAATCTCAATTCCATAGATTTTATATGGCCCTGCCCCCTCATTCATGGTTCAATGTCTTTGAAACTTTTTCATATTGGTCATGTTCAAGTTTGTGATTAGGTCAGCTTAAAGGGAACTAGTATATGAGCTGTGTCGGATAGAAATAGACCTTATGCAAATGAATATCAATACATCTGTTAACATATTTCGGGTTGAAAAAATCTCAAAGTATCTGTAACTATTTGAAAATTGAGTTGATATAAGAACCCTTTAAAAGAGACCAAAATTCATTTTTTATTTTGTATTTGAATGTTCCAAAATCAATCAAAGTTTTATACATGTACATGTATACGTGCACTTGCATAAGGTCGATTTCTATCCAACCATGCACCTCATATGATAAGTCCATGACATGTGGTATGCAGATGCATTAGCATTGCCATGTCAACTATGGAAAATTTTCAGATTCCGTAAAACATATATTAATTTCAACATTTGAATTATACTATCAAACCTACATAAATCTGAAACATAGATTACATCGTAAAGTATTGCCATTTTAATATGAACATCTCGTTTTACTATAAAAATTACAAACAGGTGAGACATATTACTGTGTCAATAGTTTATATGTCAACAAATTGAGTGATATCACACTTGATGTAGTTGTAGTATTTATATTCATAGCTGATATTTTACATGAAAATAGAAACTTTAGGTTTAAAAATACATTATATAGTTCAGGGTAACATAGTTTTTTTTTGTCGTATGAAGGCCTTTAGTATAATTATGTAAAATTGTTTGTTTGTTGTCTTTTACTTTAGTTACCATATTTTTTCAGTGTCGTTGACTTATTTGACAAAGTTTTAGAAAGACTAGAAGATGATTATAATGTGAAAGAATATGCAGGAAATTTAGTGGAACAGGTATAATGATATACATGTGTTTATATACGGACTGTTACACATAATTATACCATTGATTACATTTTTGTTTGTTTGGTTATTACTTTTTTGGTAAAATTTACTCAAATTATCAAGTATTAATGAAAAACTTTAACATAAAATATTGCCCCAAAAGTTCACTTATTCTAAAAGTAGAATTATGTATGATAATTCAAAATCAGAAGAAAAAGAATAAACTGTTGAGTCATCAACCCTCAGGTTAAACTGTCAGAAATCAGTTATGATGTATTTCATTTTTGTCTCGCCTGACAGAGTCAAAAAGCTAGACATAGGTATGCTGCTCTGCTGTCGGCGGCATCGTCGTCAACAATGCATTAGTTTGTGATTAGGTCTAGTTTATGGTGAAGCACTAGTGGTAGGTCAATGATATTTAGTATGCAGTTGTATTAGCATTGGCACATCTCATTACCTTGGAGATTATTAGGCCCCGCCCCCCTCAGTCATGGTCTTTTGACTTTGAAACTTTGCTTAGTTTACATGTATTAGTTTGTGATTAGGTCAGTTTATGGGGAACCACTAGTGGTAGGTCAACGATATTTGGTATGCAGTTGTATAAGCATTGGCATATCTCATTTCCATGGAGATTATTTGGCCCCACCCCCTCAGTCATGGTCTATTGACTTTGAAACTTTTGCTTAGTTTTCATGTATTAGTTTTTGATTAGTTCAGTTTAAGGGGAACCTTTAGTAGTAGGTCAATGATAATTGGTATGCAGTTGTATAAGCATTAGCACATCTCATTTCCATGGAGAATATTTGGTCCTTTCCCCTCAGTCATGGTCTATTGACTTTGAAACTTTTGCTTAGTTTACATGGTCTATTGACTTTGAAACTTTTGCTTAGTTTACATGGTCTATTGACTTTGAAACTTTTGCTTAGTTTACATGTATTAGTTTGTGATTAGGTCAGTTTAAGATGAACCACTAATGTTAAGTCAATGATATTCGGTAAATACATTTGCAAGTTTCATTTCCATGGAGGTTATATAACCCCACTCCCTCATTATGGTTCATTGACTTTGAAACTTTTACAAGTTAATGTTTGTGTTTAGGTTTGTTTAAATGGAATGACTTATGGAAAGTCAATGGTATTTGGTATGCAGTTGTATTAGCATTGGCACATCTCATTTCCATGGAGAATGTTTAGCTCTGTACCTTCAGTCATGGTTCATTGACTGAATATTTGCATAACTTACATGTTAAAGTATTGCTATTTTAATTTCAACATTTGCATTATCAAAATAACAAATAGGCGAGACATATCTCTGTGTTAACAGTTTATTAATGAGATATTTTCTGTTCTACCTTTTAACTTGGTGCATATAAGAAAACATAAATTACATTTAAATTTAACAATAATTCAATATGAGTAATATCCTAACCTAACAAGACATATTTTACATAATAATATATTTTGATGTATTTTCTTTCACAAGGATGTTGCTCGTACATGTATTTGATTCAAACAGAATCTTTACAACACTCTATTGTTTATTATGACAGTCACCAGTAGGGCATTTTTATAAACTCAATTCACATTTTTTACCAAAGTGGCTTTTTCATTTGGCAATAAAACCAGTAGGAATTTTTTTTATCAAATTTTGAAACAGGTTTGGTTAAAAAGCAAAAAGATTCACTTCTTTTAACATAGACATTTCAGCTATTTGACAGATATTATAAAGGGTTGAAATTGAGTAGCCCATGTGACTATTAAAGATAAAAAAGAGGTAAAAGCTACCTAAGGGATATTCAGACTCATAAGTCGATAACAAACTGACAATGCCATGACATATTAAATTTTTATTCAAAATAAGTTAAACATAAGTATTGGACTCCATTTGATGCTTAAATGGTACTGAAAAAACATGATTTCACAATTAAAATTTTAGGCTCATTAGTAGCAAAAAGAGGGGCATTTGACCATTGATGATAAAGGCCACTTCTACCCTCTTACAAGAAATGTATATAATTTCAGGCATTATGCTCCATTTGTTTGTCAAACCAAGGATTGTCAGAGACAGATATCAAGGCAATCTACAACATACCAGCCCATATTTGGTCATCACTATACTTTGCTTTACGAACATACATTATAGAACAGAATGGAATAATTAGGTAAAAGTTTTACTTTCTCTAAGCATTCATAGATCTTTGCTTATTTTGGTTTAAAATTTTCTCTCTCATCAGTTTTAATTGTTTGTCTTTTTGTAAGCTAAGTTGCTCAGCTCATTTTGGCAGCTGATGAATACCTTTTATAAATATAAGGAGATGCGGTATGATTGTCAATGAGACAACTGTCCACCTAAGTTCAAATGATGAAGATAAAAGAAGATAAAAGCAATTAGGTATACGTCACTGTACAGCCTTCAAGAATGAAAAAAATAACCATACTGCAGGCGGAAACCCAGTTGAAATTAAACAAAAGAAATGGAACTCTTTGTTAGAGAAGGGAAAACAGGCATAATTGGTAAATTTGAATTGTTTACATCTGTTTCTATGGGCTTTAAAAATTTAATGAACGTGCCTAATTTAGAAATTTATGCATCTTATGTATGTGTTTGTACTTGAATTGTGGTATGGAGCTTTGAGATACTTGAAAACTTTTAAATTATAGACAAATTTTCACAAAACAGTCGATTGTGGTAGGTGCAAATACATGTGGATCTTTTTTGTGCATAAGCATAAATTTCGCCGAAAAAAAATTACAAAGAAAGATAATAGATTGATCTTTTTAAAGCATTGATTTGCATCTCTGCCCCTAGCAACAGTTTTTTTGGAAAAAATCCCCAAAATGGGCAATAATTTCATCAAAAAGAGAAAGTCGAGTACACCTTTTTATGTTCAGGCGTGTTTGAGTTGACTATTCTGTCTTGAAAACGCATAAAAGAAAAATATTTGATACATCATCGCTTCAGATTCTATTATTTTTATATATTTAGGCTCTAGGTTGATATAATAACATTAAATATTTACAGTACTAAAAAATGAAATATATGGGTCAAGTGAAATACCTTTCTAATGAGTCGTAACAACAGAGTAGGTGTGTTCGAATGACACATTTTTACTAAAAGTACTTAACTACAGACTTTTCAAGTGGATCTTAAAAATGCATAACTTCAAAAAACTTCATTTTTTGTGTGTGTTATCTATGGTAATTAGTCTTCAACCTCTGAAAATTTTTAGTCTTCCCTTCCACGAAATATTTAATAGAATTTTTTCAAATATTTTTGAACTTTCGAAAATTCCCCATGACAACCGATCAGACAATAGTTTTACGTTGACCAAATGCAGAAAAGAACATTAAATGATACTCAATAGCTGGTAGATACATTTGTCTTTTAAAATACAACTGGCATATAAGGATCGTAATGGTGTTATGTGGATAAATTTATCGGTTTTCAAGAGCTATATTGACAGGGTGTCATCACTACAATGGCTTCTAAAAATTAGATTGCGTAATGGGGAGATAATTTTGACAAAGTAGAATCCTGACTGACTGTATGGTCAGCTTTAAAAAGACCCAGACATGACAACAATTCACACGAGAAAACTTATGGCCTAATTTATACCATACAATTTACGAAAAACAAATGAACCAACAACAACCACTGTATTACAGGCTGCTGACTTGGGATAGCCACATAAATAATGTGGCGGGGTTAAACATGTTTGTGACCACTCACAATTTTTATATGTTTTGTTATATAGATATTATGAATTTTGACATCCTTTTAGCTTTTTGCATTTTGAATTACCTTTGACCCTTTTATTGCAAAAATAATTAAAAAATGCTTATATATTTTAATAGAATGTATTATTTACTATAGATTTGCATTCACTGAATTAGAAGAAGCAGTTTCAAAAAGATATTTAAGGACAAGCAAGAACAGGTAGATCTATATGTTTACCCTTACCATGCAGGTCTTGTCATTTGATGGGTAAGGTGCCATTTTCAGTTTTAGTTCCATAGTTTCAAAAGGGGGGCTTTATCCATTTTTCTCTTTTCACAGAATATACTTCTATTTTCATGGTATTCAGCGTAATTTAATGAATAAAGGTATAAAAATTCAGACCAGACATGTTGCGTTTCCAAAATAATGCATTTTTAATGTGGTTGGCTGAACTTTTTGCACCCGCAAATGCAAGTCAAGGAAATTTAAAGTCCAGAAAGTTTCCAGACATGCGAAAATACAAATACTGCAACTGTTTTCGGAAAATAGGGGCAAGGAAATGATCGCTTCTGGTTTGAGGATCACATTTAGTCAAACATTATAAAAATTCGTAAATTTGACCCTTTTTTTTTACCACAATGGCCACTACTAGACTACATAGACTACTGCAGCAAGGCATGGTATTCCTCCAATGGTATCACTCATAGGGTAAAGTTTCTCCCAAAGGACCACTCTGGGCAGAACACGAAAAAAAAACAACCTTCCAGCATTCATTTGACTGCTTTTAATTTTTAGCTCACCTGGCCCAATGGGCCATGTGAACTTTTCTCATCACTTGGCGTCCGTCGTCTGTTGTCGTCGTACGTTAACTTTTACAAAAATCTTCTCCTCTGAAACTGCTGGGTCAAATTTAACCAAACTTGGCCACAATCATCATTAGGGTATCTAGTTTAAAAAATGTGTCCGATGACCCCGCCTTCCAACCAACATGGCCGACATGGCTAAAAATAGAACATAAGGGTAAAATGCAGTTTTTGGCTTATATCAATGAAACTGTAACATTAAAACCAAATCTGAAATGGTAAAAATGTTCATCAGGTTTAGATGTATCTGCCCTGAAATTTTCAGACGAATCAGACAACCTGTTGTTGGGTTGCTGCCCCTGATGTGGTAATTTTAAGGAAATTTTGCAGTTTTTGGTTATTATCTTAGATATTATTATATATAGAGATAAACTGTCAACAGCAATAATGTTCAGCGAAGTATGACCTACAAATAAGTCAATATGACCAAACTTGTCAATTGACCCCTTAAGGAGTTATTGCCTTTTATAGTCAATTTTTCGTAAATTTTTGTAATCTTTTACAAAAATCTTCTCCACTTAATCTACTGGGCCAAATAGAATTAAACTTAGCCACAATTTTCAATAGGGTATCTTGATTGAAAAATGTATCCGATGACCTTGTCATCCAACCAACATGGTCGCCATGGCTAAAAATAGAACATAGGGGTTTACTATAGAAGTCTAAGGGAAAATTGAAATAAAAAAAACAATTTCAAATGGTCACAACTTGAAAACTAATTTAAATAATGATAAGGGGTCTTCAGTAACTATTGTAAGACTACAATGGGATAACCTGCTTTTGATTTAACTACTGGGCCAAATTAAACCAAACTTGGCCTCAATCATTATTAGGGTATCTAATACTATTAATTATGATTTTAACCTTATTTTACATGATTTCCAAAACAACAGTAGATACAGGTGAGCGACACATGCTCTTAAGAGCCTCTAGTTAAGAATTAAAAGTGAAAAAAGAAATCAATGATTAACGTAAAAAGACTAATGATAAGCTTTTTTTCACCGTAGACGAGTAGAGGTGTGTTTGTTTTTTTATTTACCAAATTTTTGTACTGATGTCGTGGTATTATGTCAGACACTAAGAAGACAAATTGTGTCTATTTCATGCTAATTTGAATAATTTAATACTGAACTTGTTAAATAAACTATAACTTTTCTTAAAAGGTATGGATGACCATATTATGATGGTAAATTGGTGTTTGTGCCTGTTGCTCTCTGATATCTTTACTTTTCTTAGCAAAACATACAAACTTACTTTTTAAAGATTTTTATTCATTCATTGAATGCCTGCCTTATCTTTTTTTTTTCTCAGGGAAAGATGCCTTTTGAATCTAATACAATACTTTGAAAGTGAAAAAGAGGTGAGTCACAAATATGCTGTTAATTCAGAAATTTTTGTGTGCATTTTATATTTGGTTTGTTAAACAATAAACAAAAGTGTGAGATTTATTTTGACAATTCCTAAAAATGCTGCATAAAATAATGCTATCAAAATCAAAATTACTAGCTTTATTTAGTTTTGCCAAACATATCCTCTCACAATTTTGTCACTTATAAAAATATTGCAGAAATTTCTGAATTCCAAGTAATTAGAAAAAGAGTGACCCCTGCTTCTTGAAACATAACACAGAATGCAGCTATACAATGTTTGACATTCAAAATAGTATCTTTTATGCTATTAACAATTCTTAGTTTGAATAAGGATTCATAATTAAGACGGCAACCCAACAACAAAAATAACTTTAAGACATCTAGGTGTCAACATGCTGACTCTAATTTGCCCAAGTTTAAAAGTTTGTGAGTAAAGGACAGGGTGCAATAAGGGTCAAATTTGCCATTATTTTTCACTGAAATATGGAATTTTAGTTCCATATTTCATTTCCAGAAACACTTTCAGGGATCACTTTTGGAAAAAAAAAATTCATTATCATATTTTTTAAAGATTAAGAATTCATGATGTGATACACTAGACTTTAACCATCCAAGTTTGCATCTTTATTTCACAGGTAAAAAATATTTTCTTTTTGTAGAAACTACCTCCTGTATTTGATCATGATAAAGTTCTAGAGAGCAAACTGGCACATGAGCTACCGTGGCTGTACTTGAAGTTAAATGACATTGATGGCTTACAGAAGTCACTTTTAGATCTTAAGATATTCAATGTGTTATACAAGTAAGTTTTAGTAATTTCAGTATGCTGTAAATTCAGATACTTTTTTGGCATTTATTATTATGATCCTTGATCAATGGACAAAAATGTGAGATTATTTTTTTACAATTTCATGAAATGGTGCTTAGAAATAATGCTATTAAAATAAAAAAGCTAGTTTTGCGAAACGTATTCAGTCGCAATTTTCACAATAATAAAAACTTCACATAAACTTCTGAATTTACAATCATAAAGAGTTATTCAATCATGCAATATTGTTTCATGACTATAGTCTTATAGCATGTGTGTTGTCTAGGAGGAGTATACAATTTATGTCATATTTTTAAGCGGTCACATGAAGACATTCATGTGTTTTAGATCACAATCAAAGCTAGATAGTTTATTATTCAAATAAATTATTCTCTAAGTTTCAGAGGCAGAGGAGGGGTTCAAAACTAAGATTAAGAAATGTGTACATGTTATTTAATTGTATTTTACTACAGTATTTTCACTGTTTCAGTTACGGTTACATCTATCATCTGTTTTGATAATTGCTTATGATACAGGGGTATGCTAGTCACTAAATGTATTGAGGAAAAGGGTGCAGTTGACAAAGTTTAAATATAAATTGTTACAAAACTGTTTCATGGCTACATATAGAGTTTTCAGTTTATAAATAAACTGTGACAAGCATATCATTAAAAATAAACAAGATATGTGTGATGTTTATCAAATGACAACAACTTACAAGGGTTACTTGAGGAAAAGCACATGTGTTAGAGTTAAACTATTATATTTTACAATCAACCCATGAAAAGGAAGAGAAAATTATATATAATATGAATGAAGGAGACATATGTCAATGAGGCTACATGTAACTGTAATCTAATTACCTTTTTTCCTAGTGACTGTATGTCAGATATGATAGAACTTTGGGATAAAACAGAAAATAAATGGTCAGAAATCGGGGAAATGTACATGAAACAGATTGATTTATTATTGGTGGATTTCCATCGTTGGATTGAAGCTAGCATGATGGAGGATGCTGAGACACCTGGCATCATGGTACTTTATTCATAGACTATAAATAATAATGATAATAATAAAGTAATGCATTCTGTTTTTTCCCTTTGTCTAAAGAAATGCACAATTGTTTGCAACAAATCTTCCCTGAGGTCTTCATAAGTAGACAAAGCCTGTATATTCTCTTTAGGATTGTGAACTTTGACATGGACCATTAAAATCTGTTGGCTAAATAGATATTTGTACAAGTTGATTTTGATATGACATTTCATGATGTAATCAGGTGTCTTATAGAAATCCTGTGGAAAAAATAAGATCATATAATTTCAATGTATGCAACACATTAAGGTCACAAATAATAGGTACTATGAGTTTAAGATTTCCCAACTGACCCAAATTTTAAGCCCTGACCATAATCTTTCCTTGAAAACTGTTCACCAACATATTAGATGATGTAACCAGTAACTTATTTTATCAAAATAGCAACAGAATAGACGAAATATATGTTTAACAGTGTAACTTCTTTCATAGAAAATTTTAATGGTGGAAGTTCTGATTTAGCAATAAGTCAAATATTGGAATTGAACTTATTTGTTGTTTTGTTTATTGTTTTATCATAAATCAGGCCATTGGTTTTTTTATGATACGCCCGTCAAATTTTTGACGGGACGTATTATGGTATACAAATGTCCAGCATCTGTCCGTCTCTCTGTCCGGCGTAAACATATCGCACTGTAACTTGAGAATGACTTATCCAAATTTCATGAAACTTAGCATAGTTGTTTCTTATGATGGTCAAACGATCTGTATACTTTTTGGTGAAAATAAGATTAAAACTTTTTGAGTTACGGGACTTAGTAACTAAAACAGGTGTGTGTTTTTTTTTCACATGTCGCGCCGTATCTCAAAAACAATTTATGATTATTGCTTAAAACTTTGCACACTTCTTAGTTATATTAATCTTAAGATCTGTATACTTTTTGGTGATGATTCAAAATTTTATTTTAGAGATATTGAGTATTTTGTTAAAAAAGGGGGTGGGGTTTTTCACATCTTGCGCTGTATCTCAAAAACAGTTTATGATTATTGCTTAAAACTTTACACACTTCCTAGTTATATTAACCTTAAGATCTGTATACTTTTTAGTGATGATTCAAAATTTTATTTATGAGTTATTGAGTATTTTGTAAAAAAAGGGGGACGGGTTTTTCACATGTCGCGCCGTATCTCAAAAAAGATTTATGATTATTGCTTAAAATTTTACACACTTCTTAGTTATATTAAGGATGTTCGCTTCTCTGTTTCAAAATAAAAAGATTTTTAAAAGACTGTTATAAATTAATAGTATATAAATAAAGAAACTAAAAAAGAAGAAAAAAATGAAGGGTCCGTGTGCTTACTTTCGAGATATAAGCCATTGAAAATCTGGCGGGAAATAATTCTCTCTAGATTTTTCTTATATTTAACATTGACACCTTTTTTCTTTCAAAAACGATGAAAAAATAACAAGGATTTTATAAAATTTTCAAAGATGACATTTTAAACTATATGTAATCAAATTATGGAAAGAAAAGTAGGGTTTAGTGGGCAAAATTTTTAATGGCATTACATGGATAAAACCAGAGGATGCCGAATATCTGGCATAAATTCAAAAACGAGAGGAGCGAACATCCTTAATCTAAAGATCTGTATACTTTTTGGTTTTGATTCAAAATTTTATTTTTGAGATATTGATTTTTTTTTTTTTAAAAGGGGGGTTTTCACATGTCGCGCCATATCTCAAAAACGATTTATGATTATTGCTTAAAATTTTACACACTTCTTAGTTATATTAATCTAAAGATCTGTATACTTTTTGGTTTTGATTCAAAATTTTATTTTAGAGATATTGAGTTTTTTGTAAAAAAAAAAGGGGGGTTTTCGCATGTCACGCCGTTTGTCAGAAACTATTTATGCTTATTGCATAAAAATTCACACACAAGACGACGGCGTATCATGAGCTCATGGCGCAGCTGTTTATTTGATTTATTTTACATTTTGTCATGTTTTGGGATTTTTTATAGCTTGCTATACAGTATGGGTTTAGCTCATTGTTGAAGGTGGTACAGTGACCCATGATTACTTACATCCACTTCATTTGGTCTCTAGTGGAAAGCATTCTCATTGGCAATCATACCACATCTCCTTATGAAAAATTTATTCAGACATACCACCCTATACTTTCCAGAAAGCAAACCCTTAAAACATTAATTTTTCAGACAACTCTGCATCTTTACTTTAAGTACAATTACATGATTTACTAACTTAAAAGATAACAGTAAAAATGTATCATTTAGATAATTCCATAGGCACATTTTGATTAAAAAGACTGAAAATTCTTTATTGCATAATTATTTTCATCCAAAACTAGTCCTCATTCTCCAATCAAATTGTAGTTTCTTAAATCTAAACTTTAGATAAAAAAACCAATTCAAATTTATTCATACCTAAAACAGTAGTTCAAATAAAAAAAGATACCAAAGAGATATTCAAACTCATCAGTCAAGAATGAACTGACAATGCCATTGCAAAAAACAAAAAAACAACCAAAAGAAAAACAACAGTATACAAAATACAACATAGAAAACTAAAGACTGAGCAATACGAACCCCACCATAACCTTGAGGTGATCTTAGGTGCTGTGGCAGTTTCTTCAATACTTTATGTCAACTGTTCATAAAATCTCTATTATAAGGTGTATTAATTGAAGCTCTACTAAAAATAAAGTTAATGCTATGAACTTAGCCATTTTTTGTTAATTTATCCAAAGGTCTAAATGTCAAACTGAAATTGGGGAGAAATTTTGGGGTTTTGAAAAAATTGTCATCAAACTGTGTAGAATATATCCTAAAGGGAGAGAAAACTATAAGATTTACCTAAAAATGGTCATAGTTTACAGAATGGCACAAAATCTTTTAACCTTTGGTTTCATGGTTTTCATGTTACTGTGACTTGACTGTTAGTGTTGCTCTCCACCTATTGCAACTTATTCAAAATTCTGGCCAAATTGCAATTTGTTTTAAAACCAAACTGTTCAACTGGTGAGAAATTTGAACAAACTGCTGTAGAAAAACACAGTCAAGTTGTGAAAGTGCAAGGTGATAAAATAAAGCATACTTACAATCCTATAAGACTTTAATTCCACTTCAATGTTATTATGTAAAATCAGTCTAACAGTTTGTATAGAAATTTTATTGTTATTGTCATGCTAAAGGTGATGGATAGAAATTTTGAATTGCTATAAAAATGTCCAGACTAAGGTTTCATACAATTTTTCTTTTGAAAAGTCTTCTATATTCATAAGAATCAGACATCATTTGAATTAAAACATTTTATATTCAGTAAAATATGTGTGAAATTACAATACGTTGTTAGGAAGTTTCCATGGGAGGTAATCAATTTTTCTTTCGAAAAGTCTTCTATATTCAAAAGAATAATGTTTTAGGTTATCTCCCATGGAAACTTATTAACAACGTATTGTAATTTCACATATATTTTACTGAATATAAGATGTTTTAATTCAAATGATGTCTGATTCTTTTGAATATAGAAGACTTTTCGAAAGGAAAATTGTATGAAAGCTTAGTTTGGACATTTTTATAGCAATTCAAAATTTCTATCCATCACCTTTAGCATGACAATAACAATAAAATTTCTATACAAACTGTTAGACTGATTTTTCATAATAACATTGAAGTGGAATTAAAGTCTTATAGGATTGTAAGTATGCTTTATTTTATCACCTTGCACTTTCACGACTTGTGACTGTGGTTTTCTACAGCAGTTTGTTTAAATTTCTGACCAGTTGAACAGTTTGGTTTTATAAAACAAATTGCAATTTGGTCAGAATTTTGAATAAGTTGCAATAGGTGGAGAGCAACACTAACAGTCAAGTCACAGTAATGGTTCTAAACTTTTTATATATAACAAGTCAAAGAAAATGTTCTTATTCAAAATATGTTATTCAACTGTGAAGCTATCTTAATAAAAATATGTTTGTTGTTTTTCAGTTAATGAATACGTCGGTTCTGGATAATTTAGCCAGCATGATAAAGAACAGGTCAGAAAATGCAGCTCTAAAATTTACTGAACGACATGCAAAGATTTCTGTATGTATCTTTTAGTGCAAATATATATTTATCTTCAAACTGTTTTAATCCATTTATAGCAATAAAATTGTAGAATGACAATTATTTATAGAATAAGCATTTATGGTTTGTCTGTCCCATATAAGGTTCACATTTCTGGTTGTGGTATTTTACCATAAAATTTTGGTCACATCATCTTTAAACTAAAAATCAACTGTACATTGTCAATACTATTTTATTAAGGGTTTTCAATTATATATACAGTATCATAAACAAATAATGCACATAATTTTTTTATTGCATATAAAACACTTTCCTCAATGAATATATCATAGATAAATATGAAAACATGAAAACGGTAATGGAATTTCACCTCCATGAAATTGACCACTTCTCCCTGCTCTCTCCTTGAAGGAGAAGTCACTTCTCCCTCACTAAAATCCTAGATTAGGCTCTGTAAATGCAGGTTTGCTTTTAATGTTAAAATTTTTATGGTTTATCGTTTCAGAGTTTTGGATGTTTAGGAGTCATATTTAGAGCAATATCCATACACTGAGTCTTTTGCAAGTTTTTCTAGAAATTTTTTTGTAATTTGTTTATTTTTGACATAAAAACAGAAAACAATCAAGCAGGATTACACACATGTACAGTTTTAAGTATGGTCTTAAAGATATTATTATATTACTTCAACTCTAAATAGCATGACATAAAACAAAATATAACTATAATTTCGTACCAGTTATGTAATATTTAAATCACATAGGACAGATTGTAATGGCAACCATTTTTTATATATATATTCTCTTTGTGTAAGCGATAAATAATTTACCGTATGTTGTTCTATTCTTATACAATATTTCAAATATGCAATACTACCTTTCACAGAAGGTTTTTCTCATGAATTTTTACAGCTATAAATATAAAATTTTAAAATCAACATTATATGTTGTACTGCATTATATGGGTAAAAAATTTCCCCAATACCAAAAATAACATCCTTTGCATCTATATGTTTCAGGCTAAATCCACATTTTAATAATAAATTTTGAAGTGCTATCCAAATATTTATGCTGTATACACATTCCCAAAAGATATGCAATAAGTTTTCTTTGGTTTCAGTGCAAAAAGTGCACATTTCTGTTTCTGTTAAACCACATTTATAAAGAAAAGAGTTTGTGTATACAATTCTATGTAATAACTTGAACTGACAATTTTAAAGTTTAGTGTTTTTTGTTACTTGAAATGCAATGGAGTAGATTTTCCCCCAATCATCAATTTTAACACATAAATCGTTAGACCATTTGTTTTGTGATCTTGATGGATTTTCTTTAATATTTTCTAGAAATAGTTGATAAAAATATTTACATGTTTTTTTTATCATTTTTAAGTTTTTCTACAATATCATTTTCAATAATAATTAATCTACCGTGACCTGAAATTGTTTTCTTCCAGATACCTGGGATTGCACTAACAAGACCATAATATTCAACAAAATTGGTTTTAACTGCATACTGAGTTTTCAGCTGTTCAAATGTCAGTATGTTTTTTTTCATCTGAGATTAGATCATTCATAAAAAATATACCCTCATTACAATAATTTTCATAAATAAATGGCTTTCCACATCTTTTAATGTTAATATTCAGCCAAATGTTTTTCTAGAATTATGCACACAAGATTCAGTGTATGAATGCTGAATTTTTCTTTTACTAACTTCTGGTAAGATGGTCCGAGTACACAGTTATCGTCCTTTGATTTTCGTTGTCCACGAATATAGTCTCTAGTGTGGACAGTGTGTTACTTGCTAATTTTTTTTATACCCCTTCCAAATTTATTTCTCCATGTTTTATGACTCAAATAGCAAGTAGGGGGGTGAAATGACACTGTAAAAAAATTTGGGTCATGAATTTTAAAGTAAAGTAGTGATTTGGTCCAGCTGAAAAATGTTAAAAATTAGTACTTCGGAAGCTGTCAAAAGATTTGAAGACCCCCTTAACATAAAATTGTCCATATTTTGAGTTAGAGCCAATGAAGTTTTCTATAATTTTGATATAATTTGTCCCAAAAGTAGTACAACACACTGTAAAAATATTATTGAGAAAGCGCAGGTGGGATTTTTTTAATTTTCATTTATTGTCTAAAACAAATGCACTACGAAATAACTGTGTACTCGGACCTAAGAGGTGAAATCAGGAAATATAGAATCTGTACTTTGGCAACTTCCCCGAATGATCTGATGGTGTCAATTTGTCAAATAGCATAAAACTAAAGTATTTAAACTTTTATTTCATAGAATTTCTGCAAAAATGACCAATTTGGGCATTTTATGGTCAAAATAAGCATTTTATAGCTTTTTCAATTTTGATGCCTAAGTGGCATTCTGACTTTCTATCCGACAGGTTTTTATGTGTCAATATTTGTATTTCTATGCTTCAATCCAGTTGTATTACTCATTTGTGAACTCTGAATCTACAGAAAAGAAGATTATCTCATACAATATGTGCAAAATGTGTTGTATATATGACCCTCGTCTAACGCCCTGTTTGGATCAAGTTAAATGTGAGGAGCTTGGAACATAAAAGTTGAAGTCCATAATAAAGACCTCACTAAATTTGTATAAAAAGCACTTAACAATGTTTTTTGTACAAGTTTCATGTCACATAATATCTTTCTTTTCTTCTGTAGGATAGCAAGTGGTTCAAATATAAGCCTGTTGAGACTAAAATTGAAAGCATGTTTTCACTAAAAAGTGAAAAATCTTTGTATCAGACCATACTGTCTGCAAAAAAAGTTGAATGCAAGAGTCTTTTTGTGCTCAGATTTATTGTATCATGTCACCTGAGTATAGAAATGATAGAAAAGACACAATTTTTTTTTTCCTATAGCTTCAATATGCATTTTTAAATGTAAATATGTGCTACGGCCTAAATTGACCCTTAATTATTTTCAGTCTTACTTGGCCTAAGACCCTTTAAAACTAATATGATATGTTATTTGTAAGTTTTCTTTTCATTTAAAGTACATTAAATACATATGTAAGGATTATTTATAACCAAAAAGCTTTACAAATTTAAAATTGCTGGAAAATATTACATCTTCATGTAAGGCCCCCCTTCATTGGAAAACCTCCATTTTTAGGCACAGGCTCATATAAATTTGACTTTTTAATAATTATGATAAGTCTGATAAATCAAATGAGTACTCTATTGCTTTTAATACATAATATATTATATATTAAGGCATTTCAAAAGTATTTTTTTGCAATATTTTAATTTTTTAAGCCCCAAATGTTGATAGTTGAAATTTTTCAATTTTAACGTCTAAATTTAACACGCAAAGTTGAATATAGAATTAGTCATATTGTCTATAATATATATCCTATTGCCATGAAACTTTGTAAGCAGTCTTATAATTTATTAAGCCTTGGTCATACCAAGTTTCATTAAGATTGGTCAACTTTTTCTACCCTATTAGGTCCGAATACACAGTTATCGTCCTTTGATTTTCGTTGTCCACGAATATAGTCCCTAGTGTGGACAGTGTGTTACTTGCTAATTTTTTTTATACCCCTTCCAAATTTATTTCTCCATGTTTTATGACTCAAATAGCAAGTAGGGGGTGAAATGACACTGTAAAAAAATTTGGGTCATGAATTTTAAAGTAAAGTAGTGATTTGGTCCAGCTGAAAAATGTTAAAAATTAGTACTTCGGAAGCTGTCAAAAGATTTGAAGACCCCCTTAACATAAAATTGTCCATATTTTGAGTTAGAGCCGATGAAGTTTTCTATAATTTTGATATAATTTGTCCCAAAAGTAGTACAACACACTGTAAAAATATTATTGAGAAAGCGCAGGTGGGATTTTTTTAATTTTCATTTATTGTCTAAAAGAAATGCACTACGAAATAACTGTGTACTCGGACCAGATGCCTTTTTTAGATATTCCATTTTGTTCTGGCAACAATTCCAATATGCACATGAAGGGTGTATCAAAATTCATGCACTCTTGGCACTTATCCTATAATATCCTTATTTTCAGATTCATAGCATAGAGACTTATCCTCATAGGTTTAAAAAACATGACAAAGATACTATACTAAATAGTTTAGCAAACCAGTATGCTGATGCAGGAAAATTCAAAGAAGCAGTTGAATTGCATCGGAAAGTCTTAGAAGTAAGAAAAAAGTAAGTTTAAAATTTAAAGGAAACACATTTGAAAAATGTAACCATTGCCTCTCTAGTTAGCAATAAGATTGTGTTTGGATATGCTGTTGACAGATTTAAACATTATTGCATTATTACATTAGCATCTTGGTTGTCTATCCAATCATATTTAAGGTTTGTTGGAACTATCATCAATTTCAGATTTTACTGAAAGTATACCTGCCAACCCTCCCGTTTTGAGCGGGAGACTCGCGCTCAAATGATGAAATTTCGGAAATCTCCCGCTTGCCGGTCCCCTCCCGCACGGGAGTATCGAATCTCCCCCTTTTGGATATTTTACCTTGAATTGACAAGTCAACATAAATAACGTTTTTGTGTCACTGAGGAGGGTATATTTTACGGTGTGTTCCCATTTCGCCTTAGCTGGGAATTCCAGGTAAAAAAGGTAAAATAAATACTAAGGCGATATGGGAATTGTACTAAGGCGAAATGTGAATTTAGATGAAAAAATTAAATAAACAAATTAAACCTCTGTGTTTTTATAACAATATAAACAACATGAAATCAGAAAAAAAATCTACAATAAAACATTAGTCAGCAGGAAAGTTGCTTCTTTTATGCTTTATTTAATAAAAGTTTCAATTGTATGAATTTTATGCAATTAGAAAATTCTTAATAATTCAATTATCCTTTACATTGTGCAACACAAAAAGTTAAAAAGAAAGAGAAAAAAAATACATTCCTAAAGATTTATTTACATATATGACAGAAATTTTAATAAAATAAATAAAATAATAAATATTTTATGATGTACCTTCAAAGATTGGCCAACCACACAATCACCTACCAGACCATGCATCAGTCAATAGTAGAAAGATATTAGAATCTGTTAGATCTAGATGCAGATCAGAAACTACACCTATACCATCAATTTACGATTAAGAAATAACAAAACTCAGAGATGCACCATGGGATGCCCAGACCCTGGAGACTGCACTAAAACTGTCTACCTTCGAAAGTAAGAGATCAGCACTCTATCGTACCAGACAAAAACTGCAGTATCTCATGTCTTTCCAAACGCACAACTCAAAGGTTGTTTGTTCCACTACGCAAAAGCAATATGGAAAAAGACACAGGAATATGGGCTGCAAACTCAATATAAAGATGTCCCAGATGTCAACAAACTCGTCCGTCGTGCAGCAGCTTTGCCATTACTGCCCTTAGATCGTTTGGAAGACTACTGGTTACACGCCTTGGAAAACGCACCACAGTCAGATGCTTGCACCAAATTAACAGACTATGTAATTCTGACATGGATAGAGGACAGATACCCACAACCAACCTGGAACCACCACCAAACAGAAGGACCCAGGACAAATAATCATTTAGAGGGCTGGCATAACAAGCTGAAAAAGAGAGTCAAAACCGCACATCCAAACATATTTGAAATTATCAATGTGTTCAAGAAAAAGCAAGCATCTAACGAGGTAAAGAAAGTACAGTATGCAGCAGGTGGCAAGATGAGGGGGAAAGCAAAGAAGTATAGAGAAATAGAAGAAAGATTCGCCACTTTGAAGGAAACCCTACACAATGGTACAACTGACTACATTCAGTATGGTGATGCAGCATCTTACATCCTCAAACTTGGAAACTAAATGAACTTTGAACATTCAAATGTGTACATCAGTGCCTTGTTTTTCACAAAATGAACTATATGGAAATAATTCTTATGTTTTATGTATAAGTGCTTATTCTCATGCTATTATTTATAACATTGTGCTTTGAATTCAGTGCTGATTCAGATATAAAATATTTGTTATGATAGTTTGATATTTGTCTTTATTTATTCATTAAAATATGAAACATCCATATCCAATTTTTCATCTCTAATAAAGCTTTATTTACAAAATATAACACATGAGTATAATAAAAAAACAAATACAATTTCAGAAAAAGAAGAGCAACTATAAAAAAAATATTTAAAAAGTGGGATACAAAAAATAAAAAAAAAATATCTTCTTTTAAATAGTATTTCATGGTAGAATTTGACATCAAAATGACAAATGAAATATCAACTAATTGCAATACAAACAAAACATAACTGGCACAATTACATTGTTTACAGAAGCTCCCATTTCGCCTTAGTTAATTCTTGTGTACCTGAAAATTTGTACTAAGGCAAACTGGGATTAATTTTATATAATTATTTTGACAACAAAGGTGAAATGAGAATAAGCCTATTTTACCTGTAAATCACAGTCCATGTGAAAATTAAATGGCTTCACATGACAGCTTGGGTGTCAAACATAATACTAATTAACGATCATTAACGACTTTTACCTCAAGCTTTGTATATTTGAAAACACTTCAAAGAAATTTCAGGTTACTTCCTGTTTAATCCTGTTTTAAATTACCCTCTTAAAATAATGTGAATTGGTTAAAGAATATAAATTAAATACAAATTGAACAAAGAATCATAAAAGGATGGTAATTTAATGATTTTGAAGACCTTAGGACAAAAAATATAATTATATTTTGAAAATCATTTAATAGATCTATACTTCCATTCAATGTTTAAATTGAAATTTATAAGAAATGTATTTCACTATTGTATTTAATGTGTGACTGTTCACACATATAGTGCACCATTCTATACTTTAAAGATGATCACTTGAAACAGACATATCATTGAGGTATGCTGGCCTGAAGGGATATAAATGTCAAAGATATTGAAGAAGTAAAAAAACAAACCAACACACCTTGTATAGGATATAACCATGATTGAAGAAATAAAGTATGACTATTTACTCTTATTTGTGTTTTGTAAATGAACTGGGACTATTATACTAAGTGTTATTATTAGTTTAATAGTCCCAGAAATGAATAAATAAACAGGTCATATTTTTCACTTGAAAATGTCGTTCGCGCAAAATCTCCCCCTCAGCTGTCTGGGAGATCTCCCTCTTTGAAGGGTTCAGAGGTTGGCAGGTATGTGAAAGGAATTGGCTTTCATTTCAAGAGGTGTTACCTTTCCTTAGTATTTAATTAGGACATCAAGGCACAATACACAACATATTTTTAGTGTACAGGAAGTATCATCATCTCCTCTTATTAGTATAACAGCTAGATAACTCAAGAAGACAATATATTTTGACATAAAAGGGAGTTTAATCAGCTGTAGTTGAAGAAGATCAACCATTTGCTAAAACAAGACAATATTGCTGTAGAAGTGAGATATAAAAACAAGACACAGGTTCCATTCTCAGTTATATAAAAGGCCATAAAATAATTTTAGGCTAATTTTCTAGATCAAATGCCTAGATTTCCTTATCGATGGACATTAGGTAGTCTTATTATCATCTGTTCCTCTTCAAATGCATATATATATATATATTTTATCAAATAGGAAATATGAAGATGATCCAACTGAGGAAAATATTGATAACTTAGAAAGATCATACCACGGATTAGGAACTGCTCATCTAAAGATGCATAAATATGAACAGGTATATTGTTTGTGTTCAGGGAGCTTAGACAAATAAGATATAGATAAAATAAAAACAGTACATAATAATGATGTAAACATTCATGAGACAATAAACCAATAACAAAATGTAAAAAAGAGACCTCAAAGTTGTGTCTTCAATTTTAGATTTATGTCCATACAGCATGAGTGAAGCTGTAAATTGCCTCAAATCTAGTCAAGAAGACAAGTTGTGAATAAATTTAAAGAGGTGGAAGAACTGCTGTTTAAACTCGCCAAATTCCTAAATGTGAAGGACTGTTAGGTTAACTGATATTTATGATCCTTTCTTAATTCTTGATGACTCCAACAATTTTCACAAATGGCTGCCATTTTTTCCAAAAAATGTCTGCAAAGTTAATACTAGCTGGGAATAGTATATCTAACGGGAAATGAATCTGATACGCTTTTCAGTATAAAATTGATAAAATCTCGGACTCCCCGAGACTTCCCGAGATTTACGGATTTTGGTAGCGTCTGACTGAAAAACTATCAGAACTGCTCAACAAATAAACCACATAACTCTAATTGTTAATAAATACAAGTTTTATCATTTAGTAGATATATTTTGTCATATAAAATTACCAAAATAAGTTTGATTTATTTGATGTGAAGTGTTTTATAATAGTTTGGGAATTTGTAAATCATCGCGGCAATGGCCGCCATTTTTTTATTACCTGGTTTGCATTCTGCACAATTCTGTAATGAAATGCTTGCGATTTTAACAAATTTGAAGTGACAGAATACAAGTTTGATACACTAGCATCACTATAAAACTAGTTTGAATGACATTTTATTGATAATATCAGAAATTATTAGGATAATAGCGAGTCCGTTTTTAACACATGTCCGTTTCTGTATCGTATCTTTATTAACCATGGCACGACGATAAAATCGACTACAATCAGGTAGTGTCAAGTCCCGTCAATATATATGTTCCTGATACTAGTTACCTGAACACAATTTGTCATAAATGTATTTAAGTCATGCAAAATATCCAAAAAGTTCCAGGACTCAATTTAATGTTTCCTCCTACAGGGACAAAATAATGTACAGAGTCTTATTCAATAAAATAGTATTAGCAAAAATACTGAACTCCAACTGAATATTATTTTAATATTATTAGATAACTCTTGTCATGCTAAGATGGCAGTTATTATAAACTAGAAATTGAGGCACTATAATGTATAGGCCCATGATGAGCTATATTAACTCTTTTAGCCTCCATTTTTGTAGTTATTCAAAATTGTTTTGTAGGCTGATGAATATTTAAAAAAGTGCAAGGATATAATGGATAAAAATCCTGGACCATTTACTAAAAATGACAGGGCAGTCTTGTTAATGAATCTGGGTGTCTTGTGTTTAGAAACAGACAGATATGAAGATGCTTTGGACTACAACCTTCAATGTTTAAAGGTAGTATAGCAGCTGAATATACTGCATTTGACCATGTTCATGTTACAATTCAAATATAAAATGGTCTTTACAATAACAGTTAGTCACTCGACTTAAAAGTATTTATACCATTTGTGATTGGTATTTATTTATAAGTTTTTTAATACTGTGAAAGTACTTTTATTGAGTGGTTATCAATTTTCATGGTTTGAGCAAAAGTTATATGTTTCTTAAATTCGTGGATTTTAGTTTTCTGAAAAAAATAGAATGGAGAATGTGGTATGATTGCCAATGAGACAACTCTCCACCAGAAACCAATTGACGTAGAAGTGAACAACTATAGATCAACAATGAGCAAAACCCATACCACATAGTAAGCTATTAAAGTTCCCAAAATGACAAAGTTTGTTATTATGTAAGAAGACCCAGATACTCTGTGACTTGATTTTCATATAGCGTCTGGGTCTTTTTTTTTATAATAACGTCGTCAATTATGGTCCAGATAAAACCAGTTTGACCTATATGATAAAAATTTCAGCTATACGAGGAAATATATTTTGGGCATTTACCTGAAGCTGTAGGCCAACATCTGACAAACCTTGGACTGTGTTATCGTAAGCTAAACAATTTGGATGAAGCTGAGAAAATGTATAAAAAGTATGTGTTCATTTTAGTTTAATTCTTGTATCTAACTATGTATTGAAAGATATAAAAACTATTTTCACCCATAAATGGCCATATTCATTCGCTCAGAGATGACTCATTGATAAATACACATACACAATTGCCCAATTTCTTTAACATTTCAACAGATCACAACACCTACCAGCACTAGACTCCTCAGAAAAACATACATACAAACAACAAATGGTCCAGATAGCCTGGCTTGGTGCAGACACAAACTGTGATTTGGTTAAACCAGTTTAACATGCACACAAACCCCCTATTTGCCTATCTAGACCATATGTTGTAAAACTAAAACACAATTTAAAAAAACCCACACAGTGCAGATACTTACAGAATGACCACTAACTTTAACAAGGAAATAAAAAACAGTGCATAATTTGGAAAGCAGAGTCAAAATGTACTTGCTACTTTCTAGCTAAGGTAGCTACAGATGATGGTTGGATACTGCTACTGAAAAACTCTTCGCAACCAAGCCATTTGAGACTTTGATCCATTTTTTTATAAGTTGCAGGAAAACACCATAGGCACTTACTGGTAACTGAATGTCATCAATTTCACAATAACATCACATCCTTTAAATTAACTGTTGTTTTGATATGGATAATTTTATAATTTGTTGTTTTGAAGTTATAGGACTTTAAAAAATCTTAGTTTATTTTATGAAAGTAGTTGTGACAATGTATATTTACACTAATTCATAATAGTATATGTACTTTTTTTTTTAAGTTGATGCATCCTTGTTTTACAAACATGCATCATCAAATTTGATTAGCTCCTTTAACTTATGCTTGCAATACATACATAAATAAATTGTAGGTCAATAAAGGTAAAGGACAATGCTAAAGGTTATAATTAAATTGCAGGTCAATAGAGGTAAAGGTCAATGCTATAGGTTATTACACACTTGATGTAGCTATGACGTACATGAATTTGGGAGTTTTAGAAACTGTGAAGGAAAATCCAGCAGGATCTTATGAGTATTGTAAGACAGCTCTTGAAATATATGAGGTATGTAGGAATTATACTTTGACTTGGAGAAAATAGTAGCCAAGGTTTTTGACATCCCATGGTGCTTTTTAAAAATACTGGAGAGAGCACTGGGTGACATTCATTATAGATAGGTAGGGATACAAATCACTATCTTCAAGGTAGATCAAAAGGACAATTCAGGTCCAGTTTGATCCCAGTTGGCTAAGTAGTTTCAGAGAAGATTTTTTAAAAAGTTTACTGACCGACAATAGAAAAATGATGATATGATAAAAAAAAATCTGTCTTGACTCAAGTTTTTGTCTCGCCTTGACGGAGTCAAAAAACGAGACATAGGTATGCTGTTTCCGTCGTCGTCGGCGTCAACAATGTATTACTTTGTGATTAGGTCTAGTTTATGGTGAACCACTAGTGGTAGGTCAATGATGTTTGGTATGCAGTTGTATTAGCATTGGCACATAACATTACCATGGAGATTATTTGGCCCCGCCCCCTCAGTTATGGTCTATTGACTTTGAAACTTTGCTTAGTTTACATGTATTAGTTTGTGATTAGGTCAGTTTATGGGGAACCAGTAGTGGTAAGTTAATGATATTTGGTATGCAGTTGTATAAGCATTGGCATATCTCATTTCCATGGAGATTATTTGGCCATGCCTCCTCAGTCATGGTCTATTGACTTTGAAACTTTTGCTTAGTTTTCATGTATTAGTTTGTGATTAGATCAGTTTATGGGGAACTACTAGTGGTAGGTCAGTGATATTTGGTATGCAGTTGTATAAGTATTGGCATATCTCATTTCCATGGAGATTATTTGGCTTGGACCCCTCAGTCATGGTCTATTGACTTTGAAACTTTTGCTTAGTTTACATGTATTAGTTTGTGATTTGGTCAGTTCAAGGGGAACCATTAGTGGTAGGACAATGTTAATTGGTATGCAGTTGTATAAGCATTAGTGCATCTCATTTCCATGAAGAACATTTGGCCCAGCCCCCTCAGTCATGGTCTATTGACTTTTAAACTTTTGATTAGTTTACATATATTAGTTTGTGATTAGATCAGTTTAAGATGAACTGCTAATTTTAATAAGTCAATGATATTTGGTATGCAAATTTATTGGCATTTGCAAGTCTTATTTCCATTGAGATTATATAGCCCCACCCCCTCATCATGGTTCATTGACTTTGAAACTTTTACATAGTTTTCAAGTTAATGTTTAGGTTTAGGTTTGTTTATAGGGAACGACTTATGATAAGTCAATGGTATTTGGTATGCAGTTGTATTAGCGTTGGCACATTTCATTTCCATGGAGATTGTTTAGCCATGTACCTTCAGTCATGGTTCATTGACTTTGAATATTTCCATAACTTACATGTTAAAGTATTGCTATTTTAAGATTTGCATTATCAAAATTACAAAAAGGCGAGACATATCTCTGTGTTAACAGTTTATTATAAATAAGATAAACATACAGCAGTATCCAATGTATACATAACACCTTCATTGTTGCATGATATCCTAGGTATCAGTAACTGGTCTTTGACAAGTATTCCTAAAAAATCTTTAACAAGGATGGTAATGGGTTATTTTTGTGCAACATGCTTGTGATTTTTATTTCGAATGCATTTGTTCTTGAAGCTCATTATTAACTTTGTTTCGTGCAAAATGGTGAAAAGCAATGTGCTTTTATATTTTTTTGTTCATTTGGAAATGACCATTTGATTTCCTTTCACCTGGCACGTTAGCTTTCCCCCCTTTATGACCCTCTTTAACTAAATTACAAAAAACTGATATTAAAAAAAAAGGCTTAGGTAGCAATACATAGTTAGTATTGTTAGTTTTGCATTTTGGCCCTGCTGAATTTTTTTATTTAAGAAAATAATACATGGTAAAAGTACTTGAAAACTAAAAATAGAGAAAATTATTGCTATGATAGTGGTTTTAAATGGAAATTTAGGTAGGATTCCAGAGAAGAGATTGAACTACTTTTGTTCAGTAGACGTGTAAATTTCAGATTCAAATTCATGACCAGTCCAGCAATAACTGAGATTATATCAGCATGTGTTTACTGTTTTGGAAAGGTGTAAATTTACCACAACCTTTTCAAAGGTAATTTGCTGGAAAATGAGACAAGCTAAGAGATCCTAACCTTTTTTAGCTCACCTGGCCCATAGCTTTTCTCATCACTTGGCGTCTGTCGTCCGTTAACTTTTACAAAAATCTTCTCCTCTCAAACTACTGGATCAAATTTAATCAAACTTGGCCACAATCATCATTGGGGTATCTAGTTTAAAAAATGTGTCCGATGAACCCTGCCTGCCAAACAGGATGACTGACATGGCTAAAATAGAACATAAGGGTAAAATGCAAGTTTTGTCTATTATTTTGAAAACCACTATAAATAGAGTAAATCTGACAAGGGCAGAAATGTTTGGAATGATGAGATCTACCTATTGTCCATTTACTTCCAAACTGTCAGACGACTTTTTATAGGAGTTATTGCCCTTAAATGACAAATTTTCCCAACTTTTTAAATTTTTGCCTATTATTGAAAACTATAATAGACAACAAAATAAGTTCTATAAATAAGTCAACATGGTTGAAATCGTCTGATGACCTCTTATTGGAGTTATTGCCCTTTAATGATGATTTTTACTAATTTGCCTAATACCTGAAAAAGTATAATAGATAGAAACTTAGATAGGCAAAAATGATCAGCAAGACAAGATCTACAAATAAGTTGAATAGTTGAAATTGTCTGATGACCCCTTATTGGAGTTATTGCCCATTAATGATGGTTCTGACAATTTTTTTTGCGTTTTTTGCTCATATCTGAAAAACTATAATAGATAGATAGAAACTTGAATAAGCAAAAATGATCAGCAAGACAAGATCTACAAGTAGGTCAACATGGTTTAAATCGTCTGATGACCCCTTATGGAATAACGATTTTTATCATTTTTTTGCTTTTTGCCTACTATCTGAAAAACTGTATTAGATAGATAGAAACTTAAATAAGCAAAAATTATCAACAAAGAAGAGATTTTTGTCATGAACTCTATTCTAGTCCACAAAGGTGGAGAGTACCCATTGCTGGAGATGCACATAGACCTAGGTGAGCGACACAGGCTCTTTAGAGCTTCTCATTTTAAATATTGTCGTTGGAAGCCTATATATATCAGCTTTTGAAGCAATGTATTTCTGATATTCATTGAAATTCTAGCTTGTAGATATTTTAAAGGCTAAATGAGAGGGTCCTAAAATTGAGCCATTTAACTATGTATATAAAAATAAGGAGATTAGGTATGATTGCCAATGAGACAACTATCCACCAAAATTCAAATAAAGTGGATGTAAGCAATTATAGGCAACCGTACGGCCCTCAACAATGAGAACCCATACTGTGTAATCGGCTATATATACATGTTTTGCTATCACTGTTAAATTAGCTTTATCCATTTCAAAATGCATTTCTATATTCCTGTACTTTAATAGAGACCAATTTGTTTCTTCAGAAGCTAACCATGGTATGCAACCTTATATTGAAACAAGTTTGAATCAGTAAATTAAAAGCAAACTAAATATTATTGTTATATACATATACACATTCATGGATCTACAATTTGTCGATACCTGTATCTTGGCATTGCACAAGGTCATGTTTTTCTCTGACTGTTTATGACGTCTTTACACTAAATCCATTGGATGTTCATCTTCGCTAGCCAAGGGTTACGATCCACTTCCCTCCTCTCCACCCTTGGCAGATTGAGATAGAATTTCGGAGACACAAGGTAATGATTTTCATTGGTTACAGTCGAAACTCACTGCATCCAATCATAAAGCGCCTATAACATGATCACGTGTAAATGTAGAAAGTGTATGTAAACAATTGCCACGTGCTTATTGTGCAACAAGTCTTTACATCCCTAAACATACGACTATATTTAGGGACAATTTGAATGTTTTTAATCAACTAATAGAAGTTCCTGTTTATGTTTCTTGCACGAATGCATTAATGTCAATGTATATTTTCGTTTCCGGCTTTTCCAAGTGTGTAGAATCAAAACGCTACCATGTTTTTACCTACAAATTGAAAAGTTCAAGTGCTACCATTGGTCAAGAATAATGTATTAGGAATGGGCGTGACTTTAATCTACGGATAGATGGCGCAACATTGTTATCACAAATGTTGGCTTAATCTGCCAAGGGTGGAGAGGAGGGAAGTGGATCGTAACCCTTGGCTAGCGAAGATGTTGGATGTTGGATGTGTACGGATTGATAATTTAGTCTTAGATGCATGATTTTTTTTATTAGTTGTTAGTGGCTTTGAACTAGCTGTCAGTAACTGCGAGTACTCTCAGATCTGTACTTAGTGTCTTTTTGTTGTTTGGATGTACAAGTACCCGGCCACGTCCACTTGTATTTGTAGTATTTGTATTTTTATCCATCTGATGAGTTAAGCCTCTTTCAACTGATTTTTATTTGACCGCAAAAAAATTTTGCAGTCGTATATTGGTATGACATTGGCGTCGTCGTCGTCGTCGTCCGAAGACATATTGGTTTTCACACTCTAACTTTAGTTTAAGTGGATGGATCTCTATGAAATTTTACCATAAGGTTCAATACCACAAAAGGAAGGTTGGGATTGATTTTGGGGGTTATGGTACCAACAGTTAAGGAATTAGGGACCAAAAAGGGGCCAAAAATAAGCATTTTTGTAACTTCAAGACATAACTTGTGTGTTAGTTTATGGATCTCTCTGACATTGTACCACAAGGTTCCATATCACAAAGGGAATGCTGGGATTGATTTTGGGGGTAATTGCCTCAAAATTTTAGGAATTAGGGGCCAAAAAAGGGTAAAAAAACAAGCATTTTTCTAGTTTCATGACAATAACTTGTGTGCAAGTGTATGGATCTTTCTGAAATTGTACTACAAGGTTCCATATCACAAAGGGAAAGATGGAATTGAGTTTTGGGGTAATTGCCCAAAATGTTTAGGAATAAGGGGACAAAAAGGGGCCAAAAAATAAGCATTTTTCTAGTTTCCAGACAATAACTTGTGTTCGAGTGTATGGATCTCTCTGAAATTGTACTGCAAGGTACCATACCACAAAGGGAAGGCTAGGATTGATTTTGGGGGTAATTGCCTTAAAATTTTAGGAATTAGGGGCCAAAAAGGGGCAAAAAACAAGCATTCTTCTAGTTTCATGACAATAACTTGTATGTAAGTCTATGGATCTTTATGAAATTGTACTACAAGGTTCCATGTCACAAAGGGAAAGCTGGGATTGAGTTTGGGGGTAATTGCCCTAAACGTTTAGGAATTTGGGGCCAAAAAGGGGCCAAAAAACAAGCATTTTTATACGACCGCTTTAAAATTTTCCATTTTAAATTGGTTATTTCTGATTTATATATAAAAGCAAATAATAATGATACGGTTTGAATAGGTAAATTAAAAAATTTTTAAGTTCTTAGACCACATTCATTCTGTGTCAGAAACCTATGCTGTGTCAAATATTTAATCACAATCCAAATTCAGTGCTGTATCAAGCTTGAATGTTGTGTCCATACTTGCCCCAACTGTTCAGGGTTCGACCTCTACGGTCATATCAAGCTGCGCCCAGCGGAGCATTTTATTATAGTTCGTTCTTATGTTGTACTGTTACACCACTGTCCCAGGTTAGGGGGAGGGTTGGGATCCCGCTAACATGTTTAACCCCGCCACATTCTGTATGTATGTGCCTGTCCCAAGTCAGGAGCCTGTAATTCAGTGGTTGTCGTTTGTTTATGTGTTACATATTTGTTATTCGTTCATTTTTTGTACATAAATTAGGCCGTTAGTTTTCTCGTTTGAATTGTTTTCCATTGTCATTTCGGGGCCTTTTATAGCTGACTGTGCGGTATGGGCTTGGTTCATTGTTGAAGGCTGTACGGTGACCTATAGTTGTTAATTTCTGTGTCATTTGGTCTCTTGTGGAGAGTTGTCTCATTGGCAATCATACCACATCTTCTTTTTTATATTGATATGTGGAAAAAACATTCAGGACCTATCATGGATAGTATAAACATAAAATTGTACAATATTGAAATCATATTTTGCTACTACTGTCTTAGGTTTATTCATAGTTATAAAATCTGTTTACTGCATGACAATAATTTTTGAAAAAATAACAACTTTATCAACCTGCTGTAATGTTGTAGAATATTGGACTACCTGAGTCAGGTATGGAATATATGATGTGCAGAGAGAACATGGTTCTTGCATTGAAAAGCTTAGATCGGATGGAGGAGGCTCTAACAACATACAGGCCATTTTGTAAGTGTTAATTTTACTTGAATAGTGATCATTTAAGGTCAATTTATATCTTGCATCAAGCATAGATCCATTTAATCACTAGCAAAGTGTTTTACAATCTGAATAACTAATTAACATCAAGATTGTATGTTCTTTGGGAGAAATGTATAAAATATCAATCTGATTGGATAAAAATTATGGCTGTCATTGGTGAAAAAAGAGTGACTTAAATTTATAAAGAAATTTTACTGAGAAAAAATTTTGGAACTCATGGTGTGAAGCAAAGGTTCTTTTGTGTCTGTTAAGTGTGTGTAAAGTACATGTATATAACTTTATAATCATGGTGAATAAGTAAAAGACACATTATCTGTACATTGTCAAAAGTATAACCTTTATTTTTGTGATCTTTAGAAACAGGAAAATAAGCAAGGCTCTACCAAGCTTTACTCTTCATGTTTTCGTAGTGAGTACATGTACCAATAAAATTTATATTTTACAACAATATAAGTATTTATTTTTTATTCTGCAATTTAAACTTGGTGCTAAATAAAAATTATTTTTGATTCCCAATTGTTGTTTTTATAGAAATTGACATTGCCTAGAGTTGTCTTGTTAGAGGATATGTAAATTCAGAAATTATTTAAAGGTTTTTATTATTGTGAATAATGTGACTGGGGAGAATCTTAATAACAAGAACTTGCATTCTGGATTCTGACACATATATTTGTATGCAGTTTTTCATGTTATTGCAATGATAATTCTTACATGTCATGTTAATATCACAGTAATTTCTGAATTCACAGTAAACAAATTCAATTTAAACATGCATTAGCAATCATTCCTTTAATATATTTTACAGTTAAGATAGCTGTTGACCATGAACTGTTGTATGTTACATTTCCACGTACACATAACTTTATTGCCGAGTACTTAATACAGAAAGAATTGTATGATGAAGCTGAGGACATCCTTTTAAAAATGTTGGATACAGAAAAACTAGATTCTAAATATTTCATTAACTTACACAAAATAGACGTTGCTAAAAGTAAAAGCCAGGCAACAGAAAGGGAGCATAGATATACAATTGAATATGGATTGGAGTTGTAAGTTTAAATATTTTTGAAGGGATTGAAACCAGTACCCTAGCCTTGCTTTGATTGATCGGTTGTTGTTTCCTTGACATCCAGCATTGCTTTGAAGAATGTAGTACTAAGATTTCATGTTTTTATACTTGTAGTTTTAAAAAATATTGAATTTAGTTTTAAACGTTAAAAAAATTATAATAGCTTTTCCTTAAATCAAACATTTTAGATATTGAATTGCATAGATAACATGTACATGTATGTCACAGGTTTGCTACTTATATTTAAAAGGCAATTATTTTGTCAAAAGAATGACAAAATGAAGTAGATAAAAGATGAAATAAACAGATTTGTTGGAAGTAAAACCATACAATTTTGTTTCCCCAGCAATGAATCATAGAATTGGGGATACTAATAATTTAATCTTTCAATTTTCATGGACCTTTTTTTTTCTTTTATAGGTTTCCTCATGATTATTATATCCTTGAATACTTGATAAGAGATGTGTATATACCGCAAAATGAAGTCGACAAATGTGTTGCTCTTTTGGAGTCCAACACAAGCCATTTCAATGTTTTAGGACTGTACGACACTGTTAATCAGTGGTTTAATTACTCTGGAAAAGGAACAGTTGGAATGTTAATTCAGATTAATTTATCAGCATTGAAATATATGCCTGAAAATGCTGTAAGTTTTTGCAATAGATAATCATAGTAGATTATGCAAAAGTAGATTTTTATAGTATCTTAATTATGCATGAACAATTTGTTCCTGGATAAATAAAAGGCTAGCTTCAGATTTCCAAATTGGGACATTTTTTTCACAAATATTTAATTTGATCATTCAACGTATAATTGGATTGTTCTGTCTTATACATAACAACAGCCAATTTTAAGACAGTTTCACATGACTCAAATCACATGACTCAAAGTCATAACAAAGCACATCCTTTTGTTTTGCAGCATTCCAAAGAGCAATGAAATCTTGCCAATTTGATCAGTTGCTGCATGTAGTTTTTATTTACATAACAACCTTTCCAAATTGACCAAAATATCTATCTTATATTAATTATGATAAATTGTAGTAAGCCATATTGGTTTATTTCAGCCTTTTCGTAAAAACGTGGCAGTTCATTACCAAGTACTGAAGGATAATGAGAAAGCTCTACCACATTTTATCAAGATATTGGAGCTAGAGCCTGATGATCCACAAAACATGTTCTGGGTTGCAAAGTGTAGCTGCCTATTGGGAGACTATGATTTATCAAAGAAACATGGTGAAATGATTAAAGAGAAGTTTCCTGATGATCCAGTCTTAATACCACAGGTAAACAATTTACTTATTGTTGTTTTGTTTTTCTAATACTTGTGTCATATATTAGTATGGTTAATTTAAAGTGAGTTGATTTTTTTAACTGATTTTCACGGTATGTTATATATACCATTTGTTATTCTACAGATACAAATAAAAAGGGAAAAGTTTAGTTCTTAAAAAGTTGGTCAATATAATTGTGCCGTTTCATATGTATCAAATCAATATTGATAAGATAAATAAACTTAGTGCTGGAGATTTTACTGTAGGCTTACCTGATTTCCAATTCAGCAGTTTAGGAATTTTTACCTGATATATTTAAATTATATAAGGAATAGAATCCATAATTTTCAAAAATGAAAAATTAGTAGTCACTGAAGTTTCATTACTTTTTGTAGGTACTAATTCTCATGTATAGGGGAAAGCTTGTTATTTGTGGAAATTTTATTTCGTGGTTTTGCCAATAAAAAATTTGTACTTCATTGATCATTTAAATTCATGGTTCACCAAACCCACAAAATCCAAGAAAATTTGTATTCCATGAATAATAATGAATCCATTGTGACTTAAGTATAGTTCGAGTTGTTATTTTGAATATTTTGGTTCTTCTTGACAGACAATATTATTTCTAATTTTTTTTAAAGGTGGACTTAATATTAGATGCTATAAACCAAGCACAAAGTGGATTGGTAGATACAGATGAAAATCCTAAAGAGGAAGACAAAAAATGAGGAGCCTGAATAAAGTAGAAGTCTTCTGTTATGTAGGTGTTGCTTAGTTGATCAAGTCGGATTATTATGCCCCACCTACGATAGTAGAGGGGCATTATGTTTTTCGGTCTGTGCGTCCGTCCGTTCGTTAGTTCGTCCTTTCGTTCGTCCATCCGTTCGTCCGTCTGTCCTGCGTCAGGTTAAAGTTTTTGGTCAAGGTAGTTTTTGATGAAGTTGAAGTCCAATTAACTTGAAACTTAGTACACATGTATCCTATGATATGATCTTTCTAATTTTAATGCCAAATTAGAGTTTTGACCCCAATTTCACGGTCCACTGAACATAAAAAAATGATAGTGTGAGTGGGGCATCCGTGTACACATTCTTGTCTCATAATAATAAGAATTCATTCCTAATCAATTTGAATTCCTATAACATGTAAACAGTTCAAAGAAAAAGCCCCTGTCTTTTCATGTAGATGTTGCTTTGATAGGAATTTCTCATTATGATAAGAATTCAGTCCTCATCATTTTGAAGTTCTATTATATATAAACAGTTCAGAGCAAAGGCTCTCTTCTTTTTACACTATTGCTGTCAAGAATTATGTTTACTGGATTACTCATGCCCATCCATTTTATATTCTCTAAGATGTTTTCTTAGCAATCATGTCTAATAATGAAATTTAGCTATAGGTAAGTTAATGTAAGGTGTAAATTGTAATATATTCTGACTTGGCTCCTAGATATCATTATCTGCTCTTAAAACTAGCTTTGTATAATATTGTTGATCATGCCCCAAAAGGTGGGTGGTTATATAGAAAACTTCAAGAAAAGGCTGAATCAAGTAAGAAGTTAAAGTGCATTAAGGACCCAAAATTCCAAAATGTTTTGCCAAATACGACTAAGACAATCTATGCCTAGAGTAGAAAATCCTTAGTATCTTGAACAATTTTCCTCAAATCAGAAGTAAAAAAAAAACATTATCTGGCAGCCTGCCTCTGGGTGCGGGATTTTTTTGCTGTGTTGAAGACCCATTGGTGGCCTTGGGATGTTTTCTGCTCTTTGATCGGGTTGTTGTCTCTTTGACACATTCCCCATTTTCATTCTCAATTTTATTCTATATTACCCAGTTTGAATTTTCATCCATATAGGCATTATATTCTATCAGAAATAGCCTAGATTGTTTACAGAGAATTATACTGTAAAACAATAGCAATCATGAACTGACCTCCTCTGAAACTTGAACACTGTGGGAGGCCTAAATCAGGAAATTACAAAATACCAATTTTGGTATAGACTGAATGATCTTATTTTTATGCCCTACCTAGGGGCATTATGTTTTTCGATCTGTGCGTCCGTTCGTCTGTCTGTCCCGCTTCAGGTTAAAGTTTTTGGTCACGATAGTTTTTGATGAAGTTGAAGTCCAATCAACTTGAAACTTAGTACACATGTTCCCTATGATATGATCTTTCTAATTTTAATGCCAAGTTAGAGTTTTGACCCCAATTTCACGGTCCACTGAACATAGAAAATGATAGTGCGAGTGGGGCATCCGTGTACTATGGACACATTCTTGTTAGATAAAGTATTACAGACATTGCTTTCACTCAACTGCGTTATTTAATAATCTCACTTTTACAGCTTTGTTCTGAATAGTGGTACAAAAACACATGCAATATTGTAGGGGGTAGATTTATATTCCCTTTGCATCTTATCAAATTAAATTGTACAAAAAATATTGTAAAAGAATACAGATGTTTCTAAAATGATAAAAGCCAAAACAATGCAAATTCCATCAAATGATATACTTCAGAAGGGCTATCATATTAAATGCAATACTAATAATCAATTAAAAGAATGGCAATTATAGCTTCTATCTTTCATAGAACAGTTTGAATAAAATGAAGAAAAACAATTTGTTTTTGTACAAAATTGAATTCTTTTACAAAATCTCAAGTTTTTTTACGAACACTTAAACAGCTATTTGCTTATAAGTAATGATTTTATGGAACTTATGTGTTCTAACATAACGACATTTTTCTTTCTTTATTTTAGGAAATTTACTCCAATAATTGAATAGAGTGGTAGGATCAACAGAAATATGAAACAATTTATCAAAAGATGTTAGCAGACAGTGACTGAAGTTGTAGTTTTTAAGATGTAATAGTGATATAATATCAAGAGTATACCAGTAATTTAATCTAGTGGAACTCTTCTGAGATGGGATACCTCTTATACCTTTGATAGAGTAGCAAAATTGAAATAATGTTATCAATACTGAATGTAAATTGAATCCAATAGAGAACAGAGGGGCTCGGAGCTCACAATTATCTGTATTTGTGCCATAATTATCTCATTTTGATACATTCCATTTTGATCCTTTTATATAAAGGAGGATATATTTGCCCATTCCTTTGAACCCTGATACAAATCTATATTTGAAAGCCATACACATGCTGACCTTAGTTGTCTCAGAAGTAAGCTTGTGTCATTATATCCAATATATAATGAACATTAATGATTGTTAATGTGTTTGGTTTTTTTTTAAACTTATTGTAGATACTAATAGTTGCTGTAATGTTATTGACGACTGTGTTAGTTTGTATAATTATTACTTTAATATGCATGTATTTTTAAAAAACTATTAAATGATGAATTGTAACAATATTTCTATTTTTATAAACTTTACAAATATTAAAATAGGCCTTATTACTATTTGTCTGCCATTATTGGACATCACAGACGTTACCATAAAAGTTTTCTGTCACAATAGAGATTGTTTGACGCAACAAAGGAAAAGTGGTTATTATATGAAGTGTCAAACATTCTCGGGTCAAGTGTTACAGATATCCAAATAGTGATAAGGTCTATGTTTTGAATATGGAAAAATATTGGTTTTTTGTTTTGGGTTTTTTTTTCAGGTTATAATTTTGATATTTCACTGTATGATTTACTGGTTAAATATTCATTAAACATCCATTTTTAATATATTAACATTTAATTTATCATGTATAATGCAAAGAAGTTTAAATCTAGGAAAAGTACAATTTTTTTCACATTTTTTTCTCACATATATACTGTTCACTTCCTTTTTATAACTGTACAACTGAAGGTAAAGCTCAATTTTAAATCTGTTGTGTATACATTTTTTATACTTATAGTTTAGTTTAACTAGTACTTTTTTATAACTAACATAATAGACTCTAATAGACATTGCTGTATGTGGTGTTTTTTTTTTTATTATTTGACTCAAATTTAGTTAAATGGTATAATTCTCCATTTAAGAAATCTGTGATTTCTAAACCATATGCAAACATAAGCACATCATGATAAGTTAAAACTTGTTAGAACTATACATATAAATAATGTATCCTTTGAACTCTGATATTGCAAATGTACAAGAATCTGATATATCTTTACTTTTTGCTTTTATATTTTTATAAAAAATACAAATATTAAATTGTGTTCAATTAACAAGATATCAGCACACTTAAAGATATTGTCAAAGATTTGAGTTACTGTGACTTTACTGTTAGTGTTGCTCTCAACCAATTGCAATTTATTCAAAATTCTGACCAAATTGCAATTTGTTTTATAAAACCAAACTGTTCAACTGGTCAGAAAAATTGATCAAACTGCTGTAGAAAACCACAGTCAAGTCGTGAAAGTGCAAGGTGATAAAATAAAGCATACTTACAATTCTATAAGACTTTAATTCCACATCAATGTTATTATGAAAAATCAGTCTAACAGTTTGTATAGAAATTTTATTGTTATTGTCATGCTAAAGGTGATGGGTAGTAATTTTGAATTGCTATAAAAATGTCCAAACTAAGCTTTCATTCAATTTTTCTTTCGAAAAGTCTTCTATATTCATAAGTTAACAATAGGTTGAGAGCAACACTTACAGTCAAGTCACAGTAAAAGCTGGTAGAGAATGACACTTTTGATAGGGGTTGCTCTATGTAGATGCATTTTGAACAAGCCAACATTTGGAGTATTACTTGTAAAAAGTCTATGCATTGTTTAATATCTTAGGTTTAAAGAAATTTTATATCTTGTTTTATTGCATTTGGATATGTGTCTTAGACAACCAAAGTTCAGTCATGTTGTTTTAGTAGGTATTCAGGGTTTTGAGGCTTACATGTATATAAAGCAAGGTTGAGCAATTTTTATACGACCGCAAAAAAAATTTGCGGTCGTATATTGGTATCACATTGTCGTCGTCGTCATCGTCCGAAGACAGTTGGTTTCCGGACAATAACTTTAGTAAAGTTAAATAAAAATCTTTGAAATTTAAACACAAGGTTTATAATCACAAAAGGAAGGTTGGGATTGATTTTGGGTGTTATGGTCCTAACAGTTTAGGAATTAAGGGCCAAAAAGGGGCCCAAATAAGCATTTTTCTAGTTTCCAGACAATAACTTGTGGAAAGGTGTATGGACCTCTCTGAAATTATACCACAAGTTTCCATACCACAAAGGGATGGTTAGGATTTGCTTTGGGGGTTATGGCTCAAACCGTTTAGGAATTAGGGGCAAAAAAAGGGGGAAAAACAAGGGTGTCCTGGTTAATGGACAATAACTTAAGTACAAAACATAATTTAAAGCAGTTTAAGGGAGGTCATTCAAACTCATCATTTGAATTACCTCCCTTACACTGCTTGTAAATGGTTAATGGACAATTACTTAAGACAATTTAAGGAAGTACAATCATTGCATGTCAAAGCAACACTTTATGGTGTCTTGTACTGGAAAAATCAATATACCTTTAATGGCATATAAGAAAGAACTGGTTCCCGGAACTTCGGATGTACCAAAACAGGTACTTCAGATCTGACATACAGGCAAAAAGTACCCTCTTTATAAAATTTGGTGCAGTTTTTTTAATATTCAAAATTATAAGTCAAAAAGTGTTCTACAATGATCACCAGTCATTCAGCTTTCATTTGATACCAACAATACTTAAATATTCTACATATTTTGAAAGTTACACTCATGCGTAGGAACTATTTTGTGTTAAATATGTACTACTTTCTGGTATGTGCTTTCTGGCTGGGCCGAATTAGTGGTGTTTCACCTTAAAAGCAGTGTAAGGGAGGTAATCCAAACACAACGTTTTGATTACCTCCCTTACACTGCTTTTAAATTATGTTTAAAGAAATGCATATTTATAAAGGAAGACCAGTAAAAATATCTGCAAATGTTGCATCTTTTTTTTTTTTACAAAAAAATCCATATGAAAGATTTGACACCATATTTTATATTCTATTATTATTATTGTTAGCACTATGGTAAATTTAAATGGGTAGTTATAGTTGCAAACTTCATAGGAAATTTGAATTGAGATTATGACCATATCTTTAGGTAAGAATTTTTTTGGGAGAAAATGGGGGGGGGGGGGGTAAAAAGAAATTGTGGGGGGTCAAGGGGTCAATTCGCAACAGCAAAGTGTATTGCACAAAAGCAAAAAATTGAATATAAATTCAAATCATATAACCAATTCTAAGTTCTTTGACTACAGTTATTCTGTGTCAGAAACCTTTTATGTGTCAAATATTTAATTACAATCCAAATTCAGACCTGTATCAAGCGCGATTATTGTGTCCATTTTTGGCCCAACTGTTCACGGTTGGACCTCTGCGGTCGTATCCAGCTGCGCTCGGCGAAGCAATTTATTTATCCCTTTGCATCAATTGTGCAGTTTTATTTTGATGGAAAATTTCTGCTGAAAATGCACAAACTAGTTTGACAATTACAAGCTTGATTGACCTTGAATGTTTTATTTACATATTTTTTAAATTAATGTTGTCAACAGGCATTTTAATTTAGTTTTATATTCTTTCAACCTTTTCCTCAATGGTAACTGAAAAAATCTGTTGCATAAATGTTATGGTTTTTAAATAGGTTGAGGCAGTCTGACATCATAAACAATACCAATAAAGTAGCAACAGGTGCCATTGAACAACATTAAATGTGCAATACAAAATTTGATATGGTTTTATATTGATGTGATAACATAATTCTGTGATTTAATGCACTACAGTTTTAACTGCTGTAATTATTTTTTTAATGTGATAGTCTTCTTTATGATTTTTTATCTTTTGTACTAATTTACTGACCTATTATATTTCTTGTTTATCTTATAATAAACTTGTTTAGAAATTTTTTGTTTATTCATCTATTGATTTGATGTTTTATTGATTCGATTCTAAGTACCGGTATGCAACAGGATGAAATCCTAATTAGACCTTACAATTTAATTATAAGCTTGAACTTGAACTAAGTGATCAATAGGGTATAAAGTTTGTGGTTTTGACTTTTGTTCCTGCCTGTCAATCAACTTTGCTGCCATGACTAAAAACACAAGATCTTCAAAAAGGCCAATTTGACTTAAACCATTGAATGACTACTTTCGGGGAAAACTGATCGATAATGAGAAACTGTAAATAGCAAAAACGATCAGCAAAACAATTACTACAAAAATTTCAAATGCCTAAAACAATTGGATGAGTCCTTTTTTTGACTATTATCTCGAACACTATTAAAAGATTGGTAGAAAAAAATCATAAATATATTTTTGCCAGATGAGTGATTCATGCTCATAAGAGCCTCTTGTTTAATCTGTGAGACACTTATTTCCTGTTTCAAGATGCTTCCAATTACAAGTAGGGGAATTCTTAGCAGGGAAAATGCATAGAAAACTTCTTCTTATGCTTACAATTTCTTATTTCATCTTAAACATGAGCCATTTTTGTCTCACCTTGACGGAGTCAAAAAGCGAGACATAGATATGCTGTTTCCAGAATCGGCAATTAGGTCAGTTTATGGGGAACTGTTAGTGATAAGTCAATGATATTTGGTATGCAGTTTTATAAGCATTGGCATATCTCATTTCCATGGAGATTATTTGGCTCCACCCCTCAGTCATGGTCTATTGACTTTAAAACTTTTGCTTAGTTTACATATATTAGTTTGTGATTAGGTCAGTTCAAGGGGAACCACTTGTGGTAAGTCATTGATATTTGGCATGCAGTTGTGTAAGCATTGGCATATCATGGTGAATATTTGGTCCCACCCCTGCAGTCATGGTCTATTGACTTTGAAACTTTTGCTTAGTTTACATGTATTAGTTTGTGATTAGGTCAGTTCAAGGGGAACCAATAGTGGAAGGCCAATGTTAATTGGTATGCAATTGTATAAGCATTAGCACATCTCATTCCCATGGAGAATATTTGGTCCTGCCCACTCAGTCATAGTCTATTGACTTTGAAACTTTTGCTTAGTTTACATGTATTAGTTTGTGATTACATCAGTTTAAGATGAACCGCTAATGATAAGTCAATGATATTTGATATGCAAATTTATTGGCATTTGCAAGTCTCGTTTCCATGGAGATTATATAGCCCCACCCCCTCATCATGGTTCATTGACTTTGAAACTTTTACATAGTTTACATGTTAATGTTTGTGTTAAGTTTGTTTAAAGGGAACGATTTATGATAAGTCAATGGTATTTGGTATGAATTTGTATTAGCATTGGCATGTCCATGGAGATTGTTTAGCAATGTACCTTCAGTCATGGTTCATTGACTTTCAATATTTTCATAACTTACATGTTAAAGTATTGATATTTTAATTTCAACATTTGCATTATCAAAAGTACAAAAAGGCGAGACATATCTCTTTGTTAACAGTTTATTATTAATGTTGCATTGTTCTCTTTAATGCATTTGAATTTACACCAAGAATATGTTATATTTATCATAGCCTCAATGCCTAACTGGGTATATGACTAAAAGAATTATTACCATTATTTGCAAGAACATGATGGCTGTCACTAGTAAAGAAGAAATTGCTTACCCTTCTTTACCAGTCACCTCTATAATTTTCAAATGATATTTACTTTATGGTCTGTGTTGTGACCTTTCCTCACTGAAGGCAAGAATGCTACCATTGCTGCACTGTTTTCAGTAAAAAAAAAGAAACACAAATGCAATCTTCTACCATTATTCATGATTTGTCAACAAAATTTTACTGTAAGTCCCTTTCCTCAATAGTAAAAAAAACATTTGACTTCTCTGTCCTTTACACAGGTATTCCTTATTCTAATCTGTTAAAAAGACAGATTGAAAGAACAAATCCAATTTTTTTTGTAATGCAATTTTTAAAGTTTGTTCTTTAATATGTTGTGCTGTTACACCACTGTCCCAAGTTAGGGGGAGGGTTCAGCCCTCACAAACATGTTTATCCCTGCCTTATTCCTTATGTGCCTGTCCGAGGTCAGGAGCCTGTAGTTCAGTGGTTGTCGTTGGTTCATGTCTGTCATATTTGTCTTTCGTAAATCATTTTGTTATAAATTAGGCCATTGGTTGAAGGCTGTACGGTTGCCTATAACTGCTTACATCCACTTTATTTGAACTTTGGTGGATAGTTGTCTAATTGGCAATCATACCTCATCTCCTTATTTTTATACATATAAATATCTTGTTCTTGAAAGGAACATATCTTGCCTTAAAAAAAACAGTTCTTCAAGATGCTTGATTTTTTTATTGACAACATATTTGTTGTTTGCATGCATAGGACATTTTTTTCAATAGATGTTCACCATTCCTGGCAGAATTCTTACAGGAGCTTCTCGGGACGAGTGAAAGAAGCTGGTGTTCACTTTTAAATTTATGTTCATCTATAAATTATATCTTTTGGATGCATAATTCAAAGTTTGGTGATTTGTGTTGACATTTTTCCTAGATTTGAACTTAAAATAAAAACTAGTGTTGTAGAAACGTACAGTTTTGCCTAACCGGTTACTCGGATAATTGTTCGACCGATTAACCGGTTAACCGGTAGCTTATGTTGATGTTTGAAGGCCTTATCTATGGTACCCTACAAATGTACATTTTTATAATACGATGAATTGAAGTTTGTCCTTTGGCATTATAAGGCTTGTCTGTGAGGATTCCTGGCGAACTTTGACTTTTAATAATCCAATACACCGTATCTACTATGGCGTTTGTAATAACTTCAGATTGAAAAATAAAAAAACTTCTTGATCTCGTCAAATTGAAAATGTCTGAAACTGATGATTCTTTCATTTTCTCTTACCATCAAGTATACATAAATTACATTCACGTTCATTTGCATTTCACAATTTTTGAGTTGGCTTTTCGTTTAAAGTATGACAAAGCCTTGCAATATTAGATCAAAAATAAAATAATGAAGAAGTAAATTGTAAAATTTAATCGGATTACTGATTTAAAGTTACTGTTTAAAAAAAATGTAATCTAATTATGTTTACTTAAGATCTTGCCCCGAGCTGATAGACAAGTTGTCTAAGTTCTAATTAATTTTATGTTTTTTTATTAACAATAGCAATCACTATACTGGACAATTGATCTGTCAAATTAATTACCACAACGATAATTTTTAAATAGAACAAAATTTAATGATTTCAATACACATTTATATCAAATCTATTAAAATTGAAAAAAAAGTCCGGTTAACCGGTTGGCGTTTTTGGTATTCGATATTCGTTCCTTCCAACGGTTAACCATTGACAACACTAATAAAAACACTACCATTGACTTTTCTCAATATTATGAATTACTTAAAAATGGACAATGAGTGTCTTGAGAACTTATATTTATGACAATGAGGGTCTTGAGAACTTATATTTATGATAATAGAGATAATTTCAATTTTCTCATTGAAAACATTCCTTTCCTTGCAGCAACATTCCAGCAGAGCTAGTGTATAGAATAGATATCTTCTTCTTGGGTACAAATTTTCAAGGGCATGCCATTTCTATCATGATTTCCTTGCAAGGGCATTGCTGCCTACAAGGATTTGAAAGTTTAACGGACACCATCATCATTTGGTTTACAGTTATGGAATATCTGTCATAGATGACCACTGATATCTTCCACTTGTTGTAGCTTCAATCCCATCTGCTTTAATTCGATTTTGACTTATCACCAAATTTATATATGCAACAAGTAACATGATGGGTGCCATTTCTGGAACAGGAACAGCTTCTTTTCTGCACCAAATGTGTTCAATCTAAGTTTTTGATGATGTTCATCCTTATTTTTCTGTAAAGTGTTTTGAGGACTCTTGTTTTTACCTTTTTAATTTTTTTTGGGGCTATGGTGTTGTCTGTTTTTAATGAACTAAGTGCAATGTGTGTAGCAGAGACTGCACAAACTGTTAGAGCATGTTAAGTTAACCTCACCATCCATTTTTAGTGGAGTAGGTATGAAGTTTTTGTGATTTTCGGTCCAATGTTTAATCATTGATAGATTTTGTTTTCAAACAATCACAAATTCTTGTAGCTACATAACAGTATGGTGCTGAAGTGTGCCTGTCCATAGGACACCATGCCTTGCTTCCAATATCAAATTTCCACTTTCAGTGAACTGAAACCCTAATTTAGCACATATTTTTAAAACTTCACATTATAATGAACATGAGTACTAGGTTTCAGTGTTTTAACCACATTCTCGTAGTAATCTACCTTAAACCCAAACTTCAACTTGATTCAAGAAGGATGGATAATAAATCAGGGAAAAGTAAGGGGGGGGGGGGGGGGGGTTACTAACAGAAACAGAAGCACTTGTAATCAATCATAGTAAAGAATTCCTAAATATGCCAATCATTCAAGAATTATTCATATTTACAGGTATTTTGAAAGAAAGTACAAGGTATATGTTTAAACGAATTGTGTATGACACCAAGCCTGAACCTTGTATGAAATTCACTGCACCATAACATATAGATGATATTGTATAGGAAATGATAAGATATCAAAATATTCAAAACTTTATTCCAAACCAACTGAATAAATGTTTGACTAGTAAATCAAATACAACATTCATTTATAGAATACACTAACAAACACCTTCTTTTAACATATCACATACATTTTCTACTGAGACATCTTTCAACATTCAGAAAAAGTAAATACATTGCAGGAACCTTGATAAATGATCAAATCTTATTTCAAATGTTGATATTGAGGTAATGGTGATATTTGGTTATCGAATTCAGGCTTACAGTGTAGTCTATGGTTTTATTTTCCAAAACTATAACTGCCAGGCAGGGACGTGGATTATAGAGTAGGATAAGCAAGAAGTAAGGGAAAAACTCAATTTCGCAAGGTTTGTTTATGTTTTGCCATGTTTGCTATTGAAATTGTAGAGGGCGCCCTTACCATTTTCAAAACTAATATTTACCTAATTCATATTCAAATGCAATTTTAATTCAAAATCCAATATAAACTGATAAATTTCAAAATTAAATGCTTCATTACAAATTTCATATTTCTTTTCACAGCATTGCATAATATAAACTGGAATCCCCTTGAATTTAATCGAATGAAAAAAGTGTACAAGTCGGCCAGGAATCAGCTTATGAATAACGATGTATAAACTACAAAACATTATTGGTTATTCTTTCTGTTTTGGTGTATCATGCTGACGCATTTGTTTTGGTTTAGCTTAAGATCCTTCAAACATTAATGTGATGGACATGTTTAACAGTATTTTACTAAATTAAAAAGGATGAAAATGTTTTTACTTTCAAAGTCGTAAAAAAAAATATAACGCAAAAGATCACACACTATTTGAAATTACTGAAGTTTCATTAGACATTTCGACCAGTTACAAATTTTTTTTTACCTATCTTGTGGGAGGTGCGGACAATGTACCAGTGCAGACTATACAAGACCAATTACGGTACCTGTAATTGTTTCTAGAATTTAGAAAGCATTTTGTCACTATTAATTTTTGCTATTCCATGGTATGAATATATTATAAGATCATTGCTTGTTCCTGTTATTCCATGGTAAGAACATCAAAACACTTTTTCAGGAAAGCAGCAAATAAATATTTAAAGCATTCAAGATTTTTTTCTCAATTCACTTCAAATTATACATATGTTGACTATTGCAAAAATAATGAATACTGAATAACAAAAAAATAAGAATACATGCTATGCTGTCATCTGCACTGGTAGTAACATTATTTTAGCAAGTAAGCACTGAAAGTGTTGAAAATATATTATATGCTGATTTATAGATTGTTATTTTACTTGTGAGACTGTTTTACAAATAGAAATAAAATGTAAAGTATAAGCCGATGAGAAATAATTAACCGTAAGACCTCAGGAGATAAAAATAGTCTTCAACATTAGACAGTTGTCTATACAATATGTCCAGCTCTTAATTGTCTATGTATAAAAACTGTTGTGAATAATGCAACAAAACTATAAAGAATGATCAAATATTCAAAAAATTCAATGTGTGGGACACGTTTAACAGTTAATTACAAAAAATTATCAAACACTAATTGATCTACAAAATATACATGAACAAGTAATATAAGTAACAGATCTACAAAATATTTAACATAAAACAAAACACGGCACCAATAAATAATAACAAAATAATAGCTAACATACAGCATAAAAAGCAATATCTTAAATTTAAAAAAAAATACAATTACACATTAATTTGATATGGCTAAATAGATTGTCCTACCATTATGATAAGAGAGTGTATAAACTAATAGTGTTGCCAAATTAAATGAAAACCAAGCACTGTAAGTAATATTAAGTATCTTAAAAATATGTCAGATATGTCACTTGAAATTACAAAAAAAAATATTGCACATAGTGAATGATCCATCTAATTATTTGATACCAAAATTTTTTTAAAAGTACAAAATCAACTTATATTGATATCAAATAAGAGAATAAAAAGTGTTTTGTCAAAAAAAAAATTACAAGTTGTACAAAGTAACATAAAAAATTCCTTGTACTGTAAGGCAGGGCACTTTTTTTTGTGTTATAATAAGACATTACCTTGAAATGGTTTCTGATTTCATCAACACTGATTGTTCACAAACCACTAGACTGAGCTTTGGGTAACCTTGCATGAACAATCTGCTTGAAGGGAGTATTTTGTTTTCTTATGTTTTTTTTTTAATTTTAAGTTGAAAATTAGCATCTACCTTTGGAAGACATTTAATCTGTATTTGTCCATTAACCAGGACACCCTTGTTTTTCCCCCTTTTTTGCCCCTAATTCCTAAACGGTTTGAGCCATAACCCCCCAAAGCAAATCCTAACCATCCCTTTGTGGTATGGAAACTTGTGGTATAATTTCAGAGAGATCCATACACCGTTCCACAAGTTATTGTCTGGAAACTAGAAAAATGCTTATTTTTGGCCCCTAATTCCTTAACTGTTGGTACCATAACCCCCAAAATCAATCCCAACCTTCCTTTTGTGGTATTGAACCTTATGGTAAAATTTCATAGAGGTCCATTCACCTAAACTAAAGTTAGAGTGCGAAAACCAATGTGTCTTCGGACGACGACGACGACGCCAACGTCATACCAATATACAACCGCCAAAATTTTTTGCGGTCGTATAAAAACAAGCAGTACATATGTTAATCTGTCTCCTGTATAAAAAGCACAATTGTAAATACCAAATAACAAATGAAACTTTCCCTTGAAGTTTTTCTTCTTAAAATCCAAAATATTTAATTGCAGGTATCTGTATACTTTATTAAAATCACAATCACAAAATCTTGTATAAAATAAAATTGAGAATGGAAATGGGGAATGTGTCAAAGAGACAATAACCCGACCAAAGAGCAGAAAACAGCCGAAGGCCACTAAAGAGAAAATCCTGCAATGCAGGCTGGCTTCAGCTGGCCCCTAAACAAAAATGTGTACTAGTTCAGTGAAAATGGACGTCATACTAAACTCCAAAACATATAAATGAACTAAAATTAAAAATCATACAAGACTAACAAAGGCCAGAGGCTCCTGACTTAGGACAGGCTCAAAAATGCGGCGGGGTTAAACATGTTTTGTGAGATCTCAACCACCCCCCTATACCTTGAGCCAATGTAGAAAAAACAAACACACAGCAATACGCACAGTAAAACTCAGTTTAAAAGAAGTCTGAGTACGATGTCAGAATAGGTAACAAAAGAAACTAAGCAAAATGACAATGATACATAAATTAACAAAGGACTACTAGCAGTTACTGACATGCCAGCTCCAGACCTCAATTAAACTGATTGAAAGATTGTCTTCATCATATGAAAATCAAGCACAATCCATCCCATTAGGGGTTTTTTATCATACCATCATAAAATATATGAGAAGAACATAACCCGTATCATGCCAACAAATGGTTTTAGAATAAATGTGTTTATTTCTGATGCAAAGACCCTATGAGTGGATCAATATTAATACCAAAATATTCCATCTTTAATGACCTGACAACAGTATCGTAACTATAAGTATTTTTAAGGGAAACATTAGATAACATTAATTTGAAACCACTATTTAAGTTCTTATGGCAACTCGAAAGAGTCCTCAATCTTTTTTTTTAAATGAAGTCAATTTCACATTATTTACAAAAATGAAACTATTGTCAATGTATATAAAATCCATTGGATTAATCATAAAAACATCCATTGAGCGCCATTTTTAAGGAATCCTGCATAGATTCTATACCTTAAACTGTTAAACGTAAAAAATATCAAATTTTAAGTAAAAGGCATTATTAAATATGTCTAAAATGTCTTCTAAAATTTGCCTAACAAATTTCTCTTAAACAAATGTAATCCTTAATACTGTTAGGTAATACCAGAGAATTAATTTTATACAAAAGAGTATTACCAAGACTTCTCCTGATACTAATTCTACATAAAGATTTGAGTGAAGTAGGATTTTTCTGGTAATCTTTGAGCCACTGTGATAAGTCTTTGTCTTGTACATAAAATGGATGTAGTCTTGGTATAGTCAGGACACCAGGCATTGTTTTGATTCCAGACAGGAACAACAGTTTAAGTAGTTTACCATTTTCACTGAAATGGATAATAATGTACACATTAAAACTTTGAGATACGTCATTAACAAGTAAAACACAAATTGTGAGATTCCTGGTGGATATTCAATTCCAAAAATATATAATGTGCTTCATGTATTTGTTAGTGCCAATATATGGCAATTGACAATAATTTATTTAGTAAATTAATGCAATTCCTGCACATATTTTGTAAAATGCTACAAGCAAAGATTACAATGCAAGTTTTATTTTTTTGCAAATCTTCATTTTGTTTTTGTTTTTGTCTTTATACAAGAAGTATGTGGTCTAAGCTATAAAATGATGTCTGTTCTGTTTAGAAAAGGTATTTAATGTAACAATTTAAGATATAAAAAGTATGTGATTAAAAGCAAATTACCTAAAAATATCAGAGAGTCCAGGATAGTGGTGTAAAGGAAGATTTGGACAATATCTCAACAATACTTCAACTGTTTCTATATTCTTTCTTTCAAACACAGAGGCAATGCTTTTAAGACTGTAAAAAGATCAATACATTTGATTAAATATTGAGTTTGTTATTGTGGTCTACTTTTGATATACTACATATCTATTTTTTTTCATTATTAATCATATTGATGCCATTATTTTCAATTCTAATGCAATATGCTATATACAGTGATATACATTGCCACTTTTGATTGGATGACATCTGCCTCCAATTTCATGCTTGATGGTTGGAGTCATGTGCAACAACTTTGCCAAATCACAGTCAAGGTTTGTAGGATATTTCAAATGTTTTATTTTGAACATTTTACATGTATTGCATTAAAATGGGAATAACAGTTCTGTGTTTGAAGAGTTGCCACCATTAATTTTGGAATTTTTAATTTTTAGAGTTCTTTTTACCATTATGAATGGATGAATTCATTGCTGTAACATCCAGTGGCAAATATTACATGCATATCTGGCCTTGCTGTAATAAAACTTTATTATTGTACTCGGACTCAGAAATCAACCAATCAAAATACTGGATTTGGTGTTTCGAGCACAAATTTTATACTCCTGAGTACTGACAAAAGATTTATGACCGAGAGCCTTTGACAACTTTTCATCATTGTATAATATATACCTATTATCACTATGTGGCTTCCTCAGGATATTAGCACCTTTAGTAAGGAAGTATTCTACTACAAGGTACCTGTTCATCTCCATGGCAAGATGTAATGCTGTTAATCCTTGTTGTGTTCTTAATCTTAGATCAGCACCAGCTACAAACAAAAGTCAGATATAATAAAAATGACTCTCCAAATTTATAAAATTTAAAAGTTTCAAAATATTTGTTAAAACCTAAAACTTAGGTTCTGTGTCTTTTTTTTGTGCCTTCATTTACAGTGTTAACTAACGACTTCTATGCAAGGATACTTTTTCACACTTTCAGTTAATAAAAATGCAACTACAATAAAAAAAAAATCTTGTTTGTCGTTTTATGTTTAGTAACCATAAAATATCATTCAGATCCAAGTACAGGTACACAGGAGGTTCTGTGTAAGAGCAGAAAAATATATAATCATATCTGTTTCTGATTTTTCTTACCTTATACATGTATCAATTGGAGATGCAGTTAAAATTGTAACTTTACTTCAACATTTATTCATAACAGTCAAATGTTTAGATGGTTGGTAATTAAATGTATTAAAGTTTTAAAAAAAATAATTTTGTCAGATACTGTAGTGTGAATGTCATATTAATGAGAGTTTGAAAAAAAATATAGCTCATTAGCCATTGTTCTACTTTGTAGACTAGAAAATCAACATTATTGAAGGAAGAGACAAATTTACTAACAGCAGCATGACTGGCCATTATTTTTCATTCTTAAACTGGATAAAAAAAAAATCAAATATTTGTGTTTGTGAAGAAATCAATTTGAACAATAAAATGGCAATATGTCACATGTCCAATTAGGTCAGGTGAGCTTAAAAAAAACTAGAGGCTCTAAAGAGCCTGTGTCGCTCACCTTGGTATATGTGCATATTAAACAAAGGACAAAGATGGATTCATGACAAAATTGTGTTTTGGTGATGGTGATGTGTTTGTAGATCTTACTTTACTGAACATTCTTGCTGCTTACAATTATCTCTATCTATAATGAACTTGGCCCAGTAGTTACAGTGGAAAATATTTTGTAAAAATTTACAAAAATTTACAAAATTTATGAAAAAATTGTAAAAAATTGACTATAAAGGGCAATAACTCCTTAAGGGGTCAATTGACAATTTTGGTCATGTTGACTTATTTGTAGATCTTACTTTGCTGTACATTATTGCTGTTTACAGTTTATCTCTATCTATAATAATATTCAAGATAATAACCAAAAGCTGCAAAATTTTCTTAAAATTACCAATTCAGGGGCAGCAACCCAACAATGTGTTGCCTGATTGGTCTGTAAATTTCAGGGCAGATAGATCTTGACCTGATAATCAGTTTTACCCATGTCAGATTTACTCTTAATGCTTTGGTTTCAGAGATATAAGCCAAAATCTACATTTTACCCCTATGTTCTATTTTTAGCCATGTCGGCCATCTTGGTTCGCGGGTGGGGTCATCGGACAAATTTTTTAAACTATATACCCTAATGATGATTGTGTAAAAGTTTGGTTAAATTTGTCTTAGTAGTTTCAGAGGAGAAGATTTTTGTAAAAGATTACAAAAATTTACGAAAAATGGTTAAAAATTGACTATAAAGGGATATAACTCCTTAAGGGGTCAACTGACCATTTTGGTCAAGTTGACTTAATTGTAGATCTTACTCTGCTGAACATTACTGCTGTTTACAGTTTATCTCTATCTATAATAATATTCAAGAAAATAACCTAAAACGACAAAATTTCATTAAAATTACCAATTCAGGGGCAGCAACCAAACAACGATTTGCCTGATTGGTCTGAAAATTTCAGGGCAGATAGATCTTGACCTGATAAACAATTTTACCCCATGTCAGATTTGCTCTAAATGCTTTGGTTTCAGAGATATGAGCCAAAAACTGCATTTTACCCTATGTACTATTTTTTAGCCATGTCGGCCATCTTCGTTCGCGGGCGGGGTCATCGGACACATTTTTTAAAATATATACCCTAATGATGATTGTGGACAAGTATGGTTAAATTTGTCTTAGTAGTTTCAGAGGAGAAGATTTTTGCAAAAGATTACAAAAATTTACGAAAAATGGTTAAAAATTGATTATAAAGGGCAATAACTCCTTAAGGGGTCAACTGACCATTTTGGTCAAGTTGACTTAATTGTAGATCTTACTTTGCTGTACATTATTGCTGTTTACAGTTTATCTCTATCTATAATAATATTCAAGATAATAAATAAAAGCTGCAAAATTTTCTTAAAATTACCAATTCAGGGGCAGCAACCCAACAATGTGTTGCCTGATTGGTCTGAAAATTTCAGGGCAGATAGATCTTGACCTGATAAACAATTTTACCCCATGTCTGATTTGCTCTAAATGCTTTGGTTTCAGAGATATAAGCCAAAATCTACATTTTACTCCTATGTTCTATTTTTAGCCATGGCGGCCATCTTGGTTGGTTGACCGGATCACCGGACACATATTTTAAACTATATACCCCAATGATGATTGTGACCAAGTTTGGTTAAATTTGACCCAGTAGTTTCAGAGGAGAAGATTTTTGTAAAAGTTTACAGACGACGCTGGACGACGACGACGACGACGGACGCAAAGTGATGAGAAAAGCTCACTAGGCCCTTCGGGCCAGGTGAGCTATAAAAAGGGAAACAAGATACTGTTCATTCAGAAATTTTGAAATGTTTTCATTATTTGGAAAATTGCAACAGGATAGGTTTCATCAAAATAAAAAATCTCATTTTAAAATTTTGATCATTATTTGTATACAGCAATTCCTGAAATCACATTCATTCATCTACCAATTTTGTCTGTTGCTACATGCAAAATTTCATTAAGTATCATAAGCAATTACCAGTAAATAAGAGTTTGACCGTCTCCAGATCTCCAGCCATTGAGGCTATATGTAAAGGACATACACCATATATATCTGTCTTATCTTTGTTACAACCCTTATGTACAAGGTACTCACTAACAGGAAAATGGCCTGAAATATACAGTAGTTTTTAAGTAAATTGTTTTATTATCAACTGTTAAAAATCATCCTAATAAATGCCCTGCTAGAAGTCTATTTTTTTCTTTTTTCATTTGTTTAGGGGGGACTCTTTGATGTACATGTGTATCCCATATCTCAATTTTTTTCCATTGTATATATATTTTAAAGTGAGGAGAATGGAATTGTGTAGATGGCATAGATACCATACTGCTGACAAAATTTCTTAAATAATGAAAATCCATTTGTAGCAATAAACAATCAGCAAAACTTGTAACTTTCAAAAGTAACGTCACCACATTCTTCATTGTGAGATCGCTGTATATATATTTCAAATAATTACATATTTGTTACATATTACTTTTTAATGATACAATTTGCACTAATTTTTGTAAAATTCATTTTACCATTTCCTCTTTAATGAAATGTAGGACACTTTGATCCAAATACTGATTTACTGCTACAGCGTACTAGAAAATGTAGTCACTAGTGATGCCAAATTATCATCACATGAATTTATTGAGAAATTCACCTAATTACAAAACTGGAATGTAACCAAAGTCATTCAAGCATGAAATGAAGTTGATTAAATGTGTTTATGACTAAAATGTTGTTGAACAGAAATGTTCAATCTTCCTGAATATGCCAGATATATATGCCACTGGACCTCAAGCAAACAACAATTTAAAAATTAATAAACTTATCTTAAAAATAAACATGAACAATTATGTATACTAGATTCTAGTAACTAGAATGTAAGAAAAATGGTGGAATTGAAAAGGGGAAAACTATAAACATATTCATGGTAAAGGTCAGAAATTAAATTATTCAAACATATATTACCCGGTACATGTATTTCATAATGTATTATAATTATATATAAAATACAATAAAATTGCAAATTAACCTCACCTTTGTGGACAGATTCATAAAGGGGAGTAACTCCATACTTATTTGCAATGTTTATATCACATCCTGCTTGTGACAGAATCTAAAAAACCAAAATTATAAAATCATATGATACTGATAAGGTGTTTTATCAAATAGTATTTTTTTCAATGTATTCTTCAAGGGCATTCTTGAGGCTATCAAACTTGTGCTACAAAATCAAATTGAAGAAATGAATCTTTTTTCAAATATTTTGAATATTCACTGAGATTTAAGGCAGAAAGAGAGAAATAAGTAACATATTAACCTTCGTTCTTAAAAAACAAAAAGAAATGTTTAGTTATAACTTAAATTTGTGACTGAGAAACAACAAGCTCATGCAAGAACCATGCATAAATTTTTAAGATACATGTATGTACAATTCAAATACATGTATACCGACACTGTGTAAATTATTTGTATCATTTCTTTCATTTTTTTTAAATAGAAAGGACAAATTTTTCAATTTTACTTTACCTTTACAATATCCAATCTTCCAAGTCTTGCTGCTAAGAAGATAGGAGCATGATCCTGACTCCCTATGTTAATATCACACCCTGCTTGAATCAATTTATCAACCATGTAAACATTTTGTCCTTTGATAGCTGCGTATAGTGGTGTAATGTTAACATTATCAGCTATCTGGACATCAGCACCATTCAACAGTAAAAATTCTACAAGCTCCGTATGGTCATTTTCTATTGCTAAAAGTAATGGTGTTTGTTGTACACTGCTTGTGGTTTCATTAACGAATGCATTTGCATCAAGTAGAGCTTCACAAATGTTTATATGGCCTCTTCTTGCAGCACATGTCAAAGGTGTGTCACCATGTCCATTATGATCATCTATAAAAGGGGTGTAACATATGTGTTTTGCTTCTTTTAATTGCCTGCTTTCTTCTTCCTGTAAATAAAACTAATAATTGTCATTGCTACTCTCTCTTTACTTTGCTTATATTTTTGTATAACTTAATTGCAATAATATATGACTTCAGTAAAAATGTCAGCAAGAATATCAAACTCTTAATTACTCATTTCTATTTTACATGCTTTAAAATCAGAATTTTTGTTGAAATACAAAATATACTTGAACTATGCATGTAAAAAAACTCATTAAATATCCCAGGAGTCGGTTTCACAAAAAAACTTACGATTAAGATTAATCGTAAATATTGACTTACGATCAATCTTAGTTGTAAGTTTTTTTGTAAATCCGACTCCTGGGTTATAGTTTTATACACCAGATGTGTGTTCTGATTAAAAAGACTCACAATTGGCATTTGAACCGAAACAGTTGGAAGGCCAAATCTATAACATATTAAGCTGAAGAGCATTGAAAACCAAAAATTATCTTTATACATATGTTTTGAGTCTTCATTGCTACTGACTGTTTAAATTTGACTTTTCAGTCATGCTTAGATCATATGGTCTTTTACAAATGTATATAATCTTTCACACTTAACTTCTGTATGGTATTAGGTTACATTTTCGTTTAACGTTATAAAGGGGCATTACTCAAGAACAATAAAAGTGATGCAACCCAAATTCAAACTTGATCTGTATAATGTGGTAATAAGCATTGTGTATATATAAGTTTCATAACATTTGGTTGAGGCGAACTAAAGTTAGAGAATGGAAACCAATTTTGGGAGTACGGACATGAATGAGTGATGACAATGAATTTTGTACCTCTTTTTGAAGTAGATCAATTAGAAATTCTAGAATGTGTTCTTTATTCAGTTCACACGCTACAGTTACTGGATTCCATCCTTCAATAAGACATTGTGGATTTACACCAGATTGAATCAATGTTTTAACTTGATCAATGTCTCCCCTGCCTATGGCAGTAAACAAGTTCTGCTCGGCTGTATTTGGTGTTATCACAGTCTTTTTCTGTTTCCTATTATCAGCTAATATAAAGTCCATAATCTCCAAGGACATCTGAAAAATAAGTAATTTATGGCTAATGAGAAAAACCAGTGTTGAGGTGGCTGTTTTAAAACTTTTAAATCAATATCCACACATTTCCAAAACAGCTTATTAACATGCAACAATTTATTTGATTGCTCTTGCGTTTTTGCAAACATTTTGCTCCAATAAGTCAATATGAGATCAGGCTTACAATCTCATAATCTTAGAACAGTTCAGAGATCTCCATCATAGAGTGGAGCTAAGTATTGACCATATACTAGAGTATCCCACACGCATAAAGTTGCATTCAAGATTGCTTTAACAAGCAAACAAACAACATAACCTTTTAAGAAGCTTAGAACAGGTCATGGATCTGCCACATAGTTTTTGGGATAAATAAACACCACAGCTCTAATTACATAGTACTTATGAATGGTATAAAGATACTTGAAGTCTTGCTCCAAGTACAACGTTGATTAACTATACAGAAACATATGATCATTCTGGTTTGTTTTTAATGTTTTAGTTGTTTACATTATTTCAAATTGGGTTATATCAATTACCTTCATCTATATTTTTGTATTTCATACCAATATTTACATCACGTTTTGTTTCATAGGTATCTATAACATCTCTATATGCATGTATTTTAAATGTCAACTGAAAATTTGATTTACAAGAATACAGGCAAAAAACACCAAAGCAGGTCAATAAAAATCATAAATCAATCCTTGCACTTTCCCTATAATTGCTTACATCCACTTCATTTGAACTTTGGTGGATGGTTTATTGGCAATCATACCACATCTCCATTAATATTTTTATATTGAAAATTTTTCTAAGGAATTGATTGAAAAAGTCATTAACTGCAAAAGGAACATGCACAATAAAAGGAAGATTGGGAAAGAAAACTCAACATGAATGAAATTCAAAGAAATAATAATTTTTAAGGGCCATCAAGCATAATCAAAAAGTCAATCAGGTTTGTTTTGTTATGAACAGAAATACAAAGTATGAGTTAAGATGGGGAAGGAAGCACTTTGCATATGAATGAAAAGAAATTGTGACTTTTGAAGGAAGGAAAGAAAAGAAACCATAGAAAACCTTCCAAAAACAACTTCATGAACTTGATGATTAATTGTTTTGTTGTAACAAAAAATATTTATAAAATTTAATAAACAATCAAATTATGGTAAAAAATGCAAGAATAATGAGACAGTATGGACAGCAGTTTAAAAGTATTGTTTTGAAATAAATGGTAAATGGTCATTTTTTTTTCAACAAAAAATATAGTCCAAACTATTAAACAATTGAATGAAAAATAGTCCAAATCAAGATTGACATTCATTTTGTCACATCATATTTCAGAAGGAACTGAAAAACCACATCTCAAGAAATTGCACAAATGCAATAAAAGGAACTGTCAAGTTCACCACATGTATATGTATAGATTATCTGGTTTTCTGCACATTAATATCGTTAAATATTATCAGCAGCAAGCCACAATGTGAAATTTTTTGGCAAGTGACCCTTAGAAAATTTTACGCTCGACGAAAATGAAGCTTGATAACATCCCCTCATACATTGTGACATCGCTGATAACTTCTACGATTTCTTAATTATCCAAAAAACTTACAAAATGACAAAAATAACCTCTAAGTGTAACCTCTAGGTGCCTGCAGTTAATTTTGTCCACAGGTTGCTGTCTAATTAACTTTATACCTCACACCTTCTTTTATTCATATCTGTAGTTAATGTAAAGTGGTTTAGTTTCATAATTAAATAATCTTTTAAATTTCTAGGGTCAAACCAATTCCTGGGGTTTAATTTTCTTGTCTCTTATGCAAGGAGACATATTTACTATTGTGCCCAATCCCTAATTGGTGGATATATCACTTGTGGAAATTTTCACTTTAAAGTTACATGGTACATGTATATAACTTGGTTTTACATAGCTATTACCCGAGGGAATTGTGTTCAATTCTAGTTTTTGAGACCATTTACTAAATTTAGTACCAGAGAGGATTGTTTCAATCCATTATATTGGTACTCAAACTTGCGCAATTTTGTAGTTTATAGCCTCCTTTTTGTTAGAAAACTTTGTTAGGATATTTTTATAGATACTCCTGGTAGGTCAACTGTCACCCAAATCCTGGTTTAAAGTAAGATAAATAAAATAAATAAGTAGAATTTGTTTGATATTTGATGCTTATTGAATTTTGTACTTTGGCATAATAAAAGTTGTGCTTAAAATCTGTATTTTCAAACCTATACAAGCATCCGAGAGATACGAACCAGGATGGGTACTCTACAACATGGTCCAGGACTAGTCCCTACTGAAACTTCAACACCACCGTGTACTGGGACCTGCTCCTGTTACATAGCATTTTATACTCCCACCCCCTGTGGACTGAATATGAGGCAAAGAGTCAATGTGTAACCCATCAAATCACTTGAAAGTACATTTACCTAGTAAAAACAATAAATTATTCCTATTTTGACCATACTTTAATGCAAGTTGAATAACTTATATTTATAGATATAGATGTTATGTCATTGTACTCACTATATATGAATAATCACACATTATTTTCTCACTATTAATGTAGAACTTTCTTAATGTATGTCTATTCACATTATAAAGGAGATAACATGTACAAATGAATAAGTGCAGAAATAAGTTAATTTATGATCAAAATTCTAATAAATTATGATAGACTGTCCCTTACAAGTGTAGAAAACTTACAAATGTAACATGGGTTTGGTCACATGTAATTTATTACTTATTGTGAGATTTTGGTAAAGGCTGAAAATTTATTATGAATATATATCAGAAAGATAATTTTGTCTTAACTTTATACTTAATGCATGTATGTATCTAAAGTCTTAACAAGTGTGGGTTAAAAGAAATGTATATTGCCCTAATAACAATTGATGACTTCAAAATGTTCAAGTAAATATGTTTACTAAATGATTAACAAATGATGACTTCAAATGATTAAGTAAATATATTATCTATATATCTTCAGAAGCCCATTACTTAAATTCAGTTGTCATGGTAATGGACTCCTGATATCATGGATATAGTGACATATAATTTGAACCTTTTTATTATATAAGCTAGTCAGAGAGTTTTTACTTCATTTACTGGTTGTTAATTTTCAATGACATCAGTGTTTGGAGTTGAATTCAGGAGAAGTCTCCTGATAACATTTAAACTGACAGATTTCTCAATTCTTGATGTTTGTTCATGTTTGCATCTACATGTACATGTGAAATTGCCTGTTTTCCAAATTCATACATGTATGTTCATTCACAACTAATTTCAAATGTTTTAAAGGGAACTCTTCCAAATATTCCTAGTCCTTCTTCAAATTATATATTCCTAGTCCTTCTTCAAATTATATCGGGGCCAATGGCTAGGCAATTTCTCATGCCAAAAGGTCAAACCATACATTTGTATATAACATATTTTATTTATATTATTTGATATGGGTATCTACAATGTACATGTATGTGTTTCAAACCCCACCCCTTGCTTGCCATGGTAAAGACTTAAAGAAGTAAATGTAACTGTGTTGGAACAGATTACTTACACATATTTTTGAAGAAAACAAGTTTTCATTGACAATTTACAGTATTTTCTGATTAATTAATGATTTAATAATTTTTTGTGTTTTTTTCATTTCACCAGACAATATTGGGAGGGCTAAAGATTGTCCCCAGTCCTACTGCATTGAATGAGTGATTAAAATTTATTTGTTTCTAATAAATTATAACTTACTTTAGTAAGAAACAAACCCATAGTTGGACTTATGCAATTTCCTGAATTAAGGTAAAACAAGGTAGTATCCTCCTATGTACAAACAAAGGGAAGTGCATGTTAAATAATTAATCCTATGCATGTTAATGCCCAAAAATTTTAACTCCACTAGAGTTCGAGAAATCCTGTAAAAGAAACACCTTTGTTTTCCTGGATATACATATATTTACATTCTTTGTCTAAATGTCTTCATTATTCAGAAGTTTCAATTTTGTCTCCATGCATTATATAGTGACTTAATTTCATGTTAAAAATTATGAGTCTCCTGCATTATACAATCAATGATATTCAAAAAACCACTTTTATATAATTTTTATAATAATTCCCTTCATGAAAAGAAGTCAATCTCTGGCTGGGAGTAGATTTGTCAGAAACTTGAAGTAAAATTGACCACATTTCATTTGGCACAAGTCTAGACAAATCTGCCTAAAGTACTTCCAGCTCCAAGTTGCCCATTAATTGTTGAACTACATACATATGTATGCTTTAATATAAAACTAGTAAACAGATTTTCAATAAAGAACTCAAATTGGTATTAAAATGCTTTTAAATGGTTACATGTACATGGAGATACACCAAACTTATTAATGAAATAGTTTGTGTTTTAGCCACACCCAATTAATACAATGAACAGTACATTTATGTACCTTTTAAAGACTGTTTTCATTTTCTTTTCATTGAAATTCTATTTAATTCAGTTATTTATAAGATTAACCATTGTAACAATAAAAATACATATAATTAAAAATAGATGTAGGGTGTAGTTCAATTTAAGACACAAACAATTATCACTTCTACATATGAATTATTAGTGTCTATAAAATTCACATATGACAAGCTTTTATTTATTGTAACTTTTGGTCCCTTTCTAAAATGCCTATCACCAAGGTAAGGTACAGAAAAGGCTATTGCCTGTAATCACTTATGTATCTTTCAACAAAAAAATGGGGAATGTGTCCATGGGACACAGATGATGCCCCCGCTTGTATATAACGTTATAAAGGGACATAACTCAAGAACTATAAAATTGACGCTACCCCAATTTGTATTTGATCTGAGTTTTGTGGTAATAAGCATTGTTTATAGGTTTCATAACATTTAGTTGAGGCAAACTTAAGTTAGAGAATGGAAACGAAAATTTCAGCATTTTTTCCATTTGTAAAGGGGCATAACTCTAGAATGGTAAAAGTGACGCCACCAAAATCCGAACATGATCTGTGTTTTGTGGTAATTGGCATTGTGCATAAGTTTCATAACATTGGGTTGAGGCAAACTAAAGTTAGAGATCGGAAACGAAAAATTCAGTAATTTTTCCATTTGTAAAGAAGCATAACTTTAAAACGGTAAACGTGACGCCACCAAAATTCAAACTTGATCTGTGTTTTGTGGTAATAAGCATTGTGTAAAAGTTTCATAACAATTGGTAGAGGCAAACTAAAGTTAGAGAATTGAAACCAATTTTGGGACGTACGGACATACAGACAGACAAGGGTAAAACTTAATGCCCCCTCCGCTACAGCAGGGGCATAAAAATAAATAATTATGCTGCATGAATATTGTAAACCAACTTACTTTCACAAGTGATTTATTTACTCAACATTGGTAGAAAAATAATGTCAAAATAAACCTTCAAACAATGATTTGAGTATAAACAATCACCAATATTGAAATGTACTATCTTCTCTTATTTCAATACATCTGACTTCAACAAAGCTGTTACTTTATATTTGTGTCCACTGATGACCATTGGTACATTGTATGTTGACCTTGTTTTGTCACAATCCTGTCTTTATTTAGCTAGTTTATGTTTATGACACCACTGAATGTAACTTTTTACTGGATTTTTACCAGTGGCAGCCATGTATAACAGGACTTGTCACTAGTGGAACAAGAACTGAATTCACTCCTACTTTTTGGTGGGATTTTTTCTGTTTCTAACTTTTTAGTTTTCTGGATAGTGTTTTATGAACTGCTGTTTGTCTGATTTTATTTCCTTTAGTCAATGTGTTGTCTGTCTGGCTTCCTTCTATTTATTTTTCTCTTTGCTGTGAAACAGATATTCTATTATGGTCAACCAACTTGTGATGACATCTGTAAAGTTTTGATGGAATAACTTTAACTTCCCCACTTAAAACCCTTGGGTCAATAGCTTCCTTGTAAGCAACAACCACCTATTAAGGAAATTATGACAGGAAATGCAACCTCTGGAATATTGTATCAATATATACTCCATGTGCAGGCACTGCTGGAATGTTGCAAATAGGACATATAAAAATGGAAGGTTCACAATTTGGAAGCTGAAATCATCTCCTTTCTTCACGTTCTTGTAAAGTTTTGTTCTAAATTAAACCAACCTTCATTGTAAGTCAAGATATGAAACAGACTTAACTGTATTTGTACTATCCTTTATATCAAGTTCAATGGGATATAGATGCATTCGGCATAGTCGCCAAACTTTGAATTATTTAGTGAGTCTTAGAGGACATTATCTATCTAGAGGAATTGGAGTGGTCTCTTACAAAGTCTGATTGGTTCCTATCTTAACTATTACCATGCTGAATTGTTTTCAGAAAATGTATAATTTTCGTTTATTTGCAAAAATATGCAAATTACATGCAAATGAGCTTTACCCTGCTGCTGATGCATATAGATTCCTTTATATCCGAGATAGGGGATCACCGGGTGGGGGTGAGGAGGCGGGGGTGGGTGGACGTTTTTTTTGCCCCAAAGTTGGTCATCAGGCAAATGTCAGGTGCAAAAAGCGTCAATTTTCTTGGCTGAGTCTTTTAATTTAAAATGACACAAACCTATAGAAATTGGAATAACTTTGTCCAAAGAAACATATTTTTATTTTGGTTTAAAAAAGTTAGTAGCCTTGAAAATTGTCAATTTTTTGGAAGTTTTCATAGGCTTGTGACTTCTCAGTAAACCAGGTTATGGCTATATATATATTCACCTTTTGTAAAAATTTGCTGCATTTTTCATAAATATGAGCCATTTTTGGTATAAAATGTTTATTTAAAAAAATATAAGTTTTTTAACACTAGAAAAGTATCCTTTATTTGCGGAAAAGTTACTCATATGGGGAACTATTCCCCATTTGGCGGGTTGTCCTCGAATCCAAATCCGTTCGCCCTGATTCGTGTTCGCCCTGGGTCCATTCGCTCTGATTTTTATTTTATTTTGTTGTCTTCTTGTATAATGCTCATTATTTGAAAAAGAGTATGTTAAAGTTTGTTGAAAATTTTGCCGATTTTTTATGCTGTTTTGCTGCTACCAAAAATTATTTTCCTTTGATCTGCACTGTAGAGTACCAGGAATACAAGGTATTTAATATAAAACAACTGAAGACCATGTTATCTGCATGTATTATCTTTATTGATAAATTTTAAACATTTTAAAAACAATCATTAACAGTTATAACAGAATCCAATTCGAACTTCGCATCACACACCAGTTATGTCCTTAATTTTTTACATTATTATTTTAAAAAGCACAAAAAAATAGGAAATGTATCAAAACAAACTTGAGATCAAAGAAGCCAAGCTGTGTGCGAAACAAAAATCCCTGTTATGTCTTTTATGTCTTACAATTCGTAAATCATTGTTTTTACTCATTCCGAGTTCAAGTTGACTTGTTTATTAAAAAAAAAATTTTACTTTCATTATTAATTCAACAAAAACAATTAATACAAAAATAAGTGAGCTCAAAGACATCATAATTATACCTAATCAGCATTCTAAAATTACAAATAACAGCAATTAAAATTAATACTAAATAAAACAAATGTAAGAATGAAGCCCATTAATGCTTAAAAAAAAACAACATTTTTTAAAATATTTCCATGTTTTTTTCATAATTTCGAGAATATGTATTTTCTCTAATATTGATCATATAAATATCTGAATATGTTTATTTAACCTTAATACAACTATTTTTTTTTTTAAAGTACAGTGAATGATCCCAGGGCGAACAGACTCTGTGGGCGAATATGTAGTCAGGGCGAACGGACCAGATACCGTTGTCCCCAACCTGTTCAATACTGTATCCCGCAATGGTGGTAAGTCGTGCACTTAAGGCCATTTTTTATTTTATTTTTCTGTAGACTTAGCTTTGTTTTTTTATTACTGTGTATTGTCAAGCTTGGTTACTCATAATTGTTTCTCAGTCACTGAATGTAGGATGTTGTTCCATACTGCAGCAGCTGACCCATTTTGTTTACATTCAAATTCTAATGGCTTCAAAACCATGTGACACATTGAATCGTTATATCCAATCAAATTGCTCTACTGTCAATTAGGTTCTTTTTTAGTACAAGGAAATTATATTATTTGTTTGTATGATATTGCTTTGAAATAGTTTGCAATAAATTGGGGGTTTATTCAATAGGAAACCTCATTATTAGCCATGAAATTTGATATCAATGGAATTTTATATGAATATTTACTTATGGTCAGAATATCGATCTCTTTATATTGAACCAATTTTTTTTTATGAAAAATATATGTGTATTGTTTTTTTATTAACCTACTCTATATTCCTGAACCAAAATATGGCATGATTATCAATTGTTTCCCAAGGTTTTTCTTTCAATTTGGATGGTTTTTTTTCGCGGGAAAATCGTGTAAGACGTAAGGTGCTTGCCATTTTGAAATTCTTAAAAATACGATTTGCTCGGCCTGTTTGGTCTGCCATTAAGATTGATGACGCTAAATGGAATGTAAACAAAGCAATGGAGGCCTGAAGAGGGGATTTCTGAAGTTCTGGAATGTTTAAAGGCATTCGAAAGTCAGGTTTGAAACGGCCATTAGAAAATTGGCATTTTTGTAATATACTTTAGAATAACAATGAAAACATATCTTTAGAAATGTTTGTTTATTTAGAAGAGTAGAAAAAATGTATTCTGCACTAATTTTGTACGCTGGTATTAGCGTAGTGACGTCAATGCAGAGTTTTCCCGTGTGATAAGTACAATAACAAAATCCGAACGAACCAACATTACATGTATGACCGATTATAGACTACGGTAGGATATAGAAGACATTCAAATCCGTGCACTTTCCAGTAAATTTCTTATGTCACAATGCTTATGTTATTACATCACAATAAGAACTGATTGTTCCATGAAGTCCTTTCCACCCATTGACCTAGGGTCAACAGGTGAAACTCATTCATATTAAAACAATTCGAGATTGGTATAAATGTGTTTAAAAAAATTCAAGTAAGATCTTGAGTGTAACCACATGCTGCAACTGAGGATGAAATGGTAAAATACCAGGAACGCCTTAGAAATATATAATATACAACTATTATAAAAAGTACATAGAAAAGCAAAATTATCTTAAAAACGGATGCAAGACTTTGAACAGTTGAAAGGTATATACATGCTGAATCCCAGCTTTAATTTCTGTGAAAGTACAAATGTAACATATTATCAGAAAAGGACAACTTACAACAACAGTTCAAACTTAAATGGACGTCTTCACTAGGGTTAGTGCTACACAACAGCATAGCCAGTTTTAAATTTCATCCATTCTAATCTAATGTTTACATTTTAACAAAAGGTCGAGGTCATAAATTACATCATTGTGATTCATCCTCTGCCACGAAATTTCTTGTGATGTTTACGCTTGCGCACATTTCCGTTATCCGGGTAACTTTCGGTCCAAGATGGCGCCCGTTGGCGAGAGAAATGACAGATTGGGTTCATCAACGCCTGATGATGATGAAAATGAAGGCCAAAATCTTTGGTAGTTAATTGAGAGTGTTGCCAACACGACGGCTTTCCTTCCACATCCTTATCTTAATTCATGCTTTTTGGGCGGTGCCAAGATTTTTGTCATTCCATTCGCATCATTCAGCATAATTTATCAAGCCCATATTCCATTCATAAAATATATATGCTGTCTGTGCTTAGTATAATTACAATTTTTAAAAAGATATCAAATTTGCACCAACAGACTTGTTAAGATAAAGGAATTTAAATTTACAATTTATGCATTTATAGAAACCTGACTCATAAAAAATGAATTTTGTTATGATTCATGATAGGGAAGCATACACCTTATCGCTATTTAGTCCAATCCGGAAAAAACAGTTATTTAGACAACTTCCTGTTTGGGTCAACAGGCCGCAAACAAAGGTCATCAGTAACGAGCTGAGGGAGGGAAAAATTTAGAAAGCGATCAATAGGAAACTTTGATAGATTATGATCCACTTTTTCCAAACTCAAATTATAGTCAAAAAAATATTGTGTTTGAAGTATTTACGATGTTTTAAACAGGTCTCATTAAAAAGTATCATGCATGGTGCATTGTTTAAACAGGGTCCCAGATAGCGTCAACTGGATGAAAAAGTTGTGTAATTTTAGAACTTATCCGGAATGGAATAAATAGCGATTAGGTGTATTTTTATAGACCTCGTCCGTATTTGGAAAACTTTGATCCATTTACATCATACAGCTTTTACATTTACAATGTGGGGTGGACATGGTGGTACTGACTTTGCGAAAAATTGTTGAAATTTTTCTTCCTGTTTACTTTTTTCCCGTCAGCCCAGAGATCGCGCTACTGGGCGATTGGGGCTAAGAAGTTGCTTGGCTTTTCCTAGTCCAAATAATTATTACATCTTGGAAGGCTATTTTAAATTTTTGCTTTGACGCCTTCCTGCGACAGTCGTTGTAAGGCGTCAAAGAAAAAAACATAATAGCCTTTCAAGATGTCATAATTATTTGGACTAGGCTTTTCCCAACAGTCAAATGTTATATCTAGTCTCCCTGGTGTCACAACATACACTTTCATCATTGGCAATTTTCCATTTTTACCAAGTTGTTGAATGGCGATTTTTCATTTATTAGTAAAGGTTTTCAATGACATTAACAATTTTTATCTTTAGAAAGGTGGTGAAAGCATTGACTTTGAAGATTGGTAATATGTTATTTCTAAGAAACAACTTTTAATCAAGTATTTTCTTTCACTCTCAGTACTAGCTACTTAACAGCATACAACAAAAATTCAGATTTTTGGCTAAATAAATTTGTTACTTCATTAGAAGGTGATGAAAGTGGCCTGTAGGTAATGTTTCATTCATTTATTTACCATCATGTTCCTTTCCAAATTGGATAAAATTGCATTAGGTAGATAGGCAGATCATAGGGCACTGAATTATGGTTTACCGTTTTACCTGTTATAATTGTCATCTGAAATTCTTTACTTAAGAACCAGTTGAAGGTATTTCTACTATGGGGTAGCCAAATTTGATTCTATGAGGACAAAAGAACATGATATCAGCTGCTATTGATGGACTTCAACAATGATAAGGCCCCCCAAAAAAATAGAAAAATAGGTGTGTTTCGGGTTGACCGACCCTAATTTATAGGCTACAACCGTTACTCCCCCACCCCCAAAATATAAAAATTGGTAATTTTTTTGTGAGATAGGAAAAAAGATCATCTTTTAGCATATCCCAAAATCGCTGTGATTGGAAATGAGCTCTTTAGCATGTCCCAAAATCGTCTGGGTCTTAATAGTGCTATTTGTGACAGTGAATAATAATAAACAAATGGCTGGCTTATAACTAGACGCCTTACAACGACCGTCGCAGGAAGGCGTCAAAGCAAAAATTTAAAATAGCCTTCCAAGATGTAATAATTATTTGGACTAGGAAAAGCCAATCAACTTCTTAGCCCCAATCGCCCAGTAGCGCGATCTCTGGGCTGACGGGGAAAAAAGTAAACGGGAAGAAAAAACAGTTTGTTTGATGAATGCAACCATAAACCTTATATTCAAACGTTCATGATAGTTTCACGCTCAAAAATAATCAGTGTTCTCCCCAGGCCCTTAAAGGACCGCGGGCCCGCGATGTATTATTTTTTTTCGTGGTGCTAAAATTTTCAGTTGAAAAATCGCAAATCGGTAAAGTTTTAAACGACTTGTTAAATCTTTTCCGTGCGGTATAAAATTCCAGGTGAAATTTGACCAGTTTAAACCAGTTCAACACAGATTGTTTACATCACATGATCGATTTACCTTATGAGGTTAACCTTGTTGATTGGATTTAATCGATGTAATTAACACTTGTAACATGATTCTTTTATGTTTTAATTAAGAGTTCATAACTTTATGATCACAGATAACTATTTTATGGCTTCACTCACCACCCAAGCACTGACCTGTGACAAGTCGGCAAATACTTTGTACACAAACAGTGTCTTGACCCGATAGGTACATTTATTGTACATCATAAAGGTGGCTCATTACATATAATTGACAATTATACATTTCTCAATTCTTATATTATAGTATTATATGTCTCTGATTAAACCATGGCCAATAATATCTTTAATTATGACATAGTTATTGCATGATAGTCGGGTTTCAAACTGTAGTATCTGTCTGTACATATCACATGACCCAGTTAGTTCACATAGAATATTAAAGTTTATTTACAATTAATTGCAATCTATTCTATTTTATAAATAAAATGCATGACTGTACCTTCAAACTGGATATCTATATCCATAATTAATGAATAACAGAAGTAATCTTGCAAATTTTATCCATAAGCACATGTTAAATCTATTTATATCTACTTCCTGTCATTTAGGCGGGAAAATAGGGAGACTTAGTTGTTGACATTGAATATGGTTACTTATAGACCTATAGACCAAAGATAAATTTATAGATTTAGGAATTTTTTTTTAAATGGTTCATGACAAATAAAGATTGAGATTTAAGTGCAGTATTAAGTCTGTATCTATGTTTGATTATCACCAAAGACAAGAAAGGTTAATATTTACATGAAATCTATGGCAAAATGTTTATGAAAAATTTCTTTATATTAAAATCTAAGATAGAAACTGGTTCAAATAATGAAACAATATTTGCAATTGTTCTTGTTAATTTTATATCTTCTTATGACAGGAATCCTTTCACATACAACAACTTTCTTTCTAGAAACTAGAAAGTTTTTTAAATTGAACATTTTTGTTCTGTTTTGAAAGATATTTTATTTTTATTGATTTTGGATTTTATAAAAGATTTAAATTCTTTAAACTCAGATGAATATTTTATTATGAATCATAATCTATTTCATGTATTTATTTAAAAAAAATATTAAAATATACAAACTGTTTTTTGATTTACATCTTTTTTACCAATAATTTTCTGACTCAATGTCTACATAACACAGTACCACAGTATTAAAACAAAACAAGAGACATGAAAACTACAGTAACTAGAAATAGAGCTAAGCAATGCGACCCGACGCGACACAACTGATTGTATGAAATATTTCACCAAGCTGTCCACACGCGTACCCTGGTGCTATCCAAAAATCCTGGGGAGAACACTGCGGTTTAAAAAATGTCATGAGGAAATCGATTGAAGGAGGAAAACAAATCTAGACCTGATGACCATTTTTTGGAGCATGCAACTGGAAACACATCAATTATTTTTTATCTAAGGCAACAATAACTTTTGAACCATAAATCTAACTTATACTTCACTTGATTTGATAATGCCCCATGAGATGATTAAGATCTCAAATGATTTTGTGGTCAATAGGTCAAAGGTCCAGGTTACAGAAGCTATTCTTAGACTGAATTGGGACACAAATTTGGTTTCTGGATATCTTTTGAGGTATAGCTTATATGACTGTCCATCTTAAAGGTATTCAAACGTTGTACAATAACTCAACTTTGCTTTGATACCCCATACTATTTCCTGAAATTTTATCATAGGGCTTGATCAAAGAAAGCTTTTTAATTTTCATGATTTTCATTTTTGTCATCCCAGAGTTCCTTGTATGGAAGTTATTTATAAAAAATTGAAAAACAAATTACATATTGTGCACTTACTCCAGAATGCTTGGATTGATTTTGAAAGTTTTCTGGTTTTTCGTTCCAGAACTTTCAGTTTGAAGTTGATAATAAGTAAATTTTCATATGTTGAAGCATAAATTGCATATGCATGGATTAAATTACTGGGAACATTACACAATTATTAGATTTGATGAAATAAGATACCTTTTGATTTTGAAAATTGTTTAATTTGTCATTCAAGAGTTAACGGACTAAACCCATCGAATGAAGGCAATTTTTTACAATTCACTTGGATCAGATTACTTAAGACGTTACTGAATCCACTGTATTCAGTATCTATGTGTCAATATTGGCAAGAGTTTTCTTTTTCTTGTCAATTGCTTTCAGCATTGCTGAGATTTCCTCCGTCTCGGTGTTGAAAGGCAAATTGCCAATGGGTCCTCCAGTTTGTTGAAAAATTTCGTCATCGCTGCTTATTTCCCCTGCTCTTATAAATTACAATCGGCTGATGTCTGTTATTTTTGTTAGTCACTACACCAATGTTAGGTTTCGAGTTGTGTACTCTGTGTTGTTATAAGGTTAGGGCACTTCTAAAGAAAATTCTTCTGTACAGTTTAATATTCTATTCAAACAATAACATAACATAATTATGAATTCAATTTAGTTAAGCTACGTCATACAGTTATTGCAGCTAGCACATATAGTTACACTTTCTGTTCCCGCAATTCTCAACAACACTGTTGTGGCGATGATGATGTAGGCTTCCTTTTTATTTAAAAAATTAACTGGTTTGTCATTCCAGAGTTATAGGCCTTTTTAACAATCTTATTTAAGGCAATATTCAGAGATCTCATAAAGGTCAAGCACAGGCCACAAATGCATGATTTTTTGTCTGGATCCACCATTTCATTTTACTATGTGTCCTGAGGCCTAATGAAAAATCTTTTTCTGGTATCCAGACCCATCCTAATTTTTATACGACCGCAAACAAATTTTTGTGGTCGTATATTGGTATGACGTTGGCGTCGTCGTCGTCCGGCATCGTCGTCCGAAGACACATTAGTTTTCGCACTCTAACTTTAGTTTAAGTGAATGGATCTCAATGAAATTTTACCATAAGGTTCAAAACCACAAAAGGAAGGTGGGGATTGATTTTGGGGGTTATGGTACCAACAGTAAAGGAATTAGGGGCCAAAAAGGGGCCAAAAATAAGCATTTTTGTAACTTCCAGACATAACTTGTGGGTAAGTGTATGGATCTATCTGACATTGTTCCACAAGGTTCCATATCACAAAGAGAATGCTGGGATTGATTTTGGGGGTAATTGCCTCAAAATTTTAGGAATTAGGGGCCAAAAAGGGGCAAAAAGCAAGCATTTTTCTAGTTTTCACGACAATAACTTGTGTGTAAGTCTATGGATCTCTCTGACATTGTATCAGAAGGTTCCATATCAGAAAGGGAATGCTGGGATTGATTTTGGGGGTAATTGCCTCAAAAATTTAGGAATTAGGGGGCAAAAAACAAGCATTTTTCTAGTTTCATGACAATAACTTGTGTGTAAGTGTATGGATCTTTATGAAATTGTACTACAAGGTTCCATACCACAAAGGGAAGACTGGGATTGATTTTGGGGGTAATTGCCTCAAAACATTTAGGAATTAGGGGCCCAAAAGGGGCAAAAAAACCAAGCATTTTTCTAGTTTCAGGACAATAACTTGTGTGTAAGTGTATGGATCTTTATGAAATTGTACTGCAAGGTTCCATATCACAAAGGGAAAGCTGGAATTGAGTTTGGGGGGTAATTGCCCAAAAAGTTTAGAATTAAGGGGTCAACAAGGGGCCAAAAATAAGCATTTTTCTAGTTTCAAGACAATAACTTGTGTTCAAGTGTATGGATCTCTCTGAAATTGTACTGCAAGGTACCATACCACAAAGGGAAGGCTTGGATTGATTTTTGGGGTAATTCCCTCAAAATTTTAGTAATTAGGGGCCATAAAAGGGCCAAAAAACAAGCATTTTTCTAGTTTCCAGACAATAACTTGTGTGTAAGTGTATGGATCTTTATGAAATTGTACTGCAAGGTTCCATATCACAAAGGGAAAGCTGGCTTTGAGTTTGGGGGTAATTGCCCTAAACGTTTAGGAATTTGGGGTCAAAAAGGGGTAAAAAAATAAGCATTTTTCTAGTTTCCAGACAATAACTTGTGTTCAAGTGTATGGATCTCTCTGAAATTGAACTGCAAGGTACCATACCTCAAAGGGAAGGCTGGGATTGAGTTTGGGGGTGATGAATCATAAGGGGGTTCAAAAAATTTGGGGGGGGGATTTTTTTTTCCTTTTTTTTTCTTTAAAATTTTCCTTTTTAAATTGGTTATTTCTGATTTATATATAAAAGCAAATAATAATGATATGGTTTGAATAGGTAAATTAAAATTTTTTAAGTTCTTAGACCACTTTCATTCTGTGTCAGAAACCTATGCTGTGTCAAATATTTAATTACAATCCAAATTCAGTGCTGTATCAAGCTTGAATGTTGTGTCCATACTTGCCCCAACTGTTCAGTGTTCGACCTCTGCGGTCGTATCAAGCTGCGCCCCAGCGGAGCATTTTATTTTTATGGCGTTGATTAAAAAAACAAACAGATTTGCGGCATTGCCGTCACATTTTTTTGTTAATAGAATTGCCAGAAGTTCATATTGATAAAGATAATGAAACTGCATGGCAGTGGTTGCAAGTTCTGGTTTTGCTATAAAAAAATTTTGTTTAAGTGATTACACTAACAGAGTCTTATCATCATTTAGATTATCCAGAAGCTGTCAAAACATATTAGAAAACTCTCTTTTTATCAATACTTTAACATAATTTTATTGCTTTGAATATAAATGATAAATCATAAGGGAATAGAAAATAAATAATGTATGCATTGTAATTGATGCTGTAGCTCTTTACGAGTTTTAAAATATGCCAATATCACAAATAATATCATGCAAAAGATGTGTTTGTCACTAACCAGAAATAGAATATACATGTTATAAGAATGTGTATTAAAAATTGCAAACAAATACGGTGATAGTGTTTTTGTTAGATTTTTTTCTGCTTATGTATCGATCTGATGAGTTTAGGCCTCTTCAACTGATTTTTTTGCGGTCGTATATTGGTATGACATTGGCGTCGTCATCGTCCAGCGTCGTCGTCCGAAGACACATTGGTTTTCGCACTCTAACTTTAGTTTAAGTGAATGGATCTCTATGAATTTTTACCATAAGGTTCAATACCACAAAAGGAAGGTTGGGATTGATTTTTGGTGTTATGGTACCAACAGTTAAGGAATTAGGGGCCAAAAATAAGCATTTTTGTAACTTCCAGACATAACTTGTGTGTTAGTGTATGGATCTCTCTGACATTGTACCACAAGGTTCCATATCACAAAGGGAATGCTGGGATTGATTTTGGGGGTAATTGCCTCCAAATTTTAGGATTAGGGGCAAAAAAGTGGAAAAAAACAAGCATTTTTCTAGTTTCATGACAATAACTTGTGTGTAAGTGTATGGATCTTTATGAAATTGTACTACAAGGTTCCATATCACAAAGGGAAAGCTGGGATTGATTTTGGGAGTAATTGCCTCAAAATTTTAGGAATTAGGGGCAAAAAAGGGGCAAAAAAACAAGCATTTTTCTAGTTTCAAGTGTACAGATCTTTCTGAAATTGTACTGCACGGTACCATACCACAAAGGGAAGGCTGGGATTGAGTTTGGGGGTGATGAATCATAAGGGGGTTCAAAAAATTTGAGGGGGATTTTTTTTTCTTTAAAATTTTCCATTTTAAATTGGTTATTTCTGATTTATATATAAAAGCAAATAATAATGATATGGTTTGAATAGGTTAATTAAAATTTTTAAGTTCTTAGACCACATTCATTCTGTGTCAGAAACCTATGCTGTGTCAAATATTTAATCACAATCCAAATTTAGTGCTGTATCAAGCTTGAATGTTGTGTCCATACTTGCCCCAACTGTTCAGGGTTCAACCTCTGCGGTTGTATCAAGCTGCGCCCAGCCATTTTATTATAGTTTGTTCTTATGTTGTACTGTTACACCACTGTCCTTAAATAAGGGGAGGGTTTGGTGCCAGCAAACATGTTCAACCCTGCCCCATTTTTGTATGTGCCTGTAACTCAGTGGTTGTCGTGTGTTACTGTATATCATATTTGTTTATCTTTTATTGTTTTGTACATAGATCAGGCTGTCACTTTTCTTACTAGAATTATTTTAATTTGTCATTACGGGGCCTTTTAATAGGTTACTGTGCGGTATGGGTTTTTCTCATTGTTGAATACCGTTTGGTGACCTATAGTTGTCGATTTCTACGTCATTCTGTCTCTGGTGAAGTGTTGTCTCATTGGCAATCATACCTCATCTTATTTGTATATTGATCACATGGCTGGCTTTATCTTAGGGAATAGAAAATTTGTTTACCTTTGCAAGTTAAACCTTATTACCAGGAAATACCAGCAATAAAGTTGTCAAATAAGACGATTAATATGCAAATTTTAGTTATTAATTAGTTAATGTTGCATTCAGCTCAACTGTTTTAAGACTTTTTAACACCATAAGTAGAATTTACTTCCTGCACTATAATTTGTTAACATCTGTTTTTAATAACAGTAATGATTGAAAGTTTACCTTTGGTATATTTTAGGTCAACTATCTTGGGAGAAGTACAGTCTAGCTCTTCAACAAATTTACCTACATCAAAATCTATTTTAGCTCTAGGTAAGTTTTATTATCTTTTTTGTCTTGAATTTGATAAATAAAAATTCCTAGATTTGTATTGTAATAGTTTTAGTAAAGGTTTTACTTCAGCAACAGTAGCATGAGCAAAACCTGTTTTGAATGCAAACTCACAAGGACTATTTTGACATATATTTCCCCCCTTCCAAGGGGATCCGTACAAGTTTGCTGCAATATAGAGCTGGTGTGAGAAACAAATGAAAATTCTTAATCAAGCATACATGTATGATCATTTCCAGCTTTATACTTTAATTGGTTTTCAAGATCATCCAAAATAAAAAGACTGTATTTAATACAAGATGTACATTTAATTACCCAAAGAAAAATTACAAAAAGTCAACTAGGAATAAGCCAGGAGAATAATTTTTTTTTGAATAGTTACTATGAATCCACAGATAGTGGACTGTCATATTTTAGTCAATTGTTGATTTTTCTTTTTTTCACTAGAATGTAATTATTATTTGGAAAAAAGCCTTTAAGTTTGATACATGTACATGTTGTCTGCTCTATGGTCGGGTTGTTGTCTCTTTTACACATTCCCCATTTCCATTCTCAATTTTACATCTACCTTTATTTTTGTCTTACCGTGATAAAGTCAATGATATTAGGTATGCAGTTGTATTTGCATTGGCACATCTCATTTCCATGGCGATTACTTGGCCCCACCCTCTCATTCATGGTCTATTGTCTTAACTTTTGCATGGTTTCATGTTTAAGTTTGTGATTATGTCAGTTATAGGGTAACAACTAATGTTACTGTGAAAGTTTTATTTGTGGGGTACCAATTTTCGTTGTTTTCGTGGATGGCTTTATCCATGAATTCAAGTGTCCAACGAAATATACCTGTTATCAAAATCGAGACGTGGAAAGATCCCCATGAAGGTTTGACTACATGAATACGGGCATTTGATCTAGAGAATACATCGAATATCGGCAAACACAATGTAAACTATACAACTGCAGTCAGGATTTTACCCATTTAATCTTTAAAAAAAAACTAAACTGTACGACTTTCAACCTTTTTGTCGAGCCTTCGACTTTAGTCGAAAAAGCGAGACATAGCGATCCTACATTCCGTCGGTGTCGTCGGCGGCGGCGGCGTCCACAAATATTCACTCTGTGGTTAAAGTTTTTGAAATTTTAATAACTTTCTTAAACTATCCTGGATTTCTACCAAACTTGGACAGAAGCTTGTTTATGATCATAAGATAGTATCCAGAAGTAAATTTGTTAAAAAAAAAATTCCATTTTTTCCGTATTTTACTTATAAATGGACTTAGTTTTTCTGCCAGGAAACAATACATTCACTCTGTGGTTAAAGTTTTTAAAATTTTAATAACTTTCTTAAACTATCCTGGATTTGTACCTAACTTGGACAGAAGCTTGTTTATGATTATAAGATAGTATCCAGAAGTAAATTTGTTAAAAAAAAAATTTCTTTTTTTCTGTATTTTACTTATAAATGGACTTAGTTTTTCTTCCAGGAAACAATACATTCACTCTGTGGTTAAAGTTTTTAAAATTTTAATAACTTTCTTAAACTATCCTGGATTTGTACCAAATTTTGGACAGAAGCTTGTTTATGATCAAAAGCTAGTATCTAGAAGGAAATTTTGTTAAAATTTGTACCTGTTTATCCGTATTTTACTTATAAATGGACTTAGTTTTTCTTCCAGTTAACATTAAATACAGTCTGCAGTTAAAGTTTTTAAAACATTTATTAGATTCATAAACTATCCTGGATGTATACCAAACTTTGACAGAAGCTTCTTTCAATCAAAAGATAGTATCTAAAGGAATATTTTTATTGATTTTTTTCCTCATTTTTGTTGAGCCTGCAATTAACAGCAAAAGTAGGCGAGACACTGGGTTCCGTGGAACCCTTACGAATTTTTATTCTCAGGTGTTGATATGCTTTGATGAAGTGTTCATTTTATCTCCTCATAATTCTCATACAGAAAAAAATAATTTCATTTTGGGGTTGCCTTTCATAACTTGGAATTAATTCTACAATTCAAAGTATTTCTATAGTATTTGTTTATGTAACTGTTTTCTTTAAGTAACATGTTTTTCACCCAATTAACATGTACACCTTTGATGATCTTTAAAATATGTTGATCATTCAATCTTTGGTTGGTTTTTCCTTCAATCTTCAATCCAGACAATTTGTAAGCATAGATGACTCAGCTTATTTCTGAAAGCAATTATTTTATTTCAAATTTGTTGAATGTTATCAGTTATGGAGACGAACAAGTAAGTAAAAAATGAACACCTTATTTTGCAATGTCCACAAATCATTATAAAACAACATATGATTAGTATAAAGAATCTTCGTTTCTAATGGCTTCAAATTCTTCACTTGATTTTTTTTTCTTCAGAAAACTAAAATCCACGAATTTAAGAACCCACGAACATGTAACTTTTACTAAAACCACGAAAATTGATATTCAAATAAAAGTACTTTCACAGTAAGTGAATGATATTAGCATTTCACACTAATTTTCATGGAGATTAAATGGTCCACCCTCTTATGACGGTTTATTGACTTTGAAACTTTTGCATGGTTTATATGTACATGTAAAAGTTTAGGTCAGTTTAAAGAAAACCACTTATGACAAGTCAATGGTATTTGGTATGCAGTTGCATTGGTGTTTACTGTTTTCACTGAGGTTATTTGGCCCTGCGCCTTTTGTCATGGTATATTGACTTTGAATGTTCTGCATAGTTTACATGTGAATGTAGTCATTTAAATTTCAACACTTGCAATATGCTATCAAAATAACATAAAGGCAAGACATGTGTCGACAGATTATCTACATTTATCAATATACAAAATGTACATACAACAAAAATTTTTTGAATGATTTGTTTAGTTGGGATATTATATTTGTTGTTTGTTTTTTAATGATTTGTTTAGTGGAGTAATTATTTTTGTTTATTTGTTTTAGGAGATACAGAATGTGGTAAGACCACATTAGTAGCCAAATTACAGGCTACTGAGGAGCCAAAGAAAGGCACTGGTTTAGAATATTATTATATAGATGTCAAAGATGAATATAGAGATGGTGCGTATTTTTAGCTCACCTGGCCCAAAGGGCCAAGTGAGCTTTTCTCATCACTTGGCGTCCGTCGTCCGTAAACTTTTACAAAAATCTTCTCCTCTGAAACTACTGGGCCAAATTTGACCAAACTTGTCAACAATCATCAATAGGGTATCTAGTTTAAAAAATGTGTCCGGTGACCCGGCCAACTAACCAAGATGGCCGCCATGGCTAAAAATAGAACATAGGGGTAAAATGTAGATTTTGGCTTATATCTCTGAAACCAAAGCATTAAGAGCAAATCTGACATGGGGTAAAATTGTTTATCAGGTCAAGATCTATCTGCTCTAAAATTTTCAGATGAATCTGAAAACCCGTTGTTGGGTTGCTGCCCCTGAATTCGTAATTTTAAGGAAATTTTGCCGTTTTTGGTTATTGTCTTGAATATTATTATAGAAAGAGATAAACTGTAAACAGCAATAATGTTCAGCAAAGTAAGATCTACAAATAAGTCAACATGACCAAAATGGTCAGTTGACCCCTTAAGGAGTTATTGCCCTTTATAGTCAATTTTTTATAATTTTCATAAATTTTTGTAAATTATTACAAAATATTTTCCACTGTAACTACTGGGCCAAGATCATTATAGATAGAGATAATTGTAAGCAGCAAGAATGTTCAGTAAAGTAAGATCTACAAACACATCACCATCACCAAAACACAATTTTGTCATGAATCCATCTGTGTCCTTTGTTTAATATGCACATAGACCAAGGTGAGCGACACAGGCTCTTTAGAGCCTCTAGTTTAAAAGGGCATTAGCTACGAGACATAAAAAAAATTAAAATATATTTTTTTGTTAATGAAAGTGAAATAGTGAAATAATGATTAACTTTTAGCAGCCAGTTTGGTTAAATTTTGTCAAAATAACCTAAAAAACATTGCTGATGAACTATTCACTTAGCTATTAAAAGGTGAAGAATGTCGACATTGAAAGTGAAACAAGGGTAAACCATTTGGTTGACTGATTTGATTTACAAAAACTCATTCTTATACAGGTAAAAGCGAAAGTGAAATCTAACAGATCTAGAAAAACCCAATTGCACATGTTCACGATCTATTTTTTCGGGTTATATGACCGTCAGCAGTCTTCAGAGGTCATCGCGATGGTTAATTAGATGACGTCTAGACTAAAATACACTCGAAATCCTGATACATATTATTGAGTCCATGCATCTTAAATTGTTTATTTTAGACTTTTTATGATATGGATACAGTTCTAGTTTTAGTACAAAAATGTATGATTCACATATGAGAATTTGAGTCAAATTGGTAAACATGAATTTGACAGCTAATGCCCCTTTAAACATTGTGAGAAACATTTAAATGTAGTGTCAGCTGTTACATTGAGTCTTAGTTTCAGTTTTATAATTCTAGAAATAGTTTTTGGGATAAACAATAGAATCTTTTTTTTTTCAAAGTAATTTGAATTGATTAACTATTGTGAAAAGTTGCTCTTCTTGATTGATACTAGTAATGATGGTTCTATTCACTATTGTACTCAGTTTAAAAAAAAAACAATATCTCAGTTTAAAAACAGGAAAAAAGAAGTGTTAGTTTCATAGAGATAAAAGATGAATATGATGATGTAATGTCATAAGTTTATAAAGACAGACTAAAAGGTACAGTGCCAAGAATAAAATGACACAAAAGTATTGCAAGATCAGATTAATAATGAATACTACTGTTTAATTTATATTTATTATATGAATGATCATTAATTTTACCCTTGGTGTGTATTGGTTATTTTCTGGTCTTCTGGAGATTTTTATACGACCGCAAAAAAAATTTTGTGGTCGTATATTGGTATGACGTTGGCGTCGTCCGGCGTCGTCTGGCGTCGTCCGAAGACACATTGGTTTTCGCACTCTAACTTTAGTTTAAGTGAATGGATCTTTATGAAATTTTACCACAAGGTTCAATACCACAAAAGGAAGGTTGGGATTGATTTTGGGGGTTATGGTAATAACAGTAAAGGAATTAGGGGCCAAAAAGGGGCCAAAAATAAGCATTTTTGTAACTTCCAGACATAACTTGTGTGTTAGTGTATGGATCTCTCTGACATTGTACCACAAGGTTCCATATCACTAAAGGAATGCTGGGATTGATTTTGGGGGTAATTGCCTCCAAATTTTAGGAATTAGGGGCCAAAAAAGGGGCAAAAAACAAGCATTTTTCTAGTTTCATGACAATAACTTGTGTGTAAGTGTATGGATCTTTCTGAAATTGTACTACAAGGTTCCATATCACAAAGGGAAAGCTGGGTTTGAGTTTGGGGGTAATTGCCCTAAACGTTTAGGAATTTGGGGCCAAAAAGGGGCCAAAAAACACATTTTTTTCTAGTTTCCAGACAATAACTTGTGTTCAAGTGTATGGATCTCTCTGAAATTGTACTGCAAGGTACCATACCACAAAGGGAAGGCTGGGATTGAGTTTGGGGGTGATGAATCATAATGGGGGTTCAAAAAATTTGGGGGGGGGATTTATTTTTTTTTCCTTTTTTTTCTTTTTTTCCTTTTTGTTTCTTTTAAAATTTTCCATTTTAAGTTGGTTATTTCTGATTTATATTTAAAATCAAATAATAATGATATGGTAGGAGATACACACCAATCAATAGCAAGAAATTTTCAATTGCACAGTATTGCACAATAGCAAGAAATCTTCAATTGCACAGTATTGCGCAATAGCAAGAAATCTTCAATTGCACAGTATTGCGCAATAGCAAGAAATATCCAATAGCACAATATTGCGCAATAGCAAGAAATTGTCAATTGTACAGTATTGCGCAATAGCAAGAAATATTTAATAGCACAGGATTGTGCAAAAGAAGATACTTCCTATAAATTGCTTATTTCTTGACCAATTTCAATGGGGTTTTATTCTTGATTCCATGGGGTTCTTTAATATGCTGAATCTAACCGTGTATTTAGTTTTTGGATTTTGGGCCCCGTTTTTAAATTGGTCCACATTGAGGTCCAAAGGGTCCAAAATTAAACTTTGTTTGATTTCATCAAAAATTGAATTATTGGGATTCTTTGATATGCCGAATCTAACTGTGTATTTAGATTCTTAAATTTTGGTTCCGTTTTCAAATTGGTCTACATTAAGGTCCAAAGGGTCCAAAATTAAACTTAGTTTGATTTTAACAAAAATTGAATTCTTAGGGTTCTTTGATATGCTGAATCTAAACATGTATTTAGATTTTTGATTATGGGCCCAGTTTTCAAGTTGGTCCAAATCGGGGTCCAAAATTAAACTTTGTTTGATTTCAACAAAAATTGAATATATGGGGTTCTTTGATATGCTGAATCTAACCATGTATTTAGATTTTTGATTTTTGGGCCCCGTTATCAACTTTGTCCACATTGAGGTCAAAAGGGTCCAAAATTAAACTTTGTTTGATTTCATCAAAAATTGAATTATTGGGGTTCTTTGATATGCCGAATCTAACCGTGTATTTAGATTCTTAATTTTTGGTTCCGTTTTCAAATTGGTCTACATTAAGGTCCAAAGGGTCCAAAATTAAACTTAGTTTGATTTTAACAAAAATTGAATTCTTAGGGTTCTTTGATATGCTGAATCTAAACATGTATTTAGATTTTTGATTATGGGCCCAGTTTTCAAGTTGGTCCAAATCGGGGTCCAAAATTAAACTTTGTTTGATTTCAACAAAAATTGAATATATGGGGTTCTTTGATATGCTGAATCTAACCATGTATTAGATTTTTGATTTTTGGGCCCCGTTATCAACTTTGTCCACATTGAGGTCAAAAGGGTCCAAAATTAAACTTTGTTTGATTTCATCAAAAATTGAATTATTGGGGTTCTTTGATATGCCGAATCTAACCGTTTATTTAGATTCTTAATTTTGGTTCCGTTTTCAAATTGGTCTACATTAAGGTCCAAAGGGTCCAAAATTAAACTTAGTTTGATTTTAACAAAAATTGAATTCTTAGGGTTCTTTGATATGCTGAATCTAAACATGTATTTAGATTTTTGATTATGGGCCCAGTTTTCAAGTTGGTCCAAATCGGGGTCCAAAATTAAACTTTGTTTGATTTCAACAAAAATTGAATATATGGGGTTCTTTGATATGCTGAATCTAACCATGTATTTAGATTTTTGATTTTTGGGCCCCGTTATCAACTTTGTCCACATTGAGGTCAAAAGGGTCCAAAATTAAACTTTGTTTGATTTCATCAAAAATTGAATTATTCGGGTTCTTTGATATGCCGAATCTAACCGTGTATTTAGATTCTTAATTTTTGGTTCCGTTTTCAAATTGGTCTACATTAAGGTCCAAAGGGTCCAAAATTAAACTTAGTTTGATTTTAACAAAAATTGAATTCTTAGGGTTCTTTGATATGCTGAATCTAAACATGTATTTAGATTTTTGATTATGGGCCCAGTTTTCAAGTTGGTCCAAATCGGGGTCCAAAATTAAACTTTGTTTGATTTCAACAAAAATTGAATATATGGGGTTCTTTGATATGCTGAATCTAACCATGTATTTAGATTTTTGATTTTTGGGCCCCGTTATCAACTTTGTCCACATTGAGGTCAAAAGGGTCCAAAATTAAACTTTGTTTGATTTCATCAAAAATTGAATTCTTGGGGTTCTTTGATATGCTGAATCTAACCATGTATTTAGATTTTGGATATTGGACCATAATAGGTGAATGTCCAATTTAAAATTTTTAAGTTCTTAGACCACATTCAATCTGTGTTAGAAACCTATGCTGTGTCAAATATTTAATCACAATCCAAATCCAAAGCTGTATCAAGCTTGAATGTTGTGTCCATACTTCCCCCAACTGTTCAGGGTTCGACCTCTGCGGTCGTATCAAGCTGCGCCCTGCGGAGCATTTTATTTTTATTTAATATGGAAAACTCTTGTTGGAAATATGGGATTTTTTCAACCTTGTCAAAAATAAAACTGTAACATATTCAGGATTAGAATTTTATGACAGCTAAATAATGTATTAAAAAATGAGGAATAATTGTGTAGAGAAACTGCATTCCTCATTAAAAGACTTTTGCCAAGCAATGACCCATAAATGATTGCACAGAAAACACTCAATATTTTGCTATTTGAAATATGAACACCATTGAAAACTTGGGGTTAAGTACATATTTGGCTATTTCAACACCATAGAAAACTGAAGGTGAAGTACAAGTTATATGAAAAAATCTTTTTTTTATGTTTCAGATCAAACTAGATTAGGAGTATGGGTATTAGATGGAGATACAACACACACTAGTTTACTTAAATATTGTATAACTGAAGAGAACTTTGAACATAGTCTAGTCGTATTAATGGCATCCATGTCACAACCTTGGTCAATATTAGAATCATTAGATAAATGGGCACATGTCTTACAACACCATATAGATAGGATGAAGCTTCCACCCGAAGATAGGAGAGAATATGAAGAAAGTTGTAAGTACTGCTTTCCCCTTCTACTGTGCCTTGTTCTGTATACACATTATGTATCAGTACAAATTACTCATGATGATGATTTTTCACAGTGAGTGCTGTTGATTGTGGATGTATAACTGTGAATTCATTTATTTTCGTGGGTACTAATTTCGTGGATTGAGGAACACTTGCATTTTTCGTGGATATTTGATTTCATGGTGTTGCCTAAAACTGCATACATTTCTATAGAACATTTATTTTGTGCTATTCCTGATCCACAAAAATCCACAAAATTTAGTGTCCAACTTTTACTGTTCAAGAGTTATACCCCTTTACAAATGGAAAAATTGCTTAATTTTTCGTTTCCGTTCTCTTACTTATGTTTGCCTCAACCAAATGTTAAGAAAATTATTTATACAATGACTGTGTCTAGAAATTTAGACTATGAATGATGTACAAAGTGCAACATTTGTATAAAAACATGAGTGGAATAAAAAAAAATTGACCTTAGCACGAAATTTTGCGATTATTTACACTGTTTGTTGAATACAAAAAGTCGACCAACATACATGTATAGCAAGATTTACACAAAAACTGTTCTTTTACATTGACAAACATCAAAAACCCTCTGTCCCCAGGTACTCAATAAAGTCATTAAACAACTATTTTTGCTTAAGTACATATTTTGCATTATTAAAATTATTAACCATCAACTCTTAGTTTTTTCAATAAAGTTTGAGTTTTCATTTTACTCTGTACTTATAATACATGTGTTTCATACCAATGCATATGCTTCATTATATGGACACTATAAACCATAGCTTAGGCAGCAAAAGAAATTTGATGTAGGTGGTCTAAAAGAGAGCATTTCTCCACATTTTTGCTATTTACTGAAAAGCAACTAGAACAGTGGTTGCCAATCAGAAATAATTATGTGGATGTATAATTTAGAATTTGAAAAAAGTATGCATAATTCTTTATATATATATGGTATAAGCTTATTATTACCCTTGCATATGATCATGAAGAACATATTACCCAAGGATTTCAGAGGAAATAAAGATTCAACAATCTGATGAAAATCTAACTAATTTTAGTTGGCCTTATGTACATTTGTATCTTATAAATTTATTTACAAAGTTACAAGGTATTGATTTTTTTAAAAGCTTGCAATAATTAAATGGATCAAAACTAATTGCATTCAAAATCTATAGTATACAATGTAATTTATGTGTAAAACTTCTATTTAAACAAGTTCTGAAAACTCATCTAAAATGTGTTACAAAATACAATGTATATCATGCTACAAAGAAAAGAAACTGACAAAAATCTTTAATTTATCATTTTGATAAATTTGATGACTCACAACACCTGCACTGTATTGTATTCAATAGTACACTATCATTTGATTAAAATCGATAGTAGGAGAGACAAGTAAAACACAGTTCATTATTACACACTGTATAACTATGTGGGACCTGGAATCAATCTGGTTGTAATGTACCATCTGTGGCCTTGAAATTGATTACATATTTGTTAGGATCTTAACTGGAAAATATTGTTATGCTATATTTAGAAATTAAATTAGGTCAGTAAGTTTTGTCAATATGTTTGTTGTATGTTGTGTTAAAATCCGTTTCTAGAATTATTAGATTCATGATAGTTCAAATACAAACTTAAACAGATTGTGCAGCTACTTTAATATTTTGATTTTAAAAAAGTAACCTTTACATTTAAAAGAATAGTAGATAAAATGACTTTATGTGTGATACAGCTGTTGAGAAAAAAAAACTTTAATATCCAGCTGAGCATTCTTCTGTGTGACTTCGAGTTAAAGTATTTGTTTGATTATTATGATATAGATACATGTAGGTGTCTTTTAAAACAGTTAAAAAAAGAATTTCTGAAACTTTTATGACTCCTATCTTTACATATTCTTATCAAATTCTGTGATTAATAAATCATAGTATTTGATAAGCATACATAAATATATCTATACATTCTAAATATGGACAATTTACCAAACAAATTTTTCCAAACTTAATCTTTATAGAATTATTTAAAAATAAGATATCAGTTTAAGATTTAAATCATTTGAATTATATTTTATAGTGGTACGATACTTCCAAGAATATGTAGAACCTGTAGAGGGACAGACAACACAGTCTGCTCCACGTAGAGATCACAATCCTCTACATCCACCAGCGGTACACAGCGATAGTGACAAAGTTCAGCTACCGTTAGGTGAAAATACACTTACACACAACCTAGGTATTCCAATTGTAGTAGTTATAACACAGGTAAGATATAGCTATATGTGGATTTAATAAAATTGAGAATGGAAATGGGGAATGTGTCAAAGAGACAACAACCCGACCATAGAACAGACAACAGCAGAAGGTCACCAACAGGTCTTCAATGCAGCGAGAAATTCCCGCACCCGGAGATCTATTTTCCTGACTCTTACCTTTGCAAACTTGTGAAGACTGGTGGATTTTTTATGCCCCACCTACATTAGTAGGGGGGCATTATGTTTTTTGGTCTGTGCATCCGTTCCTCCGTCCGTTCGTCCGTCTGTCCCGCTTCATGTTAAAGTTTTTGGTCAAGGTAGTTTTTGATGAAGTTAAAGTCCAATCAACTTGAAACTTGGTACACATGTTCCCTATGATATGATCTTTCTAATTTTAATGCCAAATTAGAGTTTTGACCCCAATTTCACAGTCCACTGAACATAGAAAATGATAATGTGAGTGGGGCATCCGTGTACTATGTACACATTCTTGTTTTTTAATAAACTTTTTTTCGCCTGTTTTCAGTTTTAAATTGTTGGAACTTCAATGATGACATTTTATTGTCATCTTCTGATTTTTCTGTTTAAATTTTGACATGAAGGAAGTGACCACAATTTTTTTCATGCAGATGATTGAATCAAAACATCAAAAGTTTACCTAAATTTCGTTTAAAATCATTGTCTTAAATCACTATCTACTGCAATAGTTAACCACACTTGCCACTTGAAATTTAAAATATCTGCTTAAACAAATGGAGAAAATATTTGATCACATCCATGTTGGAATCTATATTGAAGCACATACCATAACAATAAAGATACAAAAAACAAATATACATCTACTAAACCCCTGAATCCATGTTTTATGTTGGAGGTTTAACCAGTTTATAAACTGTCATATTATTGTTATTTCGTTGTATTTCATCAGATTATTGTCTGGTGGATGTCCAGGACATGTTTCTCTAACAGAGATTATTGCACACCAAAAAAGAAAAATAAGTTGGATAATAGAGTTTTCACGAATGTTTAATGGGAGATCAAGGTCATTCTTCAGGTTGAAAAAGATATCTATATCTTAGTTCTTTTCAACATTCAAAAAAGGAATCAAAGTCCTTCAGTCACCATCAAAGCATTTACCTGTTATTAAGAATGAGAATAACTGTTTGTGAATTGCTTCTTGAAACTAAAGGGAATGAATTTAATATCTTATTAATGGAGACCTGCAGATATTCGTTCACTCAATTTGATAAATGTAAATTAAGAAATTAAGGTGTACATTTATTATTGTGAATCACTGATTACTAGTAAAAATGTTAGATTAAAATAATATGATTGTGAACATTTTCTAAAGGAAAATCGCTACTGAAAGTATGAAAACAAGTTTTAGTTTTATTATTGCGAACCGGAGACTGTCGCATTTTGCACATTAATATAACCATGATAAGCATTGCAATAATTTTTGAATTTACAGTATGGTATTTTATATAATTGTTCATCAAAATCTTTTCTAAAATGATCATGCTTGCTTCATTTTGTGTGTTATTTTTCAGAGTGATGCAATCTCAAAGTTAGAAAAAGAACATGACTACAGAGAAGAGCATTTTGATTTTATTCAACAGCATGTTAGGAAATTTTGTTTAAAATGTATCCTTTATATGTGTTATACTCATGCATAATACCCTCAAATATTGAAATACCAGAAATTTGTGATTTGTTTATTTTTTTAAGAAGTTGCTATGTAGAAAAAAGGATCACCAATTTATGGTGTTCCCCTGAACAAATAAGTTTGAAAGTGTTAGTCTGTCAGAGAGAAAAAAAGAGTTACTCAAGAAATAATTCATCTTGAAGTTTTGATGGTGGTTTGTAATATTTGAGACCTCTGCAATGCATTGTTAAACTTTATGTTATTTGTAACAAATGAATATTTTGAAAAGCTTTCAATTCTTCCAATTTAAGCAACTGTGGGATCGTTAACAATAGGCAACATGCATTAACATTGTTTCCCTTAGGTCAACTAAATTTAAAGTTGAAGTTTTGAGTAGTTAGGAGCTCTCTGATATGCGAAATTATGGCCTTGACATCTGTCATCATTGTCTGTGCAGTTGTTTGCTGTTTTTGGATTGCTTCTGTATCTGAGAAATTATAGATGTTATTTGAATTTAAGATATCACAAATTCCTTAATCAGTTACTTAGATGGTGCTTCTTTGGTGTACACATCAGTGAAAGAAGAAAAGAATTGTGATTTATTATATGGATATTTAGTACATAGAATTTATGGCTTCCCATTTGATATGCCAGCATATGTTGTAGAAAAAGATAGTGTATTTGTGTAAGTTGATTTTATATTGGCTCTTTATATTAAGTAAGACATTTAAAACAAATTTATAATTTTTATTGTTCAAAATTAAAAGACGAGAACAGTAAGGAAAATATGTATGAATATTTGTCTTATTTTAGAATAATATAGAGATAAAAAGATGTATGATTACCAATGAGACAACCATCCACCAGAGATCAAAGTCGTAGATTTAAGCCACAGTACATCTTTCAATAATGAGCAAAACCCATTGTGTAAAGTAAACTATAACAGACCCTTACTATGACCCTTAATGTAACAATTAAAATTAGAAAACCAACGACTGATGTGTGTACAATGTACAATACAATAAACGAAAAACAAATATGTTATACAGCAACCAATCTTTATCTCAAATATATAGTTGGCTTTTGATGTGATTTGTGTGTCTTTTGAAATGTATTTTTGCCCTTCGACTATGACCAATAAATGCATGGTACTTTAAAAAAGTTCAAGTCACGATTTCGTTTTGTGATAAAAGCTTTAAATCCTCTAGAAAGTTTTTAGATTTTGTTTACTTAATTTTTTCACTGGGTTAATAAGTATCGATTATCAGTTTGTCTGCATATTGATATTGTAAAATATCAGCTGTGAGTCACAATATGAAACGTTTTGTCAAGTGAGCACAGCGAACAAGTTCAAAAGGCTTCTTATAGTTATAGTGTTGAGCAGCTGGTATTTTACAATATAAATATACAGATAACCAGATAAATGATTTATCGGGTTGTATTTGCATATTTTGCATGATAGAAACAAGTGTTTTCTTTGTTTCACCAACAAACAGGAAGATGAAGTTATAAGTTTGAGTCAAACTTTGATGAATGTCGGTTCATTCATTACGACATCGGTGATATGTCCGGGTCAAAGTTATTAAGGCCAGGTCAACGTATTTGACGTCACAAAGCCGTGATATGCAATTTTATTAAGAGCTGAGCTGAGTGATACAGACAGTGGATGACCCATAATACTAGATGGTAATAGCAGTCACAGCAGGGTACGGAAACATCTTTTATTACAACAGTAGCTCTCACCATAAGTAAAAACGCTGAAATGTTATTTTTATTGGTCAACTTTGTATGCATACTAATTTTGTAGTCTGCAATTATCCTAAAATGATGCTTACTTTTTACAGTCCAGCAGGCTGGGACAATGAGAAAAAAATTAGTATATTATTTGAAAATTTACACAATATGAAACCAGATGATACATATGAAGATAAAATAGCCAAACCAAAAGTAGGAAAGGTATGCAAGTCAGTTTATCCAAGAAAATATCATAAAAGTATTGTTTAAGTTAGTAACATTTTTCTTCTATATAATCACACCTTTAGCAGGCAAACTAAACAGGTCAAGTAATGAAAATTAAGAAAAGATTTGTGTGCTAGGTCATGTTTTACAAACAGCAACAACATCTAGACAATTTCTTCATTTTACAAAAAATGCTAAAAACTTTGTCAGAAATCAACTTCAGTGTATATATTGAACAGATGGAAAATATATTATTGATATTGAATAAATACAACATCACATGCAGTTTTGTGAGTTGATTACATGTTTTTATACGACCGCAAAAATTTTTGCGGTCGTATATTGGTATGACGTCGGCGTTGTCGTCCAAAGACACATTGGTTTTCGCACAATAACTTAAGTTTAAGTGAATGGATCTCTATGAAATTTTACAATAAGGTTCAATACCACAAAAGGAAGGTTGGGATTGATTTTGGGGGTTATGGTACCAACAGTTAAGGAATTAGGGGCCAAAAACAACGCTTTTGTAACTTCCAGACAATAACTTGAGTGTTAGTGTATGGATCTCTCTGACATTGTACCACAAGGTTCCATATCACAAAGGAAATGCTGAGATTGATTTTGGGGGTAATTGCCTCAAAATTTTAGGAATTAGGGGCCAAAAAAGGGTCAAAAACAAGCATTTTTTTAGTTTCATGACAATAACTTGTGTGTAAGTGTATGGATCTTTCTGAAATTGTACTACAAGGTTCCATATCACAAAGGGAAAGCTGGAATTGAGTTTGGGGGTAATTGCCCAAAACGTTTAGGAATAAGGGACCAAAAATAAGCATTTTTAGGCAGTTAAGCTGCCTTATGCTAGCACCCTAGATTTGTGTTCTTCCTAACGAATGCTGAAAAAAGTGCCATTGTTGTAATCTAGCAGGCTAATATGTTATTTATAACTAATTGGACTTTCTTTTAATTCTGGAATACAAAAAATATGACCAGAATAACCTTAAATGATCGTCGAACGACGCATAATATTTGAAGTTGCACATAGGAAATAGTGCTCAATAGAAATCCGTACGTAGTTTATCATCCCCTGTGCTTTTGGCTAAGATGGCAAAGAACAATTGTATGAAATATTTCATCGCCGAAAATCTGTAATTACAAGTCGTTTATATTTCCCAAATGGCAAAATGCGCAGGAATATTGTTCATGTACACCAAATCTCTATGATAGAGGGAATAAAGTTATATATAGTACACATGTAGTCTAAGTTGACGGTAATTTTAACTTACACGAAACGTAAGTTCGTTTGATTCTGATGATATAAAGTCCGATTAAGCGAAAGTACTCTTAATCATGATATTCTTTTAGTTTAAGAAGATTGTGATTATTTAATTGATTTCAATTAAATGTATGCACATTTAAATTCCTTTCTTTTATTAAATTATTCCGTTTATCACTGAACTTGTTGTTATTTTATGAATGAAAAACCGGAAAATTGAATTTACTTTAATTATTTTTTGAATTATTTCTGGGCCTATAAAAATTTTCATTTATGGCTCATTTTAAAGAAAACATATAAATCTTTCAAGCAGTGTAAAGCCCAAGAATGTTTGACCAATTGTTTTATTTGACCGGAGAACCTGAGATCACCCCCAGTTTTTGGTGGGGTTCGTGTTGCTTAGTCTTCAGTTTTCTATGTTGTGTCATCTGTACTATTATTTGTCTGTTTTTTATTTTTATTTTTGGCCATGGCGTTGTCAGTTTGTTTTCGATCTATGAGTTTGACTGTCCCTCTGGTATCTTTTTGTCCCTCTTTTATAATCACCTGTCATTTTATTCCAAACTTGGTATGGAGTGATATCACGGACTTGGGGTGAAGGTGGGGGTCATTTACATTTACTATGGTCAGGGCAGTCAGACCTCACCTTTGATCCCTGTAGTAGTAAACATTTGTCTGATTTGTGTCTCATAACTTTTGTACTGTAGAACCCAAACTCAGTGTTCCTTCCAGGGAAGCAAGTCCATTCATACAATTACATCAACTTGTACCACTAAAAGTCAACTGGTACCAACGTTAACTACCAACTAGAACACCTGCAATCATTGCGAACTTGTACCACTGCAGACTCGCCATTAAAAATATACATTGATATATGCGTTGCTTTAGAAAACCTTGATAAAATATTAATTAATTTGCCTTAATAATCAATTCATTAAATAAACATAAATGTACAATATACGAATGTTTAATGTTTGTTCTTTCAAATCTGAAAAAAAAATTTGAAGCAACACTGCCACAGTTTTCATAATTACGTTTGCCTTGGTTTTTGGTTAACTGCCTTCAGCGCTTACAGTGCTTTGATTCTAGTTTCCAGACAATAACTTGTGTTCAAGTGTATGGATCTCTCTGAAATTGTACTGCAAGGTACCATACCACAAAGGGAAGGCTGGGATTGAGTTTGGGGGTGATGAATCATAAGGGGGGTTCAAAAAATTTGGGGGGGGGGGGGGGGGGTTTCCTTTTCTTTTCTTTTTTTTCCTTTTTTTCTTTTTTTTTTTCTTTAAAATTTTCCATTTTAAGTTGGTTATTTCTGATTTATATATAAAAGAAAATAATAATGATATGGTTTGAATAGGTAAATTAAAATTTTTTAAGTTCTAAGATCACATTCATTCTGTGTCAGAAACCTATGCTGTGTCAAATATTTAATCACAATCCAAATTCAGAGCTGTATCAAGCTTGAATGTTGTGTCCATACTTGCCCCAACTGTTCAGGGTTCGACCTCTGCGGTCGTATCAAGCTGCGCCCAGCAGAGCATTTTATTTCATCTACTTAAAAGATAATGTTTGCTTCAAGTAAATTAATCAATGAGTGATGGATTTCTCTCAGAAGAAATTTAAAGGTTCCAGTGAATAAACTACACAGAGAACAATAGCTATTGTATTAATTGAATGGGACAATTGAACTGCCAAAAGTTTGAATACCTTGACCAAGAGGAGATGTCTTTGTGACATTGTGGAAGAGTTTCATTTGGTTCGCAATAACCATGTGGTATTGGTCGATGTTTTTGCAGAAGGGTTCCTGTTCATTAAAAACATGCTTTATAGTTTGCATACTGTAAAAAACTGGGAAGGACAATTTTCCTTGATATGAATTTGATTATCCTTTAAAAAAACATTGAAGAGCTAAAAATACAACAAATTCTTTTTTTTACAGCAAATCCAGAGAGATGCAGAAGTAGCAGTAGAAGATGAACAAGTATTCTTACTGAAACAACAAACTACATTAAATAAAACTCCAGCACCAGGCCCAGGAGGGGTTGGTATTTTAATGAACAAATTTTGCCTCAACTGCTTAAAAGAATTAAAATATTCAATCTGATTAAAAAACAGATCCTGTGCCTAAGCTTTGCTTACTTTGATCCAACACTACCCCTTCCTTCTTTCTGTTTTGATAAATTTTATATCAAGCAATGAAATTTCTGCCTTCAAATTTTTATAAGTGCTTATTACGACAAAACCTGAGGACCCTGAAAGGTTGTTAAGACAGAAAGTAGAATGGAGCATTTTCAGATCCATGTAAGCAAAACTTGGACTCAAGATCTGTATTTTAATGAGATTGCAAAATATTCATACTGTAACATTTTAACCAGTAAGTTAAGATAGCATTTATTCAGGAAACGTAATATTTTAATCAAGTTAAAGGAATAAGGAAAATCATACTCGGTTATCATTTATACATATTTTTGAAAACTATATTCTAACTTAAATGTGACATCTAGCTCAAAAGTACAAATTTAACATTTAACTCTATCTTTGATTAGATTGATTGCTTGAGAGTCGCCTGAATTTGGTGGATGAAAACTACATGATCTGTTTTGTAAGAATAATTTGATAGCTCAGTTTTGGAGTATTTATTTAAATTATCTTAAAACAAGCAAAACTGCAGCAAATTAACATTAACAAAAAATTTGCAGGAATCTCCTCAGCGGCCACCAGCAGGTACATCTACAACCACTCCGCCAAGACAACAACAGACGACACCACAGTCTACAGCATCACCTAAAAAGGTTAGTCACCATAGATATATCATGGTCAGGCACACATCACTTATGATGATTTGAATGTAACAGTATATTACAAAATGCAGAAGGTATATAAGTATTTTGTTTTGGAAAAATATTGTTATAACTTGAGACTGCTTATAATGGGGAAGGGTTAACAGTTAAATCTTCTGGTTTAACTCTTTGTTTCTTGCAATGATTTGAATGTAACAGTATATTACAAATTTGTAAATTTAAGTCATTTTTCCTTAGTTTTATATTCAATTAAATGGTGTGAAACATTTCACCTTATTGTTGTAAGATTAATATGGATTGAAAAGTTCAAATAAAATGTGGTATGACTTGTTAGCCAGTAGGCAATATTACTTACTCACAGTTTTAACATGTAGAGTGTCAGTAGACCTCAGTGAGATTGTCGGCTTTTGACTAGGAAGACCATTCAGAATCCACTATCTTCAGCATTTTGTAATTCACTGTAAGCACTTTATATTTGCAATCAAATGAAAAATATTTATGTCTGAAAATGACTAGTGTATATTTAGCTTTAGTAAGTGTTTTAATGGAGTATATTTTAAATTTTCAACCATGATTGAAAAGTGACATTTTCTTTCACAAAAAAAGAACGATTAGAAAAGATTTAAAATTTTATTTTGTAAAACCAGTTTTTTTATTTATTTATATCTAACATGCATTTTGTTTGTTTTTTGTAATAATAATTGTGAATAAACATTATACTCTAGATAGTCATCAGTTTGCAAAAAAATTTGGAACTTGGAATTTTATTTCAAAATATTCTATGGCAAAATAAAAAGAAAAATTAAAATAATAAAAACACCAGAATTAAGCAAACAATGATGGTATCTTAGTCAAGAGTTATTGTTTGTGTTTGTTATATTTTGTTACTGTTTGTTATGATTTGTTTCCATATATTTTTGTTGACATTAGTATTTTATGTTTATTTCCTGTAGCGCCTGGTAAGTCTGCGTACTAAACAACATAACGTGTCTTTACTAATTCTGTAGCCTGTATATATATATATACAGCATGTATATCACTGCTGGCATGTTATCTTGTGATAACTGTTCCACTTCTTAGTCTACATATATTATCCCATTCCCCATCTGAATAGTTGTCGAATTTAAAACCTTTTTGAAAAGATGTTAAAAATATTCACAAAATAATGTCCAACTATTAACATTTTTATTTCCTCAAGATAACAAGAGTCTGATAACTTGAACTTATAAACACACTCGTCTATATTTTTTTACTATAACTGTTCAATTTTTAACATATATAGGAAACACCACAAGGAAAATGCTGAAAATGTTGGAAATATTTTGTACAATGTCTCAATTAAGTTCAAACAAAAAATTTTAAATACATTGTACCACCTTTTTATTGCGGTCGTATATTGGTATGACGTTGGCATCGTCATCGTCGTCGTCCGAAGACACATTAGTTTTCGCACTCTAACTTTAGTTTAAGTGAATGGATCTCTATGAAATTTTACCATAAGGTTCAATACCACAAAAGGAAGGTGGGGATTGATTTTGGGGGTTATGGTTTCAACAGTTAAGGAATTAGGGGCCAAAAATAAGCATTTTTGTAACTTCCAGACATAACTTGTGTGTTAGTGTATGGATCTCTCTGACATTGCACCACAAGGTTCCATATCACAAAGGGAATGCTGGGATTGATTTTGGGGGTAATTGCCTCAAAATTTTAGGAATAAGGAGCCAAAAAGGCAAAAAACAAGCATTTTTCTAGTTTCATGACAATAACTTGTGTGTAAGTGTATGGATCTTTATGAAATTGTACTGCAAGGTTCCATATCACAAAGGGAAAGCTGGAATTGAGTTTAGGGGTAGTTGCCCAAAATGTTTAGGAATAAGGGGCCAAAAATAAGCATTTTCTAGTTTCCAGACAATAACTTGTGTTCAAGTGTATGGATCTCTCTGAAATTGTACTGCAAGGTACCATAGCACAAAGGGAAGGCTTGGATTGATTTTGGGGGTAATTCCCTCAAAATTTTAGGAATTAGGGGCCATAAAGGGGCAAAAAAACAAGCATTTTTCTAGTTTCAGGACAATAACTTGTGTGTAAGTGTATGGATCTTTATGAAACTGTACTGCAAGGTTCCATATCACAAAGGGAAAGCTGGGTTTGAGTTTGGGGGTAATTGCCCTAAACGTTTAGGAATTTGGGGCCAAAAAACAAGCATTTTTCTAGTTTCCAGACAATAACGTGTTCAAGTGTATGGATCTCTCTGAGATTGTACTGCAAGGTACCATACCACAAAGGGAAGGCTGGGATTGAGTTTGGGGGTGATGAATCATATGGGGGTTCAAAAAATTGAGGGGGGGGATTTTTTTTTCCTTTTTTTTCTTTAAAATTTTCCATTTTAAATTGGTTATTTCTGATTTATATATAAAAGCAAATAATAATGATATGGTTTGAATAGGTAAATTAAACATTTTTAAGTTCTTAGACCACATTCATTCTGTGTCAGAAACCTATGCTGTGTCAAATATTTAATTACAATCCAAATTCAGTGCTGTATCAAGCTTGAATGTTGTGTCCATACTTGCCCCAAATGTTCAGGGTTCGACCTCTGCGGTCGTATCAAGCTGCACCCCAGCTGAGCATTTTATTAACTTCAAATTTAATCAATAGATAACTTCTAAAGCATCTTGCAACTGGCCTAAGATAAATATCATTGTTTTCTACCGCAAATAAGCTGTTGAACAGTTGATGTAATGCTACAAGATAACAAACAATTCAAAAAAGAAATTTGAAATAGCTCAAGGTGTCTTTTATATACAATTATTTGATATATATCTTGATTTGTAACTTTATATCTTTATACCATACCACAAAATGCCTTTAATCCTTTTAAAAATAGAATTTCACTCTTTCTTATCATACATGAGTATGTTGCAACCTGAAAAAATGAAGTAATAACTGTCCATTTATTTACAATACAAATAGTGTTTTGTGTCACATTTTGTATTGAAAAACCTTAAAATTTGAAAATTATTTCTTATGAAACTTTTTGAATGGTTTGCCACTCTGCATCTTCTCTTAAGAATGTACATACATAGACAACTCCTCTTGCTCAGTTGCTGTTAATATACACTTTTTAGGTAGAAATTGTAGAATGCTATTGTCTACAGTATAGTTGTTAGAATTAAGGCAGTAATATTTATAAAAGAAAATACACATGTTTGCATCACTGTATAGTTACTGTGAAATTTAGAATTATAGTTTCTTCTGTTATTACTTAGTTTAGGTTTTCAGAAACATTAGGTATTCAAAAGGGTTCAAGCTGACATGTTTTTTTATGGACAAGCATAAAACATATCAAAAAAAAAATAAACAATTAAAAATGTATCCATTGAATTTAGGGAATATATATATATATATATACATTGTATATATACGGAAAATGTATAATATTATAAAAAATACATAATGCTCATGACAATCAAATCTGTGGTTAAATTGTCATAGAAGATGTGTTTATACTTTACCTTCTCAAATCTATCCTGTATTATTTCTATGAAAAAGTCATAATCATCAGAGTAGAAGTCTCAAAACCAAAATTTCATTTTGTATTTTATATAGAGAAAGGTTAGTTTTAATGTGTGCTTAAAAGATGTTACTATTAAAATATGTGTGTTTTGTAATGTGGAGTTGGTGCATAAACCCTGTATAAAACAGATACAAATAACAAAATTACAGAGTTGTGTTATTATTGGTGAAAATGTGGATTTAAGTATTAAATACAACATAACACTAAAACTTATTTGGTTTTGTATGGTTTATATTTGGAATTTGGTGTAATATAACAATTTATTAAAACTTTTAATAAATTTAAACCAGCATCTGATTGCAATAATGTTAACTATTTCATATATCAGTTACTGTGAATACAATTTCCCACAACTATCGATAATGTCAGATGAATCAATATTATTCCTATACATATTGTAATAGATTATTACCAGAAAAAATATAATGCGAGGTCTAATTATTTTGATTAAACCTGTTCCATTTTTTTTTTATAAATAAAACTTCACATTAATTTCTGAATTTACAGAAGTTTTTTTTCAGCAATTGGTGTTGACACTGATACTATTTTCAGCACAAAATTAGTTATGGATAAAAGAGGATTCAAAGTCTTGAAGATATCATAGAATCATGATTTAAAAAAAAGATGCAATTCTATCTGAATCATTGAACACCATTTAAGAATTCTGCCCTTTAGTATATATGAAAGAGATACTTAAGTTAGTGTTTTCTAAGTATCATTAAACTATTTTTAATGGTTTTTATTCGTAATACAGTTTTCTACTGAATTGTGATTTCAGATGGAGGGGGCAAAACCCGGTACAGCACCTGGAAGTGAAGGAATGCTGGCTAATTTCTTCAACAGTCTACTGAATAAAAATCCTAAAGGAGGCACACCTGTAGCTGGAAATAAAGCAGGTTAGTTTCTGGAAAGGATAGTTTATTTAGAAATCTTAAATATCTAATGCTGAATGTGTGATCTGAAAGAAGCATTAAGATTGAATACAACTCATCTTATTGTAGAACCGTCTTTATTTTTCATTCTAACCCTGTGGATTCAACTGTTCTTAGTTGTAGGTTTTTCCTCTTTTTTAACGAGAAAAAATTCTTGATTTGCACCTGCTGGAATAACAACAAACTATGCAACCTTTTTCTCCATATTTTGCAATTTATGGTGGCCTTATTGAATGAGCATATTAGTTATTGTGGGAGGAAGGTTGAGACAGAAAAATTTCTCAAAACGAACTGAATCCATTTGGTAAGAATTTTTAACCGGATTTTCGAAGGAAAAATCGGTTATTGATTTGAGGATGTATGGCGGGCGGGCAGCTGCCAAACAGTGTCTGTTCATTAACATTTAATGGTCCAAAGGGTCCTAAATTAAACTTTTGTTTGATTTTATCAAAAATTGAATTCTTGGGGTTCTTTGATATGCTGATTCTAACAATGTACTTAGATGTTGGATATTGGACCATAATAGGTAAATGTCCAATTTCAAATTTTTCAGTTCTTTGACCACATTCATTTTGTGTCACAAACCTATGCTGAGTCAAATATTCAATCACAATCCAAATTCAGAGCTGTTTTAAGCTTAAATGTTGTGTCCATACTTGCTCAACTGTTCAGGGTTCGACCTCTGCAGGAAATCCGGTTTGCCGTCACTCTGACAGCCTCTTGTTTGTCTTGATCTGTTGCAAGTTCTAGATTCTGATAATCTTGGGATATTTGCAAATGAATATATTTTGTACAGAACTTTTTATCCTAAGCTCTTTTGAATATATTTTTTTGCTTTTCTAAATGCAAATTTCTTAAAAATCCCCTGCAATGTATTTGTTTTCTCAGAAGATTGGGACTTTATGTCCCATCTGACTGTACTTCTTATCCACTCTATCATATAGTAATTATCTACATAAATTTACAATTGAAAAAGAAAATGAAGTTACAAAATTTTGATTTGAAAAAAAAACCAGTATAATAGATTAATTAGATCCATACCATAACATGTATGGACTTCAGCATGAATGTTGAAATGTTTCTTACATGCATGTTTTATTGTTGTCATTTTTCTTGTTAATCAAAACATTTATGTTGGTCTTTAGTTATAAATCTGTTTACTTACATACTAGCAAATTCACCTACAACACCAGGTAACATATAGATCTTTAAATTAAATCCCAGATTTTTTTTTCTTTTGATTTGTTTGTTTTTTGTTTTTTTTTGTTCTTGTTTTTGGTGGTGAAAGAAATTTTTTTAATTTCTGCTGACATTTCAAACCATCTTTAAAGCAAAACAGAATGGTGAATAAAAAAAGCTTTTGCTTATAGCTCATCTGGCCAAAAGAGAGTTATAATTATTTTTGAACAATGACTAGAAATCTACAGAGCAAATACTAAAGCAGTTTGGCTTTGTTTCATGTCTGCTTGGCATGGTTTTAGGTTTAGGTGGAAATCCTACCAGAATTAGTCTGCATGCAGCCTTAGATGGGGACGTAAAATTACGGACCCGAGGTAAATAGAGATTGTAGGCTTTAAGTATGTGCTTGTACTCTGCTTAATCTGCATGGAAATAGGCTACATAGAGTTAGCTGAATTTCTTTTTGTGTGATAGTTTTTGTACTGGACAACCATTTTTATACGACCGCAAAAAAAATTTTGTGGTTGTATATTGGTATGACGTTGGCGTCCTCTGGCGTCGTCCGGCGTCGTCCGAAGACACATTGGTTTTCACACTCTAACTTTAGTTTAAGTGAATGGATCTCTATGAAATTTTGCCACAAGGTTCAATACCACAAAAGGAAGGTTGGGATTTATTTTGGGGGTTATGGGACCAACAGTAAAGGAATTAGGGGCCAAAAATAAGCATTTTTGTAATTTCCAGACATAACTTGTGTGTTAGTGTATGGATCTCTCTGACATTGTACCACATGGTTCCATATCACAAAAGGAATGCTGGGATTGATTTTGGGGGTAATTGCCTCTAAATTTTAGGAATTAGGGGCCAAAAAAAGGGGCAAAAAACAAGCATTTTTCTAGTTTCATGACAATAACTTGTGTGTAAGTGTATGGATCTTTCTGAAATTGTACTACAAGGTTCCATATCACAAAGGGAAAGCTGGAATTGAGTTTGGGGGTAATTGCCGAAACGTTTAGGAATTGGGGGCCAAAAAGGGGCCAAAAAATAAGCATTTTTTCTAGTTTCCAGACAATAACTTGTGTTCAAGTTTATGGATCTCTCTGAAATTGTACTGCAAGGTACCATACCACAAAGGGAAGGCTTGGATTGATGATGGGGGTAATTGCCTCAACATTTTAGGAATTAGGGGCCAAAAAGGGGCAAAAAACACATTTTCTAGTTTCCAGACAATAACTTGTGTTCAAGTTTATGGATCTCTCTGAAATTGTACTGCAAGGTACCATACCACAAAGGGAAGGCTTGGATTGATGATGGGGGTAATTGCCTCAACATTTTAGGAATTAGGGGCCAAAAAGGGGCAAAAAACACATTTTCTAGTTTCCAGACAATAACTTGTGTTCAAGTGTATGGATCTCTCTGAAATTGTACTGCAAGGTACCATACCACAAAGGGAAGGCTGGGATTGAGTTTGGGGGTGATGAATCATAAGGGGGTTCAAAAAATTTGGGGGGGGGATTTTTTTTTTTTCCTTCTTTTTCTTTTTTTCCTTTTTTTTTTCTTTTAAAATTTTCCATTTTAAGTTGGTTATTTCTGATTTATATTTAAAAGCAAATAATAATGATATGGTAGGAGATACACACCAAACAGGATGTGTAAATTATTATATAATAAGTATTGTGCAATAGCAAGAAATTTTCAATTGCACAGTATTGCACAATAGCAAGAAATCTTCAATTGCACAATATTGCGCAATAGCAAGAAATTGTCAATAGAACAGTATTGCGCAATAGCAAGAAATCTTCAATTGCACAGTATTGCACAATAGCAAGAAATATCCAATAGCACAATATTGCGCAATAGCAAGAAATTGTCAATAGTACAGTATTGCGCAATAGCAAGAAATATTTAATTGCACAGTATTGTGCAAAAGAAGATACTTCGTATAAATTGCTTATTTCTTGACCAATTTTAATGGGGTTTTATTCTTGAATTCTTGGGGTTCTTTAATATGCTGAATCTAACCGTGTATTTAGTTTTTGGACTTTGGGCCCCTTTTTAAATTGGTCCACATTGAGGTCCAAAGGGTCCAAAATTAAACTTTGTTTGATTTCATCAAAAATTGAATTATTGGAGTTCTTTGATATGCCGAATCTAACCGTGTATTTAGATTTTTAATTTTTGGTTCCGTTTTCAAATTGGCCTACATTAAGGTCCAAAGGGTCCAAAATTAAACTTAGTTTGATTTTAACAAAAATTGAATTCTTAGGGTTCTTTGATATGCTGAATCTAAACATGTATTTAGATTTTTGATTTTTGGGCCCCGTTATCAACTTTGTCCACATTGAGGTCAAAAGGGTCCAAAAATTAAACTTTGTTTGATTTCATCAAAAATTGAATTCTTGGGGTTCTTTGATATGCTGAATCTAACCATGTATTTAGATTTTGGATATTGGACCATAAAAGGTGAATGTCCAATTTAAAATTTTTAAGTTCTTAGACCACATTCATTCTGTGTCAGAAACCTATGCTGTGTCAAATATTTAATCACAATCCAAATGCAAAGCTGTATCAAGCTTGAATGTTATGTCCATACTTGCCCCAACTGTTCAGGGTTCGACCTCTGCGGTTGTATCAAGCTGCGCCCTGCGGAGCATTTTATTAATTGTGTTATTGGAATTAAAATGTATAAATCAGACAGCATACCATCATGGTCGTGACGACAAAAAAAAGAATAGAGTATAACATACAGTCTTTAACTGTAGACAAGTTTCTACACAATTTATCAGACTTTTTTTTCCAGTGTATTACAAAAACTTTCAAAGATCTGCCTTTAACACTTAATTCCCTTAAATACAAAAAAAAAACATTAAAATATCACTTATAAAATCACTTATATTAGTTTCCGGACTGGGGACAGGCACATGAACAATGTGACAGCTTAAATTTTGTTTTATATAGTATTAATTTTTTATTGAGTGTACTGACTGTTAATGGTTGGTGTGTTCTTTAACCTTTATGCTTCATTAACTAAAGGAGAAATTAATCAATTGTACACTTATTTATAGATTTAAACTGACCATTTTATTAAACTATTACTTAGTAATTTGGGGAAAATGTAGATTAGTTACAATAACACATAAAGATACATAAGCCTTTTGAAAAAAGTGATGTTTGTTTGTTATTTGCAAAAATAAGTTCAGATTTTCATATTTTTTGCCCTACCTATGATAATAAGGGGCAATATGTTTTCTGATGTGTGCTTCTGTCTGTTTGTCTGTCCCATATTAGAGTAAAGTTTTGGTTTAGGTAGTTTACCATATAGTTTAGTGAAGTTTTAAAAATGTATACCAATTAAGGATTTTAACCCAGATTTCACAGTGATAGTGTGAGTGGTGCATAATATCATATGTACAAATAGTTTTTCTTTTTAAATATACTCTTATATTAAAAAATAAGGTTCTGGGGAGTTTTTGCCTTCTATGTCTGAGTAGCAGGTGTGACTTTTATGTGCTTTAAATGAGGACAACTTTGCAGAATTTTTGCCCGTGTCATAAAGCAACAGGGCAGTAAGTGCTACTTTTGTTTGTCTTCTTCTGTCAGTCCTGTTTTGACTCCTCTTCAATTCTTTAAGTTAGTCTTGTCCAAAGCTTTTTAAAATCGTTAATATGAGATACCTAAGTTCTATCTTGACATATTCTGTCTTTGTCTGTCCTGTTATGCTAATTGATTAGGGGTCAAACAACTTCAAGATTTTCTCTACCAATTCTTTTGAAATTTTACCACTATGGTTTTGACCACTCAACTGAGATAAAATTTTGTAGTCTTTATGTGAATATTTTACATATTCCAAATGACTTATTTACCAATTAAGTTATCTTTTGGTGGTTTCGGCATCTGTGTCCTATGCCATTGACACATGCTCTTTTCTCTCTTGCTTAAAAGATATTCAGACTTTTTTTTAGCTGTTGTAGTTCAAAGGAAATATAACCTAGAAATCATAACTTCTGTGGATTCATTATATTATTTATGGTGTACAAGTTTCCATGGATTTTCTAGGTAAAAGTGAACCAGATAATATAGTTTTCAACAAAACAAATTCAGTATAAGCTGATGTGCAGAATTTTTAATAATCAAGGAATGCATTGTCTACCAATTTCAATTCTTCCTCAAACCACAAAAATTGGTGCTGATGAAAATTAATGAAACTTTAGGAGTTAAACTTGCAGTTAAGTCTGGTAAATTAAATTTATAAAGATTCTGAAAACTAAAAAAGTTATTCTGTTACAATTTGATTTTTGAACCACATGTTCATTTGTGGCTTCTTCTTGGTTTTAGAGCAGGTCTAAAAAAATTATCACAAGTTTAGAAGCTAGAAAAAGATAAACAATATTCATTCAGAATAGTAAGAGTGTGTTTACTCCTGCTTAAAACTTTCATGGTACAGCTCTCAAGATGAAATATAGTCTAAATGAAATTAAAAGAATTAGAAATTAAAAAATAAATGCTTGAATTAAGTTTGAATTATATTATTACCTAAATTGTTACTTAGGTACTTCACTTCAAAAATTATTGGGTGTATTTGTTAATGAGATTGTTTACAATAGACAAAATTGTGACTTTAATTAACGAAATAATGTATCTTTTTCCTGACAAACAATGTGGTGAGATGTTTAAGTTTTACTAATTCTGTTTAAAAAATATCTGCATAGCATCTATAAACATAGTGAAAAAACTTAATTATTTTCAAACAAGAAAATTTATTATATTTCTTAGTGTTTGCTCTCACTTGTATTATCTGTAGTCAAAAATGGAAAAGTAGCTTAGTTGAGCATTTGATTTTGTTACATTGGAGTTTGGTATTTTTGTTAATACCTTTTTATCTAGACATTGATGTGAAAAGAGCAATCTTATTTTAATATCTTTTATATAATTTTGATATTATATTTTTCTTTATGCTTTTTAGATAAATCTGAAGCTCGTTATTATTAAGTGTTAAATCCTTTTATTTTCTTAAAGCTAAGGGCGAGTTGTCTTAGGATAAGCTGATTTTCTCTTTTTTGACAAAAAATGCAATCGCATTATTTGTTTGAATTAGTCAAAACATCTAGATAAAGAAATCGAAGGAAAGTCCTTTCTTTTGTGAATGATTAGCTCTAGCAAATCTTAAAAGTTAAGTGAATGATTTGAAGCAGCTATAAATTTGATTTGTACATCTACAGTAATTTTATCCATAATGATATCATGATGTTATATTTTGACAGATAAAGCTGCCGTTTCTCAAGATGCTGCTGCTGAATTAGAGAGAATGAAACGAACAAAGAAGACTGTACCTGAAGTAAAACCTAATGGACCTGATAGTACGGCCACATGATCTCACTTTAATTCTAGTTACTCTTGACAATTATAAAAATCTACAGCACTGGCCCTTTAAAAAAACATATATATCTGTGATGGTCAGTAGCATGGTCGAGCGGCCGATAAAATGCCAAAGGGACCATTGGTGAAGTTTACCATTTCCTATCATGCCCAAAGAAAACAAATAACAGCTGGGAAAATGTAAATTTCATGAGCCTGAAAAATTAACATGGTTGTGTGAGTGGCAAGAAGAGTAATGTCCCTTTGACATCAGGGTAGCCATTGGGGAACATGCTTCAGAGGTCAAAGGCTAAAGTGCAAAGTTATATTCTTGTTACATCTTTTGTTTTCATGGACGTAGAATCTAGTCAGTCTGCTTGGCATTACACATTGTCATAATATGTTTACAAAATCACGCTGTGTACTAAATTTTCTGGGCAATTACCTTTTTTTAAGTCTCACAAGTTTTACTGTTTGTGTGTTCACATTCCATCATTAGTTTGAGTGCACCTTTTATAATATAACTACTATAAATTCAAACAGAATATATCATTAGAAAAAAAAACTTGCCTTTATTCCTTTCATCTCATATTCGAAAGTAATTTTCAAAGACTTCCTAATTCAGTTATATTGAAAGGATGTACATTTTTTTGTTATTATGTGAAAAAAAAATATAGATCAAATAAAAGATTGTATAATTGGAAGAAGTCAATTTTTTGCATTTAGAAGTTCAACATTTCATGTAAAAAAAAAATCAGTCATTGGTTGAGATTATATATTAGATTCTACACAATGTGTAAAGTTAAACTCATGTAGAATTATACTTTCATATGCACCTTCTTGGGTATTGACCACTGAAATGTTAGTTTGCTCACATAAAATAATTGTGCAATAGAGTTTAGTGCTGAATTAAAACTTTCCTATTGTATCTATTTGTTAGTCCGTTATATCACTCGGTTTGAAAGACAAGCATGTGAACAATTTTTGTTTTCAGATTTTTACAATTTCCAAAGAACTTTTTTTAAGTTCAAATGGCCTTTTCAAAATTTGTATTGTTTTCACATTACTGTTGGGAAACTTTTTTTTTTTTTTTTTTTTTTTTTTTGGAAGATTACCTATTTGCATTTTTTTTTAAAGTACCATTCAAAATAATGTGATTTCATAAATATGGCCCTGCCAATTTCCTACTTGTCAAAATGATCTAAATAATTTTTTTTGAAACAAAAAGAAATTGTTTCAAGATAACATACCAAATATTGACAGATATATAAAATGTTCATGTCTGCAACAATAAAGTTATGTGGAACATCTATTTATTGAAATATTCTTTAATGAAGATACAATAGGAAAGTTTTATTATGAATTAGAGGCATTTTCTCATTGAATGTACACTCTTAATCATGAAATTCCTATATGTATCCAACCCTGATGAAATATTCCAGTTACAAGGAAATATTTTTAAATTGTTTATGTATGTTATTGTATATTATATGTGAAGTTGCTGTGAATAGTTCCTGTACAAAGTACTTGTAGAGGCTGCTTGATGTTATTGTAGGTCATAAATTAATACCAAACTATCGATTTGGTGTGATATAATGAAATTATTCAAAATCTTGGAAGAGTATCATTTTAGAATGAGTCAAAACTGCAAGTCATATGACCAAATTTGTTTTTTATTATTTTATAATACTACATCAGTGGACATACAAAATTGATATTTTAAAACTTAGTAATTTAAAAAGATGTGGATACTCATTCTGATTAAAGTAAGAAGGTATTGCATTTTTATAGTGCTTGCAAATTTGAAGAGTGTTTTTCAATTATTTATATATCTTTGAACTTAAATTAAGGCTCTTTGAGTTCCTTGACACAAAACTTTTTTTTTTCATTATTTGGTGCATTTTGTTATTTAGAGCAGAAATACAACTAAATCATTCATTTGATGCTTATTCAGAATTTTGTTTAGTATTGTACATAAAACCAATTTGTAAATGATTGTTATTTATTTTATGTAAAAATTTTATGTAAATCATGAAAGCTAAACTTTATCATTATTAGTAAGAGGGTGTGTTTAAAGTATATGCAATTTGTTTTCCTTGCTTACAAAGTGGAGATTTTTTTGTGAGACTATATGAAGAGTGCCATTGTAAATAATTTGGCAAGAAACCATAATTTGCCATGATGCTTTAACAACAATGAAAGTATTATAAATTTAGGCTGTTATTTTATGAATTCTAAATATTTTAGCAGTCTGTATTAAAAAAAAAGATATTTGTTCAGTCCCTTAATTAGTGCTTTGTTATGATTATCATAGCAATTAACTTAGTCCTAAAAATTTGCATTAAATTTGTGCTTTTGGGAAATACCCTTACGGTAACTCCCATGGCTATATTAGATCAATGCATTTTTTTTGTTTTTGGATTTCACATTAAGATAATTGTCTGCAGTTCATACTAAATACCTTGACACTGTGGTCAATAAATAATTATTACAACAGATTGATACAGAGTTAATGCTGTTACTTGCTGTTGATTGAAACATATTGGTGATACTGTAACTGAACAGTTAATAAGACAAAATTATACAGATGTTTTATGTAAGGGTTTACACTTGTAGAATTTAGAAGTTGGTTACAGGGTTTGGATTTTAAGTAATTGGTTTATGTGAAGTATTGAATGGCAGAAATCATGTATGTTTGGTGCTGGCTAAATACCAGAAAGTGCATTTATGTATGATATGAATTGATTGTTGAAAACTGAATTTAGTTTAATCAAACCGTTTACCAATACATAAAGCAATATCATATATTTATACTAAAATCACAGAACAATATAAATGTGAAGGTCTTAAATTTCTAAAACAATATAACTCAAACACCATTAAGATAATGTTCATTTCATGGAAAACAAAATGGCACCCATGTTCATCCACAAAACCAAACCATATTTTACAGTAAAGTATATTTTTTTTGTATTGAAATGGAAGATCAACATTGATTATGTTTTAAAATGGTCCGACTTTGAAAAATTAAAATATGTTAATAGTGGAGCCTCAATTTATTAAAGACATTGGGTATGCTTATGGATTATATTTTATTGCAGAATAACTAATAGACTATTTTCATAATACCAACTTTTGATTCTGTAGTTTCAATATTTTAGACAGGTAACCTTCTCTGTGGTAGGACATCCTGGTACTCAGTCAAGTAAAAGCCTAAAGAAGTAAAATGAAGCTTACGATAGGTACAATTTAGGGGGGTATTTAACTGTTTAATGTTTTCTATACACCACAAAGTCAACGGATAACAGTTAACTTTCCCCCCAAAATGCACCGATTATATATTTTTTTTTTTTTACTTCTTTTGGTTGCTCCTACTTGAACAGATACCAGGATGTCTTACCACAGAGTAGGTTACCTGTCGAAAAATTGAAAAATCCAGAGTCAAAAGTTGGTATTATGAAAATAGTCTATTATTATGGAAAGAGTAAATAACAATTAAGATTTATGGATCTACGTGTATTTTGCACAAAATGATTGTCGAAGGTTTATATATATTAGCATAGCCTAAGATGAGGAAAAAAACACTACAAAAGGTAAAAAATAATTAAAAAAATTATTTTTGATAGACAAAATAATAAAGGCTTCAATAAAAAAAATATGTATATATATGCAAGGCCTTAGTTGGGAAACTACAAAGGTTCGAAAGTAAATCTATAAAAATGCATGATAAGATAAAATGATGTTTGTAGATTAGTTCATTTTCACAGCATAATTTATTATTTTGTACTATGGTAAGAGGTTTTTGTCAAATTTTTATATATTTTTCAATACTATATCGAAGCAATCACCATGTCATAATCATCTAATACAGGAGTGTTTTATTGAATGCTGTTACATTCACTGTAAGGTCAGGGTCACTTCTGTCAATTTTGTCAAATAATTGCTCTAAAGTGACCTTTGTTGTCACTAAAATTTCACAATTGTGAGAAAACAATTAACTACTACAAAAGATCTGTTTTGGAAATTTATCTTTCATCCTCTGTAGGTAAAGTTGAAGTAATGTCCTGTTTAGTCACTTTCAGTTTTAGCAATAATGTTTTTTTGGTTGTGACCATGTGTTTACCTTCAAATGATGTACAGTTGTTGTGCATATCTAGCTTATTTGTATATTTGCAGCAATGAAAAATTTAAATTATAAGCCTTAGGCATCTGTGCAAATATGTTTTCATCATCCACAAATTGCAGCATATGAATTTATTGCTTTTATGGTCAGTGTAGTTAATAATAACTTCATAATTGAGTTACGATACTGGCTTTATTAAAGATTCTATAATACAGTGGGTAGTGCACTGAGCAAGGACATTACCAGAATTGACCCTGATTTTATTGTATGTCTAACAACCTTTTTTTTAAAACTGTTATATCTTGCCAGTATTATTTTAGTGCAAATATCTTCCTTCAATACCCCTTCCTGCCTGAATCCCTTTATTTTTCATCGGCTTGATAGTGAGCAATAGATGTATTCATATATTATTCAAATTTTTATTTTCATTGTTGACTCATATCTGTTTTTGTTTTGCTTAGGAATTTATTATTTTATAATTCAGAGCATTTAAAAAGGATGTTTGTACTTTATTTATGAATAGGATTTACATTTCCAGCTTTGTTTGAAATTTAACAGAAAATTATGTGATTCTATATAGAAGCAGTCAAAAGTATTCTTGAACATTTCGTGTCTAATGCCTAAAATGAAGAATGATGTCTTCGACTATGGTGATATTTTCTGTGATATATGGAAGGTATTCTGTTTCACAGGTATAAACATTTTTTTAAGGTATAGACAAAGAAGGAAAATATACTAAGCACTAAATTAAATTTGCTACCTGCAGATAATCTTTCGGAGTTATAATTCAATATATGCTTGTATTTTTTTAAGATTTTTTAAAAGCATATTATTCAGATCTTGATCAACTCGTTTTCCAAATACTAAGGAAAAATATGATCTTGTGGTTTAATATTTATACCAGAAAACTCATAATAGGATATGGTTGTATGAACTGTTGTTTTTAAGTGCTTAGTGCTTTATATATATTTTAAAAAAACTGTGTAACTGGTTGTAATGAACAAACTATAATAAAATCTTATAAACTTCTATGTATCATTGTGATATAGGAAAAAATATTGCACAGCTTGAGAAGAAATCTCACTATGATTGAAATACTCTTTTCTAAAATGTGCCTATTATAGTCTATGAATCAAATAATTGCTTATGTTTCTATAGGTGCAGATAAATGGGTCATGGACATTGTAAATGTTACTTTAAAGAATAAATGTTTCAAAGACCATTGAATTTGTTTTGTTTTGTATTTCCGTTTCATGAGATTTTTAACAATGCTTTGGTCAAGCAGCAGTACATAGACTTCTGCATATGGAATATTATATCTCTCAGGTATTCTAGAGCTTGCATTTCCTTTCAAGATTTCCCTGATAAAGGTTTACTGCTTACAAGGAGCTATTGAACCAAGGGTTCTAAGTAGTGAAGTTGAAATCATCTCTTCGAAATTTTACATATTTCATCACAATTTGGTTGACCGTTCCTCTTTTCCTCATATGTGACCGAAGGATTAGACTTATCACCAGCTTTGTACTTACATGAACAACACGATGGGTGCCACATGTGGAGTAGGATCTGATTACCCTTCCAGAGCACCCGAGGTCACCTCCTGGCTTTTGGTGGGGTTTGTGTTGCTCAGTCTTTAGTTTTGTAGTGTTTTGTGTATTGTTTTTCTTTTCATTTTTTGCCATGGCATTGTCAGTTTGTTTTTATACGACCGCAAAAAAATTTTTGTGGTCGTATATTGGTATGACGTTGGCGTCGTCCGAAGACACATTGGTTTTCGCACTCTAACTTTAGTTTAAGTGAATGGATCTTTATGAAATTTTACCACAAGGTTCAATACCACAAAAGGAAGGTTGGAATTGATTTTGGGGGTTATGGTAATAACAGTAAAGGAATTAGGGGCCAAAAATAAGCATTTTTGTAACTTCCAGACATAACTTGTGTGTTAGTGTATGGATCTCTCTGACATTGTACCACAAGGTTCCATATCACTAAAGGAATGCTGGGATTGATTTTGGGGGTAATTGCCTCCAAATTTTAGGAATTAGGGGCCAAAAAAGGGGCAAAAAACAAGCATTTTTCTAGTTTCATGACAATAACTTGTGTGTAAGTGTATGGATCTTTCTGAAATTGTACTACAAGGTTCCATATCACAAAGGGAAAGCTGGGTTTGAGTTTGGGGGTAATTGCCCTAAACGTTTAGGAATTTGGGGCCAAAAAGGGGCCAAAAAACACATTTTTTTCTAGTTTCCAGACAATAACTTGTGTTCAAGTGTATGGATCTCTCTGAAATTGTACTGCAAGGTACCATACCACAAAGGGAAGGCTGGGATTGAGTTTGGGGGTGATGAATCATAATGGGGGTTCAAAAAATTTTGGGGGGGGATTTATTTTTTTTTCCTTTTTTTTCTTTTTTTCCTTTTTAGCTCACCTGACCTGAAAGGTCAAGTGAGCTTTTCTCATCACTTTGCGTCCGTCGTCCTGCGTCCGTCGTCCGTCGTCCGTAAACTTTTACAAAAATCTTCTCCTCTGAAACTACTAGGCCAAATTTAACCAAACTTGGCCACAATCATCATTGGGGTATCTAGTTTTAAAAATGTGTGGCGTGACCTGGTCAACCAACCAAGATGGCCGCCACGGCTAAAAATAGAACATAGGGGTAAAATGCAGTTTTTAGCTTATAACTCAAAAACCAAAGCATTAAGAGCAAATCTGACATGGGGTAAAATTGTTCATCAGGTCAAGATCTATCTGCCCTGAAATTTTCAGATGAATCGGACAACCCGTTATTGGGTTGCTGCCCCTGAATTGGTAATTTTAAGGAAATTTTGCTGTTTTTGGTTATTATCTTGAATATTATTATAGATAGAGATAAACTGTAAACAGCAATAATGTTCAGCAAAGTAAGATTTACAAATAAGTCAATATAACCGAAATGGTCAGTTGACCCCTTTAGGAGTAATTGCCCTTTATAGTCAATTTTTAACCATTTTTCGTAAATCTTAGTAATCTTTTACAAAAATCTTCTCCTCTGAAACAACTGGGCCAAATTAAACCAAACTTGGCCACAATCATCATTTGGTTATCTAGTTTAAAAAATGTGTGGCGTGACCCGGCCAACCAACCAAGATGGCCGCCACAGCTAAAAATAAAACATAGGGGTAAAATTCATTTTTTGGCTTATAACTCAAAAACCAAAGCATTAAGAGCAAATCTGACATGAAGTAAAATTGTTTATCAGGTCAAGATCTATCTGCCCTGAAATTTTCAGATGAATCGAACAACCTGTTGTTGGGTTGCTGCCCCTGAATTGGTAATTTTAAGGAAATTTTGCTGTTTTTGGTTATTATCTTGAATATTATTATAGATAGAGATAAACTGTAAACAGCAATAATGTTCAGCAAAGTAAGATTAACAAATAAGTCAACATGACTGAAATGGTCAGTTGACCCCTTTAGGAGTTATTGCCCTTTATAGTCAATTTTTAACAATTTTTCGTAAATCTTAGTAATCTTTTACAAAAATCTTCTCCTCTGAAACTCTGTGGCCAAATTAAACCAAACTTGGCCACAATCATCATTTGGTTATCTAGTTTTAAAAATGTGTGGCGTGACCTGGTCAACCAACCAAGATGGCCGCCACGGCTAAAAATAGAACATAGGGGTAAAATTCAGTTTTTGGCTTTTAACTCAAAAACCAAAGCATTTAAAGCAAATCTGACATGAAGTAAAATTGTTTATCAGGTCAAGATCTATCTGCCCTGAAATTTTCAGATGAATCGGACAACCCGTTATTGGGTTGCTGCCCCTGAATTGGTAATTTTAAGGAAATTTTGCTGTTTTTGGTTATTATCTTGAATATTATTATAGATAGAGATAAACTGTAAACAGCAATAATGTTCAGCAAAGTAAGATTTACAAATAAGTCAATATAACCGAAATGGTCAGTTGACCCCTTTAGGAGTAATTGCCCTTTATAGTCAATTTTTAACCATTTTTCGTAAATCTTAGTAATCTTTTACAAAAATCTTCTCCTCTGAAACAACTGGGCCAAATTAAACCAAACTTGGCCACAATCATCATTTGGTTATCTAGTTTAAAAAATGTGTGGCGTGACCCGGCCAACCAACCAAGATGGCCGCCACAGCTAAAAATAAAACATAGGGGTAAAATTCATTTTTTGGCTTATAACTCAAAAACCAAAGCATTTAGAGCAAATCTGACATGAAGTAAAATTGTTTATCAGGTCAAGATCTATCTGCCCTGAAATTTTCAGATGAATCGAACAACCTGTTGTTGGGTTGCTGCCCCTGAATTGGTAATTTTAAGGAAATTTTGCTGTTTTTGGTTATTATCTTGAATATTATTATAGATAGAGATAAACTGTAAACAGCAATAATGTTCAGCAAAGTAAGATTAACAAATAAGTCAACATGACTGAAATGGTCAGTTGACCCCTTTAGGAGTTATTGCCCTTTATAGTCAATTTTTAACAATTTTTCGTAAATCTTAGTAATCTTTTACAAAAATCTTCTCCTCTGAAACTCTGTGGCCAAATTAAACCAAACTTGGCCACAATCATCATTTGGTTATCTAGTTTTAAAAATGTGTGGCGTGACCTGGTCAACCAACCAAGATGGCCGCCACGGCTAAAAATAGAACATAGGGGTAAAATTCAGTTTTTGGCTTTTAACTCAAAAACCAAAGCATTTAAAGCAAATCTGACATGAAGTAAAATTGTTTATCAGGTCAAGATCTATCTGCCCTGAAATTTTCAGATGAATCGGACAACCCGTTATTGGGTTGCTGCCCCTGAATTGGTAATTTTAAGGAAATTTTGCTGTTTTTGGTTATTATCTTGAATATTATTATAGATAGAGATAAACTGTAAACAGCAATAATGTTCAGCAAAGTAAGATTTACAAATAAGTCAATATAACCGAAATGGTCAGTTGACCCCTTTAGGAGTAATTGCCCTTTATAGTCAATTTTTAACCATTTTTCGTAAATCTTAGTAATCTTTTACAAAAATCTTCTCCTCTGAAACAACTGGGCCAAATTAAACCAAACTTGGCCACAATCATCATTTGGTTATCTAGTTTTGAAAATGTGTGGAGTGACCTGGTCAACCAACCAAGATGGCCGCCACGGCTAAAAATAGAACATAGGGGTAAAATTCAGTTTTTGGCTTTTAACTCAAAAACCAAAGCATTTAAAGCAAATCTGACATGAAGTAAAATTGTTTATCAGGTCAAGATCTATCTGCCCTGAAATTTTCAGATGAATCGGACAACCCGTTGTTGGGTTGCTGCCCCTGAATTGGTAATTTTAAGGTGATTTTGCTGTTTTTGGTTATTATCTTGAATATTATTATAGATGGAGATAAACTGTAAAAAACAATAAATGTCGGCAAAGTAAGATCTACAAATAAGTCAACATGACCGAAATTGTCAGTTGACCCCTTTAGGAGTTATTGCCCTTTATAGTCAATTTTTAACCATTTTTTCGTAAATCTTAGTAATCTTTTACAAAAATCTTCTCCTCTGAAACTACTGGGCCAAGTTAATTATAGATAGAGATAATTGTAAGCAGGAAAAATGTTCAGTAAATTAAGATGTACAAACACATCACCATCACCAAAACACAATTTTGTCATGAATCCATCTGCGTCCTTTGTTTAATATTCACATAGACCAAGGTGAGCGACACAGGCTCTTTAGAGCCTCTAGTTTGTTTCTTTTAAAATTTTCCATTTTAAGTTGGTTATTTCTGATTTATATTTAAAATCAAATAATAATGATATGGTAGGAGATACACACCAAACAGGATGTGTAAATTATTATATAATAAGTATTGTGCAATAGCAAGAAATTTTCAATTGCACAGTATTGCACAATAGCAAGAAATCTTCAATTGCACAGTATTGCGCAATAGCAAGAAATCTTCAATTGCACAGTATTGCGCAATAGCAAGAAATATCCAATAGCACAATATTGCGCAATAGCAAGAAATTGTCAATTGTACAGTATTGCGCAATAGCAAGAAATATTTAATAGCACAGGATTGTGCAAAAGAAGATACTTCCTATAAATTGCTTATTTCTTGACCAATTTCAATGGGGTTTTATTCTTGATTTCATGGGGTTCTTTAATATGCTGAATCTAACCGTGTATTTAGTTTTTGGATTTTGGGCCCCGTTTTTAAATTGGTCCACATTGAGGTCCAAAGGGTCCAAAATTAAACTTAGTTTGATTTTAACAAAAATTGAATTCTTAGGGTTCTTTGATATGCTGAATCTAAACATGTATTTAGATTTTTGATTATGAGCCCAGTTTTCAAGTTGGTCCAAATCGAGGTCCAAAATTAAACTTTGTTTGATTTCAACAAAAATTGAATATATGGGGTTCTTTGATATGCTGAATCTAACCATGTATTTAGATTTTTGATTTTTGGGCCCCGTTATCAACTTTGTCCACATTGAGGTCAAAAGGGTCCAAAATTAAACTTTGTTTGATTTCATCAAAAATTGAATTATTGGGGTTCTTTGATATGCCGAATCTAACCGTGTATTTAGATTCTTAATTTTTGGTTCCGTTTTCAAATTGGTCTACATTAAGGTCCAAAGGGTCCAAAATTAAACTTAGTTTGATTTTAACAAAAATTGAATTCTTAGGGTTCTTTGATATGCTGAATCTAACCATGTATTTAGATTTTTGATTTTTGGGCCCCGTTATCAACTTTGTCCACATTGAGGTCAAAAGGGTCCAAAATTAAACTTTGTTTGATTTCATCAAAAATTGAATTCTTGGGGTTCTTTGATATGCTGAATCTAACCATGTATTTAGATTTTGGATATTGGACCATAATAGGTGAATGTCCAATTTAAAATTTTTAAGTTCTTAGACCACATTCAATCTGTGTTAGAAACCTATGCTGTGTCAAATATTTAATCACAATCCAAATCCAAAGCTGTATCAAGCTTGAATGTTGTGTCCATACTTCCCCCAACTGTTCAGGGTTCGAACTCTGCGGTCGTATCAAGCTGCGCCCTGCGGAGCATTTTATTGACTTTTGAATTTGAATATCCCTTTGGTATCTTTTACCTTTCTTGTAGTTCTTGTATGATTTTGCCCATTGTAGGTTAAGTTTGCATTTTAGTTTCAGGCTTAAGGCAGTTTGCTTCACATCATATGTGATACATCATGTCAACTACTTCCCAAATTATATGTCCATAGGATATTCTGACCCCAAATTTCATTGTTCAGTGGAATTTGATGTAAAGTATATGTGATATCACCATGGAATCTCACTACATAATACATTAAGGTCGAACTATCCAAGGCATAAGACAAAAAAGATGATCACATTGTTCATAAATATACCGGTAGTTAAGTTGATGGTTCAGTTTCAGGAAATGATGTGTAGTAGATGTCACCACATAACTTCAGTTCCAAAGTATGTTGTGACCCTGCTTGAATGGTTGAGTTCTCAAGGTCAAGTTTTGGGAAGTTTTAAATGTGAAGCAATATGATTTCATGATGATATTTTATAGAATACAGTAAGATGTAAACTATCCAAATCTAACTTTATATAATGGTTTTATTACTTCTATATTTATATGAACTATAAATTATCCAGACATTTGGTGAATCTGATTGTAATATTAGCATTTCAATATTCCTTTTCATGCTAGTCATGGTCTATAAAAGAACATTGCAATGTTATTCAGTGGTTGTTGTTAGTTGCTGTCTGTCATAAATAAAATTGGGTGTTTGAATTGTTGCACTTTTTGTCATGATGGGGCATTTTATAGCTGACTTTACGTTATAGGTTTTGCTCATTGTTGAAGGATGTGTGGATGCCTGTAGTTGCTTATATCAACATAATTGGACTGGTGGGCAGCTGTCTAATTTACAATCATACCCTATCTCCTTATTGTCCCCTGCGCAACGGGTTGCGACAGAAATACTGTGCGTCCGTCTTGTCTTTTTAGTGCTATCACTTGTACAATTCTTGCCAGATTTTTATGAAACTTATCAAACTCTTCAACTATGTACTTTATTTTGCCTTTTTAACTTTTATTGATTCGAGCGTCAATGATGAGTCTTTTGTAGACGAAACGCGCGTCTGCCGCAAATACAAAATTTCATTCCTAGTATCTATGATGAGTTATTTATATCATAGGTTCATATTAGCAATTTCTTGGGATGAGTTCGAAAATCACTGCTGATTAATTATTTTTGAAACAGTTATGACCTTGGAATCATTAATTATATGGAAAATTACATTGTTAGTGCTCTCATGTGTACAATTCTTGCCAGAATTTCTGAAACTTAAATCATAGGTTTATATCAGCAATGTCTTTGATTGGTTCAAAAATCAGTGCCGATTAAAAAATTTTGAAAGAGTTATTCCCCTTGGAAAAAATGATTATAAGAAAAAAATGCATCGTTAGCGCTCTCATAAGTTCAATTCTCGCCAGAATTTTATGAAACTTATATCATAAGTTTATATCAGCAATGTCTTTGAGTTATTCCTCTTGGAAATATTAATTATAATGGAAATCATGAAGCCTTCGTTTCTCTAAGATATTAATAAAAGGTCTTATAGAACTAACAAAAAAATGCTTTTTTTAGTTTTAGCCCTTGTACCTTGAATAGATCAAATATGTGCAACGCGTGGGACATTGGAACTCTTGTTCTTTTATTTTTATATTCAAAGGCAAAGTTTGTGAGTTTATTTAGTCAACTCATCCTCACTAGGAAATTCATAAATAAATAAGGTTTGGCTTGTGTTTTGATGTGGATATAATGTAATATCTAATATCTATGTAAAGTTTATTTTATGATCTGTTATCATACATTTTCTATAGCTGCCATTTTAAAGACAGGATTTCCCATTATCTGAAATATAAGCAAATGAATTATTAGTGTAAACTGTTTCTCGCCTTTTTTGTTGTATTGGAGGGTCCAAAAGTAGTATAATAATACTTTGTGTAGATAAAAATAGGACAAAGGAACAAAAAGTGCGCATTTCCCTGTCCAATTCATAAACATCATACCCAAAGTCCCAATTCACTGGCATTACTGTTGAAATCATTGACATGCTAACAGATTACACAAGTGGCCAATGGACTAAAATTTCGGCACATTGAATATGGAAGTAAACATAACTGAACTCCAAACGTCCCAAAAGACAAATGCTGTAACAGCACCGGCCTTGCTGCAATTTTCTCTAAGGCAATTAAGGCTAAATTTCTAATTGTTACAAAAATGTCTTATGATGGTTATAAAAGAAATCACCAGGCTTTGATGAGCATTAAATTAACATTTAAAATTGCAGTTTACATTATCAAAAAATAAAAATTCAATATTTCTGCCTTTTTTTTTTTTTTTTTTTTGTCTTGCCTTCGCCATATGTTGCAGAATTTTAAACAAGAATGCTAATCTGGACATGAATAAGTTAATTTTTGGTATAACGCTTTATATTCAGAAGAAGATAAAAGATATGGACACTTCATATCTTAAATACAGATGCCTTATGGTCTGAAGTTTCTGTATAGCAGTTGTCAACACGTTGCCCTTGGCCTCCTTTTTATGACTCGTCGATTGATGAAAAAACCTTTTTTTTCACGTGATTGAGTAAAAGGACAGCTATATTTGCCAAATAGAAACATTTTCATGTATACCTATCACCTGACCTTGTCCTCATTTACAAGGTTCATTGGTCAACGTATGCTAAGATGAACCTACATGTTCATGAAAAATCCTATTTGTTCAAGAAAACACACAAAAACAGAACCCTAAGACCATCTGTAGTCAAAAACACACAAAAAAACTGAACCCTTAAGACCATCTGTAGTCAAATTCACTTAATTAATTGAATATTTCAAGACCCTTTACTTTACAGAACACTTGAAGTATCAAGAGAGAAATTAATACATAAATTGCAAAGGACATACTACTGTGCGGATGCTTACTGTTTATAGATCAAAAGTAACTAGTATTTATACAGTAACAACCCTTTGATACTAATAAATAGATATATACTGAGTTTAATTAGAAATGTTTCTAGGATTAGCTTCATCAGGATAAGAGTGTGGCGTCGAAACCTTAAACTAAGTGAATATGGAGTTATTTCATAAGACAAAATTCCGATCTCCGATACGGTTCGTATACACATATAAGTGTCTATTGTCTCGACGCCATCTATCGTTTCTGTTAATGATTTTTTCATGTATATATGGTTATTTAAAAAGGTATACTATGAATGCATTAGATGGCGGTGGTAACGGACCCTCTCTGGTTTCAGAAGAGGTTATCAAATAAGAACTTATAAATGTGCCGGATATGCGAAACTACTAAAGGATCAAATGGATAAAATCAAGAAATTAGGGACAGCAAATAAACAACCATGCATTCACGTCTTGGGTGATTTTAATAACCGTAAAATAAATTGGCAGACACAGTTGAATAAAGATACCAACACATGTCTAAACGGCAGTGACGGTCAAGCGTTAATATAAATACTAAATGAGGCTAGTGCTGAACAACTCGTCCTTTTTCCAACCAGGGAATGTAATACGCTAGACCTTTTAATTACAACCTTACCAGGGCAGTTCACAGAAATCCACTCACCTGACCGGTTTAGCGACCACGATGCACAATTCCAAGAAAAATAAGACCAGAAAGGAACTTCTTCCAATACTCAAAGGGAAGCTTCGATCAGATGAGAGAAGATACAAGGGACGTCACCAGGGACAAATACTTCAGTGGCCATCCAGGAATGAAGGAGAAAACTGGAACATGATAAAAGAATTTATACTAGAAGCCACCAAAATCAATGTACCAACTAAAACATCAAATGGAAAACAGTCAATACCATGGATAAATAATAACATCAAGGCCATGATAAAAGGAAAGAACAGATCACACGCGAACTATAAAAAAAAACAAAAGCGTGAGAATAAAACGAAAATTGTAAGAATTAAGGCGCACAATTAACAAGGAAATTGAAACAGCCAGTAACAACTACGTCAACAACTTAATCCTTAATAAGCGATATAAAACAGGATTCTAAACCATTATAGGAATAAACTTGCCATGATTAACAACCAGGAGGCAGACAAACAGGGAATATCCCCATTTAAGACTCAAGATAGTAAGACCGCCGATACAGACCAACAGAAAGCGGAAGCATTGAATACACAGTTTACAAGCGTTTATACTAAGAAAGAATATGAATCCATTCCATACCAAACCCCACTTGTAGACAAAATGAGGAACATCACAGTAACAACCAAATGAGTGGAGAAGATACTTAAAACGTTAATGCGTCGAAAGCGATGGGTCCTGATGGTATACACCCCAGAGTACTGAAAGAATTGGCACCTAACATATCAGAGGTAATGGCTCACTTTTTCCAACAATCCATCAACAGAGGAACCATCCCAGATGAATGAAAAAGTTCTAATATATAGCCCATTGTTCAAGAAAAACGACAGAACCATCCCGAGTTATTACAGAGCAGTATCTCTGACATGTATCACTTGCAAACTACCAGAACATTTGCTCGTACCTAATTCAGCACTTTGAAGATCACAACATCCTAAATAGCCGACAACATTCCATTTAGAAGAAGACACAGCTACGAAACCCAACTCATTAACGTGCTACACGACTGGGCAACTGCCATTGACAACAGGAAACAAACTGATAAATTTATTTTGGATTTTGAAAAAGCATTTTACGCCGTACTACACGAGCTATTAAAAAGTAAACTTCACAAATATGGTGTGCCGAAAAACATCTTGAATTGAATTTACGCCTTCCTATCTACAAGATCTCAGTGCGTGGAAGTGAACGGGATTAAGTCTGAGACATCAACAGAACTATCATGAGTACCCCAAGGAACGGTTCTCGGTTCCATCCTATTTCTAGTCCATATCAACGACAAAGCAGAAAATATAAGATCAAGAAACTGTTTGAAGCCCTATGTAGGCATACAAAAAGCCACAAAATGATGACATTTGCTGAGTCAGAAAATATTAACATATAAAACTTATAAAAATTTACACTTTCGAATTTGATAATAGGTGCATGACTATGATAGTACGTAAACCGAAATAATAAAAAGTCATACCCCCAAAATACCGAAAATACGCATGCAGTTAAAATACAAATAAAATAACCATTTTTCTTTCTTTTCATGTCAAACCCTTCTTTACCGTCCGGATCAGGCCAAACTATATCGGTCAATATAATAATAAGTAATATCACATGGAGTATTATGTTGAAAATGAAATTTCAATCGAAGCATGAGGAACATGACCATCACACCGAAACATCCAGATATGAAGAATTAGAATGACAATAATAGAAATTTGCTTCCACATGAAAACCTTATTTACAGTTTATGATTTGGCCTTCTATCTGCCTTTATTGGAGCAGATGGGGTTATATTTCATGCATAAATAATTAAGTATGACTTCATTTGAAATAAGTCTAAACTATAATATATTTATAAGTAAGTTACAATAACAACAGCTTTCTAAAAAGCAAAAAGAATTGATCTCAAACAACTTCTGGAGTAGAAGGATAAGAATCAAGGAGGCAACAGAACACCTCTTATACTCACTTACCACCCTGATTTCAAAAGTGTGTCATCCATTGTTCGAAAGCTTTGAAAAATTGAGAATGATTCCAATTTGGAAAAAGTATCTTCCTCCCCAGCAATCATGGCATTCAGAAGACCAAAAAACATCCGTGACAAATTAGTAACAATTGAATTAACAACCTACTCCACCTCCTGGTTGCTACAAACAATGTAGGAGAAGGAATTGTTTATGTTGTAAAGCTGCCAATACCAGCAGTGATTTCATCAGATCATTTACAAAACAAAGTTATTGCCATTGGCGATTGCCATATAAAAAGATCACCAGATGTAACAAAATGGATATATATGTATAAACAAGTCTAAATTGAAAACAACGTTCAAACCTATGATTGCGTTGGATAAAAACCGCAATTTTTATACGTGTGCATGCAAAACAAATTTCTTGGTAGAGGGGTCTAAATACAGCACAAACAACATTTTCCAAAAGACCAAAAAATTGAAAAAGTATATTTTAACAAAACGCATTTGACTAGCAGGTCGAACAACTGATGTTCTTAAACCCTGCTGACTGCCATTGGCGATTGCCAAATAAACGGATCACAAGATGTAACAAAATGGATCTTATAATAATTTATTACCAAACAGAAAACAATAAACTTGCGGGAAAGATGGTATACCGCAAACATGAGGTGCAAAAATTTGTACACCATATCCGGATTTCGACAATTAATGTCTCTTCAGTGATGTTAGGAATCGAAACGGTATTTGGAAGGCCATATAATTTACCTCAATTTAGGATAGACTCTTGAATTTTGAAAGAGTCGAAATAGGATGAACGGATCATATAAACCCGAAGGCAAATATAATACAAGCCCAAACGAAAAAATATAAACAAGTCTAAATTGAAAACAACGTTCAAACCAATGATTGCGTTGGATAAAAACCGCAATTTTTATACGTGTGCATGCAAAACAAATTTCTTGGTAGAGGGGTCTAAATACAGCACAAACAACATTTTCCAAAAGACCAAAAAAGTGAAATAGTATATGTTAACAAAACGCATTTGACTAGCAGGTCGAACAACTGATGTTCTTAAGCCCTGCTGACTGCCATTGGCGATTGCCAAATAAACGGATCACAAGATGTAACAAAATGGATCTTATAATAATTTATTACCAAACAGAAAACAATAAACTTGCGGAAAAGATGGTATATACCGCAAACATGAGGTGCAAACACATGTACACCATATCCGGATTTCGACAATTAATGTCTCTTCAGTGATGTTAGGAATCGAAACGGTATTTGGAAGGCCATATAATTTACCTCAATTTAGGATAGACTCTTGAATTTTGAAAGAGTCGAAATAGGATGAACGGATCATATAAACCCGAAGGCAAATATAATACAAGCCCAAACGAAATATATATATATATATATAATTCGTCTAACATTTATCCCAACAATGTTAGCAAATCTTTGTTCTTCCCTCAGCGGGATTCTTCCCATACTTCTGTGACATTGTAACAACGCCGATGCACTATGTCTAGCGCCCTAGACCATTCGGCTATATAAAACATAGCTTTGGTTAGTCGAGTAATGTCTTTGCTCGTCGGCTTAATCTAGGGTTGTAACACAGTACATGCTGAGATGGTGTACCTTTCTGATAAGCTATGTTTTGTGTGTCGCAAAGGATGATAATGTTACCTACCGTGCCGCCACATCAAATATTAATTTTATGATACGTGTGACGTGTGAAACAATTTTGAATGTAGATAGTTAACTGAAAACTTCAAGTACAAGTAAATAGTGTTTTTCTTTTTTTAGATTTTGAAATTAAATTTGAGTGTATGAGTGTATATTGATCCAACAAATTTAGTTGCACAACTCTACTACTGTTTCTAGCAGATTAAAACAAAAATGGGATGTATATTTAGTGGACGTGTGGAGCCTGCTGCAGTTCAGAAGTCGTGTGAAGACATTCTGGATGATGGTGAGATTTTTAAACAATGCGTAAAAGAATACACAGATAAAGAAAAGATGGGAAAAAACGGAAAAAAGAAAGACAGATAGTTAATCCTTAGAATTAGTGGAAGAACAGAAACACAGAAAAAAATATGTGAAGATAGGAAATTTTGAAGAAGATTCAACTTTACGACGGGAAAATGTTACAGCGTCGACCGACAGTTCTACTGCCATTCCTTCAAGGCCAAGATTGCACTCTAATGGAGAAGAACCTTTCACTGTGAATCAGGAACAAATGACAAGCTTTGATAAAGAAGATACAAAATATGTAAAATATGAAAAGAAAAAGACAGGAAAAGGAGAAAAACAGCAGAAAAAAAACAAATGTACAATACAGGCATAGCAAAAGAAGTACATAATTCAATTGAAGATATCGCAAATGAGGTAAAACGTCCAAACACAAACGACGAAGAAAAACTTACAAAATGTGAGAATACAGCTTGCACTGCAGACATTAACGATGAAATATTTCGTGAAAATAAAATAAAATCGGCGGAAGAAATATCAAATGGAAAAACAACATCACAACTGAAGGAGCCAGATGCATTTCGAGATGTACAGAAAAGAGAAACGGGCGTCATAGTTTATCAAAACACAACTGACAAAGAACAATGGGATTTCTCAGATATAGACAGATATGCCTTACAAGTATGATGTCACATCCTGTTAGCACTCACCATTCATCTTCTTTTGGTGCGGGAATCTTGGGACAGACATTTTTTACGACTGTAATGAAATAAAATCAAAGTTATCAGATATATTTTTTTTTATTTTCTACGGAAACCAACACCTTTTTTCATTTTCCTTCAAAGCATTTTTTTTCAATAGTATTAGAATCCAACAATTTATTTAAAAAACAACAATGCCCAATAACCGAGACAATTTTTGTCTTCTGCAAAATAGTTAGAACACAGTAAAAACTATATTCCTTTTAAATGTTTTTTTTTCTCTGTTTGTATAATTGCTTTTAAGGTGACTTTAAGGTCTGATATATTTAAATCAATAGAAGAATAACCGATCAATGGTTGGAAAGATCTTATTCTTTGCTTCATCCACAACAGGCAGCTGGAACCCCATATTTTTTCCTATCACTTATACGACAACACAAGCTAGCATGCGAATCCGTCTTGTCCCCATTTAACTTAAATTGCTGAAAAAAATCTTTTTTTTTGGAATTGTTACCTATCATATTTATAATTGAATCGAGGACGACTCATTGCAATATATATACTATGAATTAATTTTATTTCCTTGGAAATCAATCTTCGTGGATTGAGGAAAACTTTTTCTTAGATGTCTTATTTCGTCGTTTTGCCAAAGTCTGCATACGAGCCTATTGAACATTTGTTATTGGTCGAACATTAAAATTCGTGGTTCACCTATACTCACGAAATCCACGAAAATTGGTATCCAACGAATAATAATAAATCCACATTATACTTTATTTTCATAGTTTGTATTATTTTGCTCAATTGGTATAGTATATCCATCTTTGGTTGGCATAGTTTTTTATACATTACTTATACATAAATACGGATGTATTGTAGGCAACATATCATACAGAAATGTCTGTTGAAACACTTGCAAATCAGTTATCAAATCCTGTACAGAATACATTGGAAACTGTCAGAGCAATTTACGTGTGGATAACAAACAACATTAGGTATTAGTATAGCTTTATTTCCTTTCCCCTTTGGCTTGATCGGGCAATTTTACAAGGTATGTGTTACGCAAAATGATTCTATTGAAATGGTAAAAGAAAGATAACTCTCACATGTAAAAAGGAGATTCATCATAATACTAGTATGTAAAACTAACTTTTTTACTTTTCTAGTATTACGTAAATAAAGTAAAACTCGTACGCCTCTGATAGAATAACTAACAGGAACATATATTGTTGGGTGATGTAACATTTACCTAATATATAAGACCACTTAAATTACAAGTTTTACACACTTTCTACAAGTTAATATTTTGATAGTCACACGCACTATTCACCAGATGATACACGTTTACCTTCCATTATTAACAAACTTGATTAAGTCCTATGATCTTTTTTCATAAAGCTGATCATTCTGACAAATTATTCATTCAATCTGTTAAACCATTATAATGAAGAAGAGGTATCTAATTTTTCGTTATGTGTCCTAATTGTTAGCCATCTTGGATTCAAATGGGCATCAAAATTACAAACTTAGTACAAAATCATCACACAATTACTCAAGGACATTATCCATTCATTCTTTCAAACTGTTTCAAAGAAGAAGTTTTTTGCATGTATTTTCCATAGGGTCCTATGTTAAATATGTTTCACAGTTTTCGCCATTTTGGGATTCCAATCAATACAAAAATTTGAAAAATGTATGGAATATTCCTGCAAAGTAGAAGTTGCTTTTGTGTTATGGTTTCTGCCATGTATATTTTTAAAATTTTACCCAATCAGAATAGGATTCTAGGAACATTGCTGCAAAGTTTGGTTCCATTCGGATCAGTTGTTTCAAAGAAAAAGATTAAAATATAAAAAGTAAACAACGGAAGAACGGACGGACGACGGACGCAAAGTAATAGGAAAAGTTTACCCTAGCTTTAAGTCAGATGAGTTTTAAAAATTGGACATAGTCGTCACTTAAATGCAATAAATCCTATAAAATTCGTCTGACAATTGATCTTGACTTTTTGTCATTTAATTTTTCATTTGGCCTTTCAACTATCTTGATTCGAGCGTCACCGATGAGTCCTATGTAGAAAAAATCTCTAGTCTGGCGTACAAAATTAAAAGCCTGGTATCTTTTATGAGTATCTAAACATATCTGCCCCTTTCACATTTTCTGTATCTGTAATGATCAAGACAAAAGGGAAAACACATTATAACCTATGTTTTTTTTTCAGCCATAACGGCCATGTTAGTAGCTTGGACATTTGAGATCAACAGACAATTATTTGAACTATAGATACAAAAGAGGGACGAAAGATACCAGAGGGACAGTTAAACTCATAGATCGAAAACAAACTGACAACGCCATGGCCAAAAATAAACAGACAAACAGACAAATAATAGTACAGATGGCACAACATAGAAAACTAAAGACTAAAAATTATGAATATGGTCGAGCTTGTTTCCAATTGGCTCAGAGAATAATACTTTTGTAAAAGTTAATACACGACGAACGATGACAACGGACAACAGACTCCACATTAAGTTATAACAATAGGCAAAACAAAAGAACAAAAACAAATAAAACAAAAACAAAAACAAATAAAACAAAAACAAAAAAGCAATATAAAAGGCAATAGAGAAGAACCAATGGTCAGCGGACATATGCGAGATGAAAATCTAACCAGAACAAGTATTCTTTTAGTAAAATATTACTGGTTTATGTCAAGAATCTGGAAGAAAATAGACCTAAGCAGAACCCTATAAATCATATAAAAGACAAGTTCAAGATGCAGTTGAACCTATTTTTATGAGAGAAAAAAAAACCAGAACAAGAAATCCCTCTTTGGTCAAATTCACTTAATCATTTGATTTTACGTGTTTCTAGAATACGCTTCGCCAGCTTCAGGGAATTAGCTTCGCTCCTCCATTCAGTACCTAAAACTGTGTTTTAAAATATTTTTTGTTGTTGTAAAATTATAAAGTAAAACTCCCAGGGCGCGACAAGGCAATTTAAATGGAGAAACACGGTTTGAATGCACATATAGAAGTGCATATTAGAAGATGCCTCAACTCTATCTTTCGTTTGCATAAATGATATATTTGTTCATGTAAAATGTTTTGTTAATAGATATGATACAGATGAATTAAAGGGTGATAATAAAAGACTTTCGGATCCACAAGTAGTTCTAAAACGTAGAACGTGTGTGTGCACTGGGTATGCAAAGTTGTTTGAAGCCTTATGCAGGTATGTAACAAGCACCATTAATCATGACATTTGCTAAGTCAGAAAATTTTAAACATTTAGACTTTTGGCTTCCACTAAAAGTCTATTGAAAAAATTATGATAGTATGTACATATTGAAAAAAATCATGATTGTCAACCAAAATTATCCAATACTCTACCCGAAAAAACTACCGAAAAGTCCGGTTCAAATATTATATTTTGAACAAAGTTTTTTTTTTCTTTTTGTTTAGGTCTGAACCAGTAAAAGTAATATATGAAAATAAAAATTGTTAGCAATATCAGTGGGGTTATATTGCTGAATCTGAAATTTCATCCGGAACATCATGAAATTCATACCTAAGCATCAAGCACAATGCTGGTTATAATTGTGATTTGCTTCGATCTATATGAATTCATAAGTATACCCATGCTACGATACGAAGAAGATGGTGGTATATGGTTATTGACCCGCCCGTTAGTCAGTCTGTCAGTTCGTCCGTCAGTAACTTTAGTTTTCAGATGATATCTCTAATAATTTATATTGGATTGCAACCATACTTTGAAATATGGTCTCATATAATGAGAAGAAGAAACTATTGATTTTGATGTCACCATTTTAAAGGTTAAGGTATCAATATTTCATGTCAGCACTGAATATCTGGCTAACAATTTTGTACACAACACGCATCAGTAGCGTTAATATAAAATGTTGTAAGTTACTGGTTTTATTTATACCCAGTTGACGAGCTACAAATAAAGTTATGAAATTAAGAATATAATTATAACCCACGCAACGAAGTTGCGAAGGATATAATGATTTTGATCCGTCTCAACTCCTCTGAAACCACACAACAGAATTTCAAGAAACTTTGTACAAAATGAGGACATCCTATATATGTAGATGAGCATATCGACAGGAAACTATGATCCTTTTTTTTCTACGCGTTATGCCCTTTGAACTTAGAATTTTGGCTTAAATATACTACTGCAACAGTTTGTATGAAACTGTGTAGACAATAAGGACATAATATGTAGCTGTGCATATCAACAGGAAATTTTGATTCAACTTTTTTTTTCCAGGAGTTATGCCCTTTTGAATTTAGAATTTTGCCGGAAATACACTACTGCATTTGTAGTTAATGAGGACATAATATTATATCCTCATTAACTACAAAGTTTCATGAAATTCTATTGTGTGGTTTAAGAGGAGTTGCGATGACAAAGTGTTGCAGTAGTCAGAAATTGTTATCAGTTGACTTTTTTAAGGAGTTATGTGTCGTTGAACTAAGACATCTGATGAGATTTTGTTTGCCAAGTGACAATGTGGGGCGTGGGGTATGCGAGTGTGCTTACAAAGGTTTTTTAATTAACGCTGCCTTAAGGAGTAAGAGCAAAGACTTGTCGGCTCGGAGTTAGATTAATGTGTCCGGGTAGCTTAACGTGTCTTTTCTCAAACGGTTATCTTGTGAACTAACAAAATAAAAGCCGCCTCATTATTTCAGTCTTAGGCAAAACGGGTTTAACATGTTCTCGAATCCAGAATATGAATTTGATTTGCCGCTGGACGTTAAACTGTCATCCAACGACATCATCTAATTTAAAAAAATATATTTTCACTGAAATAATTTAGTTATTCATGTTGTTTTGAAGATACAATAGAATATGATAAAAATAGGTTTTCTAAAATAAATGGCTAGTACTACAGACCATCTTTGTTCCCTTCAAATGTGAAAAATTGGGTAAGCATAAATAAGATAGATTAATAATTTTATCATATTTCTGTACTATGTCAATTTTGGTCTGTACTCCGAGTGGTTTATCTCAAATGACTAATCTTGATAATACATTTTGCGAGCGCAAATGCTGGCAATAAGTATAGTAGCCACTTGTCGGGTTTAAGCCTCTTCAATATGCAATTAATGTTAAAGGATTTTTGTCATTCGTCATGAAACCGTAAGAAGATATCTTATTGACAATTCACGTTATAAATCACAGAAGGACAGAAACACCATGATAAAATAAGAATGGAAACAATGCTAAACAAACATATCACATAACTCTTAAGATTAAGCTAACTAATCCAATCAAAATGGTGTTTCACTTCATAACATTAATATAACATATACTGTGAAAGTACTTTTCTTCGTGGGTATCAATTTTCGTGGTTTGAGCAAAAGTTACATGTTCGTGGGTTCTTAAATTCGTGGATTTTACTTTTCTAGAAAAAAAATAGAGTTAAGAATTTGAAGCCATCAGAAACGAAGATTCTTGAAAATAATCCTAGTAGTATGTTGTTTTATAATGATTTGTGGACATTGCAAAATAAAGTGTTCATTTTCACTTACTTGTTCGTCTTTCATAACTGACAACATTCAACATATATTTTAAAAGATAGTTAATTTTCGGAAATAATTTGATTCATCTATGCTTAAAAATTGTCTCGATTGAAGTAAATTGTAAAGTAAACATTTTAATTGTTGAACACGTGTAATCAGAAGTGATGACACTAATTAACCCGAGATCGAATGATCAACAGATTGACGATTATCAAAGGTGTTAAATTGGCCATAAACACGTGCTTAAAGAAAACGGTTAAATAAACAAATGCTATAAATTTATGACATGAAAAGCAAGCCCAATAAAATCCTGCCTGAAGTTGTATGGTGTCTTCCCGATTGTCCCACTTTTTGAAATTACAGGTAAAAAAGTAATGAAATTTTGTGGGACAATCGGGAATATATTTGTGGGACAATTGGGAAGTTTAAATGTGGGACAATTGGGAATTGTTTTGATAGTGATTAATTTGTTTTTATAGTCTGTGTTAGTTAATTACAAGTTACTAATCACTGTAACTTATAAAATATGAAAAAAAAACATGAACAAATAATAATACTAACATATTATATTTTGCACATACATGTAGTAGGAACAATTGAAGTATAATCAAACATGGAATATAATATGAAATCATAAAATTTTAGTCTTAGATGCATGATTTTTTTAATTAGTTTTTATTGGCTTTGAACTAGCTGTCAGTAACTGCGAATACTCTAAGATCTGTACTTGCTGTCTTTGTTGTGGGGATGTATAAGTAGCCGCCCACGTCCATGTCCACTCTGTGATTTGTTAAATGTATTTCTGTCTGTACCCATCTGATGAGACAAGCCTTTTTCAACTTATTTTTTTTAGTTTATTCTTATGTTGTACTGTAACATCACTGTCCCAGGTTAGTGGGAGGATTGGCGCCTTCAAATAAGTATAACCCCGCCACGTTCTGTATGTGTCTGTCCCAAGTCAGGAGCCTGTAATTCAGTGGTTGTCGTTTGTTACTGTGTAATACATTTGTTTTTTGTTCATTATTTTGTACATAAATTCGGTCGTTAGTTTTTCTAGTTTGAATTTTTTTACATTATTCAGATGGGACCTTTAAAGCTGACTCTGCTGTATGGGCTTTGCTCATTGTTGAAGGCCGTATTGTGACCTATAGTTGTTAATTTCTGTGTCATTTAGTCTTTTTTGGAGAGTTGTCTCATTGGAAATCATACCACATCTTTTTTTTATGGAAGTCTGGTTCTTCTTTATAGTTGGTGACGAGTCCTGTTGACTGCACTTTATGGCAAAGACACTGGGAATATTGGAAAAACAACCTTTGATATTGATTCTTAGAACGGCTGATCTGGCAGAATTCTAGACAACAGCTTCGTTATCAAAAAAAGGAAGTTGTTGGGTTCAGGTGAATCTGACGTTGGGTGTTAGTAGTCTTCAATAGTGCAGAGAATGTTGTATTAATGTCCTCTGACTTCCCTAGTAAAATTGTAAAGTCTTCTGGAAAAATCTCTCCATCAACAAGTTCGTGTAAAGTGTACAATGTAAATGAGTTTATACCTTTTTTTTTTTTAAATTGCATGCATTATTTATTCAAAAACTTTAGAGAAAATGTATAATTAAAATTACGGTATTGAAATTTGTTTTATAAATAACGTAACATTGTAGATATATTTCATAAATCAGAAATAATTTTTTTTTAATCAAAAGTGCATTAATCTAATGATTTAAAAAACATTTTTTTTATACTTCTATAAAATTAATAATAAATGTGCAATAAATTAATTCTTGTTTATTTAGCAAAACAAACAACAGTTACATTGTTTATCTAAGAACATTTTACTTCATAAAATAATGTGGGACAATCAGAACTTTTCATGTGGGACAATCAGAACTCTAAAATTTTAAAAAGTGGGACAATCGGGAATAAACCAGTTGTATATATAGTTCATAGTGCGTTTGCTGATGTTCGATGCATTCTCTAGATTATATGCCCGTATCCATGCAATCAAACCTAATGGGGAGTTTTTCATGTCTTAGTTTGGACAACAGTTGTTATATTTCGTTGGACACTTGAATTCGTGGATAAAGCCATCCACGAAAACCACGAAAATTGGTACCCCACGAATAAAAGTACTTTCACAGTATATGCAAGTTTGTTTAAATGTAACTTAAAAGGTTATTTCTTGGCGTTTTGTTCATTTTAGTTATGCATGTGTGGAAGTAAAATTTTTACAAGGATTTTCAAAAAGTTCCAAATATTCAGCTGAAAAAACATTGACATTGGACAAGAAATTAGATCACGCTTGGAATGCCGTAAAAATCAATGAAAAATGGTTTCTACTTGACTGTACATGGGGAGCTAAAGAACGGATTCATGGCCAAGAGAGTCAAAATGGTTTTAATTTCCTTACAGACCCACACCATCTTATATACACACACTTTCCATATATGAATGATAATCCAATAAAAAGCAGTGAATGGCAACTACTTCCAACACCAATATCAATAGATGATTTTAGCAAGAGTATTGAACCAACATCTCAAGCAATGCTATGGAAAATATATCCTAAATCTCATAAGCATGGAATTATCGACATGACAGAACCATTGGATATAATCTTGCTGGATACAGATGAAAAACTGTTGAGAATTAAAGCTGTTTTTCTTAATATGAATAACGGAAACCGTGAAGAAACCGGATGCGATTTCGCTCGTAAAGAATCCAGATCAGAATTACATATCAAAGTACGACCTAGGTCGTATGGGAAATATTTACTACAATTGTATGGGCAAACTAATAAAAATACAAACAAGAATATTATGTTGATGAAATATATTATAAAATCTTTATGTATTCATGACCTCAGACCATTTCCACAAGAAAGTGGATTATGGGGGATCAAACCAGAGGCTTATGATTGCGGTTAAAGCAAGGGGAATAGTGTTCCAGTCCTGCAAAGTGTTAAGAGGGAAACGGAAATTCGTTTGCAGACTACAAAAAGAACTCCCGCATTAGTGCAACTCCATTCTGCTCAAAATAATTTAAATGGCGATGAAGGATATGTATTTGCAGAAAGCAAAGGAGATGTTTTGATTATTAAGGTTCGCTTTCCGTTCATTGACTATTATAAACTTACATTATACCTGAAGCCAGTAGTGAATGGAAACGATACGTACCAGGACATGGCCATTTTCATGATCTATTGCACTGAACCTTTGGTACCATGCATTCCGTTTCCAAAAGAAATTTTCGAAAACTGACGAATACAACTGTAAAATAATCGAACCTGTCTACAGACAAATCCCTACTTGTACAAAAATCAGATTTAGGATGAAATCTAACATACTGCAAATATCTAATGTTTCAGGGAAAAGAATGGAAAAAATAGGCGACGAATGGATTGTAGACATAATATTTCCTGATGCAGGTGAAGCGGTCAACATCAATGGGAATGTTTCTCAAGACGGAAACTGTTGGTGCTTGTCTGAATATGAAACCGTGGAAAGTTCAAATGGAATAATGAAAAGTCTTTTCAAGATACCTGGTGAAAACATGAAAAAAATCAATTGAGCAATGCATCGAACAGACGGAAGATTTAAAAATTGCAAACAATAATCATTCATCAGAGAGTAGTAGACTTACAACAGACGCACAAACAGTTAATGATCCAAGAACAAAATATGCTAAGCAATGGGGATTAATACCAAAATCACACAAATGTTTCAATATAAGAATTGATGACGAAGTTGAAATAACAGCAGTAGATAGTATGAACAGATTAGTTTTCAATGTCGTTTTTTTTCTCGAATCAAGGGAATTTGTTAAAATGAACGAATATATCTTTCTACGAAAAGAACATCCCAAAGAAGATAAAGTAACAATTCGTCCACCGTTAGCTGGAACATATATATTGCGACTATTTGGGCATATTGACAAAGATAGCAAAACACACGAACTTTTACTAGATTATACCATTATATCTTCGATGAAAGGGGGACTAGAGGTAAATCCATATCCCTCTCACAAAGGCTTATGGGGTATAATGCCTGAAGCTTTCACTCTTGGACTTCACAACGACAATGCATATAATATTTCTTCTTTTCATACATGTAACAGAAATTTAGAGATCTGTTTTCGCACTGAACAGAAAGTCTACTCTTTATCTAAACTAAAACCGACGAATAATACATTACTTGATGCGCAATACTATACTATTTTAGAGTGTGCAGACCATTATTTGAAAGTGAAAATAAATTTTCCTTTTCAGGACTACTACAAACTTACTTTATTGTTTAAAAAGTCTACGGAGGAAGCTGACGAACGGCGGTACTTTGAAATGGCTTATTTTTTAATAGACTGTCGTGAACCAAGTAAACCATGCATGCCATTTCCTATGACATTTGATTCCACTCAGACATTTTCATGTAGTTTAATTGAGCCTTCGTCGAGATTTTTACCAGCACAATCAACTATAACTTTTAGAATTAAATCACCAATTATGATAACATTTCAACTGGCTGGTGAAAAGATGGAGAGAATAAACGACGTATACATTGCTATTGTAACTACACCAAGTCAATGTGATGAATTTCGTTTAAGTGGAAAAACAGAGAATGAAGACAATTTCTGGGTTGTATACGAATACGAAATTGTATCTAAAAGTGGAAAACGTAATAATGGGACTAATATTTCAAATATCATTCAGGAAAGCAAAGAATGGGATTTGATGTGTAACTATATCAACATAAAGATGTCCCGATAACAGACATTGCAAAAGAATTAGGGATACAGCCGTTTTCCCACAAAGGAGAGGTTATCATGGTTCATGAATGTGTTGATATTATGATTTCAGATATTAAGAATTGCCTTCACAACTGTACCGCTACATTGAACAGACTCTCTAATGTCACGGATATACGAACAGAATACATTTTCATTCGCAAAGAAAAAAACAGGGAAATTGCAGTCTCAATTAGTCCGCCTCCTCCTGGACTCTACTGCTTGCATATATACGGACATAGCAGCCCCGAGGCAGAAAATCTTCCTCTTTTACTTCAGTACACTATAAAGTCAGATGGGGCCGACGAGGATATATCATTTCCAAAGAACGATGGTTTATGGGAATTTTTGTCCGACGCCAACAATTATGGATTTCAAAATACTGGTGCTCTTTTAGTGCCGGTGAAGTATAAAGTAAAAGGAGAGGCAAAACTTTGCTTTCCGACATACCAAAACCTAAAACGGTCAGTAAAATTAACTTCCGAAGGAAATCCGCCAGACGGAGTAAAATGCACACTGGTCGACAGTGATAATCATTCATTTAATATTACTTTGAGATTGCCTTTTACAGGATATTATAAACTAACGATATTCTCCGAAACAGATTCCAAGAATCACAAGACAGGGACATTTCTCATAGACTGCACTGAGCCAGCAAATCCATGCCTACCGTTTCCAACAACTTTTGCAGAAACACACGAATACAATTGTGTTCTTATAGAGCCTTTAGACGGTATACTTCCTGCAAATTCTAGCATAACATGTAGATTTAGATCATCTATAATATTATCAGCAATTGTTAATGGACATATGATGACAAAGGCGGGAAGTGAATGGATTATAACAACTACTACACCTAGCACTGGGGAAGCATTTGACATCGCTGGAAACCAGTGAAAACTCTACAACAGATTTATCCATCGGATCACCAGCAGTGATGGTGATACATGGCTGTGTACATTCTGTATATACAACTATATATCACTGAAGAGACATTAATTGTCGAAATCCGGATATGGTGTACAAATTTTTGCACCTCATGTTTGCGGTATACCATCTTTCCCGCAAGTTTATTGTTTTCTGTTTGGTATTAAATTAATAATTAAGATCCATTTTGTTACATCTGTTGATCCGTTTATTTGGCAATCGCCATCAGTCAGCAGAGTTTAAGAACATCCGTTGTTCGACCTGCTAGTCAAATGCGTTTTGTTAAAATATATATATAAGTTATAATTGTTTTAGTACAGAAGTACTGACTACTAAGCTTATGATCAGGATTGTATATCTAAACGTTTATCATATGCATTGTAATTATGTCCCCACAAATTACATGTATCCTAAAATTGATAAAGCATTGAACACCCACCTGCAGTCTACATTTTTGGTTTTTTTTTAATTGGAAATTGACTTATGACAAATATATATATAATTACATATAAGAATTACCCTCCACCGGGCTATTTCAAAAATCCAGGATTCGCCACTGAATCTAACAATTTTACACTATTTTGCAGCAGCAGCTGTATATCGTTTAAATGTACAAGTGTTTTTACATTAAGTGCATTGTACTTATGACCCCTTTTCTGCAGGTGATGTGGGGAATATTTGTAACAGGAAAACCAATTTATATGTCTTATCACTGCATGACACAAATGGCTATGTATAAGAACGCTTTTGTTGCTGTCCTTCATACCCAAATCATATTGAATCCTTGAATAAAGGCGATAGAAGTTTAACGTTATCTTCAAATCTCGTAAATCGATTAGGAAGAGACAAATCAAGGTAGCAAACATTTATATATTTTTTTTATCAGAAAGTGGGTGAACCGCATGAAATCCAAATGGAGCGGGACCGGTAGCGTCGACAGGAAAAACGTCTCCTGAACACTATAACGCTATATCAGCGTATTGAAGAACACAGATGTTGGGTAGATGTATGTTTCTTTATACATCATAAAGCATTTGAAATGCTTGTTTAGTATTCTTACAGAGTTTAGTGTTCAGTTCGATTTCATTGTTTGTTTATTTGTATTTGTATTTCGATTTCTGTCTTTGAATGCTTAAAGGCTAAAACTGTCCATTTTTTTTTAATTTGTAACCATAACGCTTGAATCAGTTTAAAGCATACTTGCGATGAAAAGTTATCATAAATAAAACTGATGTGGCAATAAAATACATTATTTAGTTTACAAATACATTTTATTTGTTTTCATAATATAAATTTCCATATTTGTAAAATGTAAATTAACAGGCTATTTCAAAGTTTAAAACATGTAAAACAATAGTTAAACACACTATTAAGTCATCTGAATTGTATAAGTGGTTCAATATAAATGTGCATACATGATTTAAAATGAATTAAAATGCAATGTTTTATATATCATTGGTACAATAGTAATATATATGTAAAATACTAGCCTTGCACATTAGTATATCCATTTCCAAATAAAAATGAAAAAAGATGGCTGAAGACATGTTTAATTCATTAAAATCTTAATAAAATAAAAAATAATAGATCAATAAATTCACATCAGAAGTCATCAAAGGTACCAGGCTTATAATTTAATATGTCAGACGTGTGTTTTGTCTATATACCTCGTCAGTGGCACTAAAATCAGTTACAACGCTATTTGATGGAGGATCTAGAAACTTTCATTACGAGATCAAAATATCAATAACAAGAATTAAAGGCAAATGTAGACAAGACAGTTAACACAACAATACCATGAAACCAAAAAGGAACAACTACTGATTACCATATTACACTCAAAGAAATGTCATCCACTATCTTTAATAAAGAGATTTATCTCGACTGTACATAGAATACACATTGAATATCGTTACCACCATTTATATCTTTGCCACGAGTGGAACTGGTTGTTTTGGCGCACCTGAGTTGGGACCGGGCTTAGGTTACTACATCTTATGTTTTCTGTGTAGAGTTTTGTGGCCTTTTTTGTCTGTTCATCTTTTTTCCTTTGGTCATGTTGTTTGTTTCTCTTTTATTTTTGATAGACCCCTTGATAGCATCTTACTTTTTTGGAGATCTAAAGCATAGCATCAACTAAATCAATCTGATATTTAAATTAATTATCTAAATGTACTAATACTAAGTTTGCAACTTCCTCAGGCAAATTGGCTGGAGGTAGTTTTCGGCTGTCCTGTTTGAGCCCTTTAAAGATTTGATACGTCATAACTTTATACGTGTTCGGTTTTTGTGACGTTTTTATCGTACCTGATAAGGGGTAACTCATAAATACTGGCATGTGCACTGAAATATGCATCATGTATTTATATATATTTTTATCTGAATGTAAATGCAATATATACATTGCTATGTTTGAGCATTATATATGTGATAATTGAGACAGAAAAAAACATGCTTAACAGCAGTATACCGATGACATAAGAGTGTATCATCTGTAAATTCCTTGTAACAACCTACGATGTCCTTTAGCCCAATTTGTTAAAAAAAATCTTCAGATTTAAAAGCATTTTAATCAAATATTTTCTTTAAAACCTCATAATATCATTTATAAAATATACAATATGACAATACTTATCAAGTGTTTTAAGATGAATTAGCATTTGCATCTTCGTGTTCATTTTCTAGTAAAGATATATTTTGTTTAGACACAATGCTGCCAATTCATTTAACATATTAAACTCAAAGCCTGATGGAAATTAAAGCAACACTATACTGTGTTCTTATGTCGTGCAATATTTGGTGAGTGCATGTCAAATATGTAAATTAAAACATTTAAAAATAGCATCTAGATTAATATAAATCTCGTCAAGAAAACTCAGTCATTCTGTTTCTGCAATGATAAACTCGTAAGCTGGATAAGCATGATTAGCATGAATAAACCTGCAGTCTGTGATTGTTCATTTTGTAGTAAAGGATTTCAAAAAATGAAAATGATAATGACTAACTACTACTGCAGCACCGTTTTTTAGATGGTTCCTCACCTTCTGGTGTAATACCTGGTTGTATAACATTTCCTATTTCCCGCCTTAATGTCATTCTGCCCACTGATTCTTGGTGAAGCACACGAGCAATGTCTTTGAACATTTCATAAATGCCCATATTATCTTTACATGAAATCTGATAAACACCTGACAAAACGTTCCCACATTCTCGTTCAAAATTTTCAATGTCTGCTTTATCGACTTGGTCCTCGCCTTCACCGTCCGCCATATTGCCACACAAAAATATTTTCGCGCCTTCGGCATTTATCACAATGTCAAGGATATATTGAGACAGAACTGTGAATGTTTCTTTGTTTTTCACACTATAACACAACAATGCAGCGTGTGCACCTCTGTAAAAGCTGGACCCAATGAAACTCATTCTCTCCATACCACCTGTATCCCATAACGTTACCTGAAATTAGAAAGTACATTTGATTATGATTCTTGACAACAGTAATTGGTGGTTGATTGATATCATTTATCTCTCTGTCATCATCAAGTTCTAAGAGTTAGTTATGCGTGTATTACATAATTCCGTTATGAAAGCCTGTTTCGATGAACCATGTGTTGTTGTTGATGATAGATGTCCTGCAAGCATTTACGAGCATCATTGTAAAACTACCATACTTATTTTATTAAATGAAACCAGTTGATATATCGTGAGAAAGAGATTAAAACACAGCAATCGAACCTTTTTAGGGAAAGACTGGTTGAGATTTAAAAAAAAACTTACTTGAACCACGCCACAAAGGCAATATTATGGATATTGGAAATGACTGTATAAATCAAAGACGTACATACAAACCCTCAGAGACAAACCCGCATACTAACGTTCTTATGCACGTGTTTGCATTAACTATGGATTTAACTGATTTAAGGATTTGAATAATTGCTTGTTGCACACGTCCATTCAAATGACCAATGATACTCAAAATATCAAGGTGACGGAAATCACTGGTGGAAAGATGAGGAAAGTTGTATGCATTATTTCAACCATATTTTAGTCTTCCGTTGAGGTATGATGGTGGACAAAATACATGATATCGCACTGTTGCATATATTTGTACAAGCTACTGCAGTACTTTAGAATGATAAGCATTTTTTATTTTAAAAAATGCATTTTCTGCATTCAAACGTACAAACGTCCTTATACTATTTGTACTGTTAAAAAGCAATATAATGGGAAAAACATACATAAATTTTATAGCAGTTTGTTCATGTTAGAGTTATTTAATTTTGCGTATTGTTTGAAGTAAATAAACTGACAAGTGTCACCTACATGTTAATTAATTACAGATCATTATAGCACTAATTATACAAGTAAAAAAGATCCCACCTGCAAATGTTTTACAGACTTTATTTTTCGACTTTCTTTGTAAAACAAATCTGTCTTATTAATCCTTAATCATTCATCTTTTAGACATACAAAAATACACTATAATGTATGTAGTGCAGATCTATCATTTCTATAGAATATTAAGTATCTAACATACTCATACTATTGAGGTCTGGGGTTGTGTAATAAAAGTCTGCCATATTGTGTAAGTAAAAAAAAAGATTATTTAGTCGAGAAAGATTGACATGAAAGAGGAGTAGTTTCCAAATAAAAACCCAGTCTTTGTCTTGTTTGTCAATTTCACTGGTATTGCAGCATTAACGATAAGTAAAGTAGCAAGGACATTTAATACTAAAACTAGTGACATGTATATTTGAAAAAGTGCTAAGATATCACCCAATTTCTGTGCATATTTACATAGACATTAGACGTATTGAGAACTATATACGTCTGTGTATGTAAATTAAATAGCCCAAGCGACCACATGGCAAAGAATTGGAACAATAGTTACAATCATTCCAACAATAGTATTCACAATGAAAAATGTTCAAAACACCAAACTACAACCACTGACAACGGTTTTTTCGATAAGCATTCAAAAATGTACAGAAAAAACTCAGAAAACATTATTTCGTTGTGCACCGAATATTTCTCTGATCTAATATACTAATGCATCCATAAAAAATCCCCATCTTGTGTTTCCTATTTGGATTTTCTGAAAATAGAATTAAGCCAGACGGTTGTTAGACAGCAGTTCTCGCCGTGTAAATAGTTACATAATAGGTGCACAACGAGTATATATGTGTTCATATAGTAATAATTTTCCTCTATTAAAAGAGGCATATACACAATCAAAGACACTACATCACAAGAATATAACATCATGGTATGGTTCAATAAATGTTATTTTTAAAATACTTGGTATTGACTATACAAATGCCATAAATGCTCCAATTTGTGAATCCTTATACAAATTTAAGAAATATATACAAACCAAGCTATCAATATTGTTCATTAGCTGTTGGAAAAAACAAATAGATAAATTTTCAGACAGTAAACTGAAAACCTACCTTTTATATAAAACAAATTTTGGTTTTGAAAAATATCTAACATTGATCAAGAATTTTGAACTTAGAAGAAGTATTACTAAATTACGTGTATCTTCTCATAGATTACAAATAGAATTAGGTAGATATCAGGGTATTCCCCGAATTAACAGAATATGTAATAAATGTTCTTCCAATACTGTCGAAGATGAGGCTCATTTTCTATTTGATTGTAACACATTTGAGGATGATAGAAATTGTATGTTAGCTAGTATTGCAAAATATAATTCTTATTTTAATCATATGAGCAGTCAAAGCAAAATTATCTGGTTATTTAGTGCAGAAAATGTTGAGTTACTTAAAATAATATGTAATTTTATATACAAACATCTTCCTTAGTGAAGATTAGTTAAAGGAAATCTATGTGTGTATATACATTTGATTGGACATAGAAAATTATATTCATCTAAATATCACAAATACTAGCCGATTAAAAAAAAAAATAATTGTTAAGATATATTATTTATTCAAATGTTCTCTTATATCCTTGAGGCATCGTCCCCTGGTATCAACTGCATTCAAGTTACCTATGATGCTTCCTTGTTTGCTTTTGATACAGGTAGGAAAGAGACATTTACACACATTTTACATGCCTATGGCCCATAAGGTATCGCCCCCTGGTGTCAGCTGCCTTTAGGAAACCATAATGCTTTCCTATTTGCTGCTGACACAGGATGAGTCATGGACATGCTTAATTTCTACTTTCTTTTTGGCTAATTATTATATGTTTAATTGATCCAACTTTTTGTGTACTATACATATATGGATATCTATTTTTCTTTTTTTCTTTTTGGGCTGCTTGTTTGTTATCTATATCAACCACACTTGCAATAAAATGCATTAGTATTAAAAAAAAAAAACATACTATAGATTCTTTATCTACGTATTCTTTAAGAACTTAAATAGTTCTCGTTTAACTTTTTTTTTTATCTCATTGTTTGTATTGTATTATGAAAAATTATTGATGTTGTAATGTTTATGCCCTTTGGGGCCCATAATTGGAAATAAAATATCTTATCTTATCTTATCTTATAGTTTTTCAAAATTTAATAGAACCGTCTAAAACATATGAGCTATGGGGAATGTAAATTGATTACGATTGCAGTGTCAACAATATTTGTCTCCAGAATAACCGTCATGAGCCCCGCCCGAAACCTAATGAAACAGCACTTCGGATTAAAACTATATTGAACAGGCAATATGGACATCTGGTAAAATGATAATGTATTTGAAATCAGATTTGAATCTTTTAATTGCACATTAGAAATTAAATATGTTTGTAAATATGCTAAAAGATCTATGTAATGGGTTCATGTTATGTTGTAATTTGTTACATCACAATTTACTCTTTGTTAGTGACATACTCTAACTTAAAGATACTACTTCTAAATGGTAGCATCTTAAATGTGCAATCAATCCATGTCACTCGTCGCTTCTGAAAAATGGTAATCAACACATGTCAATTACGAACCACTAACAATCCAAACGAATTCCTGTAAAATGGTGTAGCAATTACTGGAAAATGCTGAAAAATACATTCCACAATTACCATAAGGCCTTACAGTACTCTCCAGAGTAAAGGAACTTAATCATATTCATATCGCATGCTTCTTATCCTATAAGTGATGATTTATAGAACAAAATTAGGCTGAATTATTACATGGTTAACATTGTTCAATAGTAAATTATACCTCTTGATATCATAACGCTCTTATCTTCCATATAGACTGTTTGGCTTCTAAACCATGTCTCAACAGTATGAAGTATAGTTTTGCACAAAGTAAAGTTTGATGTAATGTCAGTTTTAGTTGTATATGTTCTACTATTGAGAATAACGTGAACAATGCAGATAGTGTCATTTTCTCGTCATAAATGTAATTTAAACATTGTGACTTTGCATGTCTGGCAAATCGAAGACTTCTAGTTTCACACATTAATATAAGAAAAGAAAAGAAAAAAAAAAACCTAACAATTTCTGTCGTCCATTAAGGAACAACACAACTTAATAACTACTATAAACTTTAAAATACTTTGACAGTACTTGACCTTAATATCAAATATAATTTGTTTATAACATTTAATACCATTCACCATTTAAACGACGTTATTTTCTAAGCCTTTGATGTTAAGCTAAATATATACACGGACATTAGGATAATTATTTAAAATGCATATTTTCCGCATAAAAATTACCATACCTCGATCTAAGCACACGCTAAAAAATGAATTTGTGTGTTGCAATCAAACTTTTTGAATACCTCGTATCTGGTGAGAAACTTGAAAGGTTACATGCATACAATTTAAGCCGTGCATGCTAATACTTTTAGCACTTTATCATTAATCTGATCATTGGGTATCAGGTTGTTAAATATGATACGAGATCGATACTTAATCTGATTGAGTATTTATATATAAGTCCATATTATGTACTGTCATATCTGTACAGATAAGGAGTTTATTATCTACATGATCTATGCGCATCTTGAGTAAACACTTTAAATAAACATAATAAATAATCTGTATTTCCGTTTTTTAACTAGGATTCACTCTTCATTTCCGCAATCTATTTACAAAGAATTTCCTTCGTAACTTTTTTAAAAGTCTCAAAGTTTGAAAATGTTTAAAAACCTCTGATTCAAATTATAAGTACACAGCATTAGTGAAAATTGAAAGGATATGGAGTAATTGTACATGGGACAAAATCGGACACAATACATAGAAAAAATAAAAAATTCTCAATGAACAGGGCTTTTATAGCATGTATGGGTAAAAGAAAATGTATGACATTTGAAGACATCACATAGTCTCGGGGCAATTGGTGCGTTATAAATCATACCTGCTTGCGTTTTTAGATACTGGAAGCTGGACAGCTCACTTCGCAAATCATTTCGGTTTAATTGCCATGGAGTCATTGAACAGTTAATACTTTAATATTTTATAAAGAAAAAAGGACTCGCCAAGGACAGGTGTGCTATGGATAATATTTATGAACGTAGGATATCAATTTAAGCGCGCATGGCACGTGTGTGGAATTCAGATTACCCTAATCGGACACGCCCGAGACAGGAGTCGGGGAAGAGAATCGCAAAAAGGTCTTTGAGCATTAAAACTAAAATGTCCTGAGCAGTTAAATTGTCTTTTGTCAACATTGATAACAATGGACCATGTTGCTCGTGTTATTCGTAGCTTTTGACAGCCATTATTTCGTGATTTGACTCGCGATACCGTAATATGGCATGACCGTTATAGATAGGGTTTTAATTTGTGCTCCCCGAAAATATTTCTGATCCATATATATACTCGCTTTGTACGTCCGTCCGTATGTTCGAAACACATGGTTTCCGGATGATAACTTGAGAGACCCTTGCTTGATAAGAATGAAACTAACACAGATGGAAGATGTACGAAAGAATAATAAGCCTATTGATTTTGGGGTCAATATGTCTATGGTCAAGATCTCTGAAAATATATATATATCTTTTTAAATATAAAAATAAGGAGATGTGGTATGATTGCCAATGAGACAACTATCCACCAAAGTTCAAATGAAGTGGATGTAAGCAATTATAGGCAACCGTACAGTCTTCGACAATGAGAAAAACCCATATCGTAAAGTCGGCTATAAAAGGTGGTTTCGGGGTGGTAACTTTAGTTTCCCTTAGGCTTATAATGAAATTTGTAAAGATATTGAGAAGGGGACGAATCCTATTGATTTTCATGTCAAATGGTCAAAGGTCAAGGTCAACCTTAGACATAAGAATCTTTTCTCTCGGTAAATTTGCAGTTCAAGGAGCACCAACTAGAAGTGCCAGCTTTTCACTTGTTTCACAGCCTATAAGGACTTCTTAACATGAACATCAAACTATTCAGGGGAATACATTCGTACCGAATTAAACCTTCTTTTCTAGTCGAAATCAAAATTATCTAACCCTTTCCCAGTCACCCACATTTTACCCACATTCAAAATGCTACGCATTCTTGATCTCATTCAAATATACATATGACCCTTATCCTTGATTTCGGTCAAAAATAATTTGATAACCCGGACTTCTATAGTACGATACTTAGACCCATGATGAGGTTTGTCTATCTGCAAGGATGGGCGTGCATGGTGTATAAATGTTGGACGTTAACAGTGGCGGATCCAGAACTTTTTGTAAGGGGGGCCCCGATAACTGACCTAAGGGGGGCCGCTCCAGTCACGCTTCAGTGATTCCCTATATAATCAACCAAATTTTTCCTTCCATTTTATGTTTAAGTGCACATTGCGTATTACCAGACATCTATAGTACTATAAATAAGTCGCTGGTTTCACTTACTTTTACGTTTATTCCATGAACACCAAAAGTTTGTGAACACTGGTCCAGTCCAATGGTCGATTTCTTGCCCGGTTCTTCAATAAAAGTCCCGTTCAGAAATCTTCTAAATATAGAACTTTTCCCAACACCGTATTCTCCTAACAGAATTATCTTATACGTTGGCGTGCCTGTTGCCATTGTGTCTCTGAAAATAAGTTTTATAGAGCGTGAGATGTTGAGATTCGTATCTTAACCCGTATATACTTAAAAAGTGATCAGTATAAATTTGACATCATTGACGACAGTATCATTACTAACTATATAACTGACAATCTAGAACTAAATAAGGGTTTCTCATATTGAACAATCTTTTATTTTTTTCCGGTTGTTTCATGATAAAAAACTGATGGCATATTTTGATGTGCACTTTTAAAATGTGATTGCCACATACATACAATAGTTCAAATTTACATAAATATTCAAGAAAAAAGCTAAATCAATATTTCACTTAGACTGTACATGCATAATTATGTGCTGTCATAAACTATCATTTGTATGTGGACTTCGGCTATACAGAGTGTGTTGTAACATACTTACAAGTACTTTGCATGGGACGGGACACACATTGCTCCAGTTTAAGAGGGGAATGCGCGATTTTAATTGTAATATAAATGTGAGTTAAGTAGAAATTTGACCACAGGTCGGGTTACACCTCGTTTTCATAAATATATAAAGACTAACGGAAGCTATATTTTTATAAAGCCTAGAAGTCCGAGTGTTTAAGGGCGCTGGTCGTAATGCAGTGGGTGTTGCAATGATATCACAGAAGCAGGACATTAGAACCGTTTGCTATTGCACATTTGCAGATCTAACATTGTTAGGCTAAATTTTTATCGAAGATATGCAAACAACGCAGATCCGAATGAGGCTTAAAATTCCAACCCCTCGTTTCATGGGTAGTGTCATGCTTTCGGTATGTTAGTAATAAACATTTTGTCATGATAGTGTATTGAACAAGCTAGACGCTGTACCCTGCCTATATATATATATATATGAATAAAACTGCCTGTTACGCATTATAAGCATCACAAAACCACTGACCCTATTGATTTACCATCCACACAGGATGTGTCTTTGACAAACATATAAAACCATATACAGAAAAGAGTTTCTTCTAACAACGGTTACTCGGGGTTTTTTTCATTCCATATTTTCCAAAAGTCCGTTTTAACTGTGTTGGATCATGAATATATATTTACGTCTAGCCAATGGCAAAAATTCGCAGTGAGCAAGACTGGTGCATTGGAATTGCAATCTTCTTGCGTATTTACAGGTTTACCCAGAGCAAGCGCAAAAATACTCTATGCATTACTGTTTCTATTTACAACGCTACCCTTAAAACCAAAATCCTCAGTGTAGTTGAACAATATGTCCTGAAATTTTAGTAAATAGTATTACTAACACTACTTGTAAGTCTTTATAATAACTTGAACATGTTAAATATCCTACCTGTTTTCCGAAAGAAATGGGTAGTTATATTCCTCCATTTTGTAGAAATTGTAAGTTCACTTTACCATAACCATAAAAAATTATACGTTTGTTGATTTCAAATAAGGTTATTTGTACACAATATATGAATGTCTTAAATTATAAATGGTATTTAATATCCATAACACAATTGCATTTAAAAGGATGGGTAAGCCTACATATTTTTCTTATTATATGAAAGGTATGTCCCTGGCCTTTATTGTTAAAGTATACATACTTATATATCTATAATAAAAAGAAATCCGTGTCATTTGTAGGTCAAAATGGTTACATTTAATGAAGGTGAAATTCTTTGCGTGAAACAGGTTAATCTTAAAGAGGATTTTTAGTAATTGGGTGTACAGTAAATTTATTAATATTTCATGGAAGGGATTATCCTTAACTCAGGTATGACTGTATGCTGAAGTGACAACAAAATGATGCATGTTTAATAATTTCAACAGCACCCACACAAGTAGTACTTAACAGTCATCGCCCGCTCTGATAAATGCGTGTCGTCATCATGTTTTTTTTATATTCTCTAATTCTGGAATAAATGAAACGCCATTGAATTCGTTCATCTTCTGAGAAGAAGCAATCGGAAATTTATTTGGTATGTATGGATTAAGTTTCCAGAAGCATACATGTACATGCAGATTTAGATGTTATTGTCATAGCGTATATGCAGTGCAAAACCAAACGAAAACAAGTAAACTTTTGCAGTGTACAATAAGCTATTGGGAACACAAATGTAATAGTGTGCATCGATTGATTAGCAACAACATTGTGAACGAAAGAAGTTATATTCCAAATGGAGGTTGTTTATATTTTTAGGCCTTTTTCTGATTATAAGGTCATTATAACTTATGTTTTCAAATTCCAATCAGCTTTAAGATATTCAGGAGAAAAATTGTAAAACTGTAGACAGTAGACCTTTTAGAATGATGACAGACTTTTCAACAACGTACCACTTTATTTTTAAAACTGTAGTTTAATATAAAATAAAGGCCCAGATACAAAATAAACATGTACATTCGCTGCAATTAACATTCTTCTGATAGGAAATGTTGAATGTTTAACAAATGTCATATGGATTTTATTACTGAAAATTGCGGGTAATTATATACACGAGTAGTAAAACAGCAAAACTTACAATCCATTTCATGATTACTCACAAATGTGTTCGACGGTGAAAATATTTCAATTATGTTTTGTTCGCTTTTAATGCAGTTAAAATAAATAAGGGTATGGCTTTCTTTTTATCTTAGGTGGCTCCAACTTTATTGTTAAGATTGAGGAAAGGTAAAATACTGTTTGGTTTAAAGTACGAAAGGGCAAGGCTATAGTTATATTGTAAGGGTGGACTAAGGTTCATACATAAGTTTATGACTAGAGCCAGTTTTTACGAAGCGACTTTAGGTACAGAAACGAACCATATGATCTGTGTGTTTTGAATTGAAAGATGACTAAAATTATCAATGTTTTACATCATATTCTTATTTGACATGTGAACTATTAATTCAAGGCTTCTGAATATGAATAAAGGTTAGTTGTATTGCCAATGAGACAGCAACTAAAAGACACACAACAAGAGACATTCAAAGGTCACCATACATAATCGCGGCAAGTGTCTATAAAGTACAAATATCAATATTTACAAAAGTTTGAATAAAATTCGTTTAAGGACAAAAAACAGTAAGATGTAAGTGAAGACTAGGTTCTCTACATGTAATCTTATTAGGTGGCTCTCTGCAAATGTAATCTCTTTAAAAGGGTGGATTTTTGATGTAACAAACAGGTTTAAATGCGAACGTACATGTAACTAAAGGCTTTAAGATTGGGACATCTTACATCTGTCATTTTTTTTATCTTCCCGCTTCTCCATCCCACACAACATGTGACAATAAAGAGAAGTTTTAATCATTTTATTTTTATTTCAATAATACCTTCATTTGTCTTATTCTCTTCTTTGTACTAAATATGATCACATTAAAAGTATTGACTCAATTCTTTCCTAATGTTGTAGCTTTTACTTTTTTAAAAACACTGAAATTTCACGACATTAAAATTTGCAGATATATAGACAAGGTGATACTCCATTTTCTCAATTCCGCTACCAAAATTGATGAAGGTTTCGTTTAATGACTGAATAGGGAAATGTGTGGTGTTCCTTGATCAGGTGGATTAAAGTGAAAGGACTCTAAATTATTTGACCTACGTATTCAGGTATTTGGTTTTAATGTTCTGATAAATTTACCTGTAGGCCTAGTTTTTGTTTAAGCTGAGTGTGTATGTAAGGAGATTTCATTCCTTGACCTTTGAAGAAATAATACAAATTTGTTCTTCCTTCTTTTAAAATGTATAATGACAAAAGACAGTAACAGCTTGAAATGACTGAAATCAATAAAAGGTGTTTACTAAGTAATTATTTTTATATTTGTGTAATAGCTGACTATAATTTACACACAAGTTATGTAAAACTGCATAATAGAAAGAAGGATGATGCAAGATTTTGTTTTATAAAAGATGTAAATAGCTGCTTACGGTTATTCCAACACAGTGCTTATCAATTTCCTGTCTTCGAAGTTGCTATATATTACATAATTTCATATTTAACGAGTAAAACTGATAGTTAAACTAACTTACCTTTAAACATTATTTATATCAATCTTAAACCTATACAGAATCACTAAGTATTATCATATTTCCATTTTCTGATGCATGAATCATTCCATATTTTCAGTTTTTATTTACGTTACGACGCAATGTCAATATCTAGGTCTTTGTGTGTATTTATCCTTGAAGGCATACTGTAAACTACGGAGTGGTAGAATGGATGGATTATGTGACAAATAGCGTACAAAGAAAAAGAAAAGAAAAATGACTTCTGCTTTCGTTTGAACAAAAAAATATTTATCCGTAATATTAATTAAAGAAGACGGAAAACCAAATTGTACAAATGGGAGTTTTCAGTACAGAATAGATTATAATTGAATATACTTTTATTCCAAATTAATGAGTCCACAAGGGGCAACACGAGATTATAACGCCAAACAAACAATTAAAACAAATACGAAGGACAATACTGAGGAAAGAATTACTTGATTGATAGAAAATAAATTAAAAAAAGGAACAAATAAAAACTTCATAAATAAGACAAGCACAGATCTATAATTCGAATTTTCAAGTATACTGAAGAGCGGGAAATGAAAAGTATGATGTAGACTTTTTCAAATACGACTGGTGTTTTTTTTTTATAACCATGATAACCTTCATCAGGTTCGCTCGATACCAAAAGTTTAGATAGCAACATAATATATATAACATTTGAGAGCATAAAACCAAAATAGGTCTAAACAGAATATGTGAAACTTTCTAAGGTAAAAAGGTACAACATATGTTTCCTACACTAACTGAACATGAATAAGAAAAGACATAAATCTTGTTTAATTGTCTGTTACTTTTAGAACATATCAAGGACCTCTGACTCCACCAAATGCTTCCATATATTCATTGTTTTCTACATTTGTCTTCTATTCTTTCATTTTCTTTGAACAATGTTTAATATTCTGTAGTTCCTTATGTTCATGATCCTTTTCTCAAATCTGTGAGATTAATTTTTCTAGACATTATAAAGACCGGAAAGTTCTAAAGCGATTGTAAATGTAGAGTACCTGTTGCGATGATTGAGTACAGGTATCATGGTCTTAAAAGCATTTGCTGACTGACATGCCACACTTGCCAATTATACAGATAATTAAATAGATAACATACATCTGTGTTAATCATGACAAAAGTCATTAACAAAAAGACGAAGCATTCATTTACAAAATGATGTAAGTTTTCCTACGATAAAAAAAAACACAAAACATTTCGTGTATATTAAGCGTGAATTTTGAATGACGCTAATTGATTACCAAGAATTTTTTTTTTATAATTGATAAGCAAACAAGCAAGAAGTTATTGGGTTTCTACTATGTGGTTTAGCGAGTGGGGAGTTGGGGTGGGGAATTGGGCTTGGACCTCCTCTATTTCCATATTAAACTTAAAATTATAAAATACTTTCTTCAAAATGAAGTCTAAAAACCCAATCACATCCCAAAACCTTCGAGTAAAGTGGCAACCAAAAAGTTCATACATGTATAACCACGATTCTATACGTGACCAGCATGAAATCATTCAAAGGCAAAATAGTTTTGAAAGTGTTGATTTTTGTTTTAATTCGAGGTATACTTTTAGTGCATTTTATTGGAATTATAAGATGTATAGGTAATTTTACGGAGTCTTTTTGAGGTATCTAATCTCTTTCTTTTCAAAATCGTCCTGAACATACATGAAATATTTGCTACTGGATGTTAAGCAACCAACAATCAATCAATCTTTTCACTCATAAACTAAACATTCTTAGTTTTTAAGCGAGAAGCCCAAGTTTCCACAGAAATATACTCCATAAAAAAACGTATTTCTACATGTATATCATTTAACAAATTAAAATGAAATGTTTACAATGAAAAATTCAAAATCTAAAGTGAATATATAGCCAACTGAGTCAACATCTCAATCGATGGTAATAATAAAACAAATGACAAATCAAATACATATTTGAATGCTTGATGATATAACCGGTCCAACATAAGATTTTAACACCTGACTTGAGCAGATTCCTCCAGAGCTTACACCAGAGCTTACACTTGTTTTAATAGATCAAACAAGAGAAGTGCACCATCTGTTTAATCATTTCTCGATAAACATCTGTATCCATTACTGTTAAAACGATAACGTTGTCAGTTTAGAATCGAATTTATTTCCAACCCTAGTCTGTGAATAGCCTCCTAAATTGTCTGAGATTAATGTCGAAATCAGTGTAACTGTAGCCTGTTTTGTTTGTCATAGTTGGCAAATATTTATTCCCATGCAGCTACTTAAATAAAATCCGGTGATGATGCGTTTCATTGAGATTTTTCCACATTCTCTTTTTACAGACATAAAAAAAAATCCGTAAGGGTTCCGCAAAACCATGTGCTTCTGTTATGTTGAGTGCCAAAAAAACAACTAAGTCTATTTAACCTCAGTCTAAATTTAAAATGTAAACTGCCAAAAAATAAGGTCAATCTATCTGCTTTACGGTGCGTTTTTATTTAGTTTTTGTTGTTGTTGTATAATTCGCTCTACAGACATAAACAAAATACCCGTAAAGGTGCCACGAAACTCTGTGCTTCTGTCAGTGTAAAAGTATAATGTTGATTGCCAAAAAAGCAAGGTCTGTTTAAACTCAGACTTACTCACTGAATGTAAATGCATGGTAAGTGCAAAAAAGTAAATACATCTATCAGTAAAATATGGATTAAAAAAATAAAAACATATTTTCAATTTTTTGCTTCAGAAGTCATCTGTTAATCATTTAAAAGCTTCTGTTGAAGATAATTCAAATTCTCTGAATGTTGGACAAGATTTTTTATTGATATAGCCATTGTGTAGATTTATCTAAAAATGTGCATTGCAGAAAAAGTCAATTTTCAGTAAAATGCGGAGAAGGCAGGGGAAAAAATATTCTCAAAATTTTGTCAAAAAAGGTCTTTTGAACCTGGCAAATTTCGTTAAATTGCATGAAGGTTTGACAAAGTTATTTATATTTGAAAGACTTCGATGAAGGGTTACAGTGTCTTGCCTTTGCGACTTTCGCCAGGACCTGGCGAGACAAAAATGTTAAGTGTGAGGAATATGATTCTTTTCGTTAAAAAATAAACGAAAAAAACAAGCAAACAAAACAATACAATACAATACACAGATAGCTAAACAACAATTATTTTTTGGCTGTTACGATTTCCCGTATAATCAAATGTTGATGAAGTAAGTAAACATAAAGACTCGAATTAATATAACAGAACAATGAAACTTAAAACTTAACCGTACAACTTTCAGTGTAAATTATGAAATAAAAACAATATTCATACTAACAGATATAAAACAAAGGATAAATATGCTTCAGATAAGTTGCATATGTCAATAATTAAGCAGATTATCTCCAATTAATCACATCGATATATCATGACGAAACATACTTACATTGTGTTATTGTTATCCATAAAATTTAATCCATATGCCATTAAAGCTCGTCCAGCCATTGTCTAACAAATATGGTACCTCTAACATGAAATCTATAAACAAAGACACAACTTCTGAAATGTTACAATTTCTCTAATTGTAAAATGTGTGTATTTGTGATCTACACACAGAAGCCGGATTGAAAGTGATTTGAAATTTGACCCCTCTCAGCTGGGTTAACCGCGGTAAAACAAAGATTTATATTAATTGGCTACTTATGTTGTTGCCATCTAAAAGTAAAAGCTGTTCGGCTTTCGGGAATCAGGAAATATTAATCACTTGTACTTGAAATTTTACACCGGTTAAACTGGTGAGAAATTATGTAATATGTAAGATTTCCCAAGCCTAAACGCAAATAAACAAATGCATGTCTAATTACTTTCACTGTAAAAGTTTAATGTATTTTCACACAGGCCGTTTCCTCAGTTGTGTTATCACAAATTCTGCTCTAAGCAAGTTCGTTTTTTTCAATAATTTTGTAACCATTACTCTTTACAGCACGTGTGCCTTTGTTCGACAGATGTCAGAAAAAAAAACCTTCATTAATTTTATTAGATATTTTGTCAGCCTTTTTTGTCTCAAAAATCAATACAAAAAAAGTTGCGTATTCTTTCCTAATAATTTTACAATAATGCATTGGAACTGATAAAACTTCATTGTTCTAGACAAAGAAATAGACCAATATAGTGTAAAAAGCCTGCCTCTTGCAGATACTTTCAATTTATTCTCATAAGACAAGAAACTGAGAGAAATATACTGTATACCCATGATATATGTATAATTTTGTAATAGAAATCTAGTCAATATGCTTTTTAAAACATCTGTAGATTTCTAAATTTTGTTTTTTTTTAAAATACTCTAGAAATATTTCCAATTTGTCAAAAGAGCCATGCAGAGCTCACAACAACAATCGGTGACTTTTTTAACCAGTATATTTTAGATGCAAGAATGTTAAAATGTGGAATTCAAATAATTCTTATAATTCAGTATTAGTTAAAGATATTTAGCACTAGCGTTAAGAAATAATTTACTTGATAAATAATTAATATAAATCTTTACACTTTTAAAATTTGTCTTATTACTGAAATATACAGAATAACGTATGAGGGTTGTTCTCCTTTAGATCTAATTATACGATGTTGCTACAATAGATTAACATCCAAGCAACTGTTTAAAAAAATATTCCATGCTGTATGCAAATTTTGAAGACTGTTGCGAAACAAACAAACACAAAAAAAGTACATATGCAAAGAAACCTACATCATAATATACTAACATTTTGTCGTTGAAAGCACATGTTTTAATAGTATTTTCAATTAAGAATATTAAACATCCATTCCGTTCCAATGCGCAAGTTTAGAAGATTAAGCTAATCTAATTTCATGTTTTAATTTGTTTTTACATTTTACTTCAATTGATCTATTATTCGTATATGTCCACAAATAAGACTGTATGTTCTATTGGTGATTATTATCTATGTGCTAATTTTTCTGTAATCCCTTAATTGAATTTGTCACTCATTTAGAGAAATATTTGTCAAGTCTATTCAAGTAATTTTTAGTTTGTTACATAAACTGTTTTATTATTTCGATGTGGCAGATTGGATTTAGTATTACACTAAGCAGTTCCAACTCTGAACAATTGTATTCCATGCTGAACTTATTAAATTATACTTTGCTCTAACCAGAGTCGTCTTTTGTTGCAAGAGTTAGTCCCAGAGTCAGAGGCGGTACAGACTAGTCGTATTGTTTATTGTGTGTGTGTGGTTCCAGGCCAACACATTACCCAGTCACAAGATACACCCAGTTTCTATTTGTGACAGTATTACAAACTTAAACAAAATATTGTAGGCATCTAATTTTAAAGACGCCCTGAATTAAGGATTCTAAATGTATCCATAATCCCCTACAGCACTTGAACTAAATAACAGACTGTTGGCCAGGGTTATAATTCATAGAACAGACAAGGTGCAGTGGCAAATATTTCATGTATATTTTGGACACAGAGAGGGTAACCCCGGCACCCTTTGCAAAAAAAATCTTCTTTTTCTTCTAGGTGCCTTCGGACTCTATGTTTTATTAGAGGAAATTGGTCCTGAATATTACATTCTGAATAGTAGTTTCACTTTCTATATTCGGTATTTAGTCTTTCTTTTCGGACGGGGACTCCAAGCAGACAACATGCATGTGTATAACGGCACTTTAGATTTTCTATTTAAATACAGAGAGTTGCCGGTCCTGTACATGAATAGATCGGTTAGAAAGCAAGGTTTGAATTGTAATTAGATTGGAAAGTCTAATTCAAGGGGTGAAAATATAGGTAGCAAAAGGAGGAGTTCCACGGGGAACATTGCTATCTCATGAATTCTATATTTGAAAGTTGTTTTTTTTTATTTCATTTAAAAAACTAAAGGTTGGACAAATTGTGAATGGTCTTTCCTCCTTTCTCCCATGCCAAAAAAATTCATCCGTTGAAATTTTGCAATCATCCCATGGAGCAAATTAAACGGATGATTAATATTGACCATTTGGTACATGGCCGTGTTAAAAGCGACACGTACATCAGCGGCAGTTCATAAATTAATTTGTTGAATGAAATCAAATATTTAACCACTAATGAGTGCCATAGGAGGTCCATCGGAGATTTGAGCGAGTATTTCTTGGCATGAATACGAAAAGCAAAGGAGTATCGCTTTTGTTGCTGTTCTTCATATCAAAAGTCACAGAGATGCTTTCGGCGCAGACCAAAGCTTACCTGAACTCACTATAAGTGTAAGACGCTCCAAAGCATCGGTTTCATTTGAATTCTCTGCTAGATCCTGATCATGATAACGGACGTAAGTTCTAAGAAACAGGGAATTATGAAGAAAATATATATTTTTCTACATTAACTGACTTGTTCAATGTTGGTTGCTTAACGTCCAGTAGCAAATATTTCAATTACATGCAAGAAGAGTACAAAATGGCAATAAATCTTTTATGTGGTTTCTGGAAAGCGGGTCGATCGGGATGAAAATATTTTTAAAGACAATTAGGATAGAGGCAGTATAGTTTTTTCACCACTTTCGTACCCTCTAAAAATATCATAAGGGACTAATAAGGGATATTTAACGTGAAGAGTGAGTAGTTCTTTCCCTGAACTGAGTATCGGAGTTCGACTTTCTAATTCTGACCGACGTGATGTGAATAAACTCATCATAGATACAAAGATGAAATTTTTGTACGCCAGACGCGCGTTTCGTCTACAAAAGACTTATATCAGTGACGCTCGAATCAAAAGAGTTAAACAGGCCAAATAAATTACGAAGTTGACTGCGTATTTTTATTCATCACAACAGACATCCCTGGCGGTGATCGAGATGCACGAATCTCTCAGACGGATAAACTGGAACCAATTCAGTCTATATAGAGGGTAATCTAGGGGTTCTACATTCGAATTCTATACACAAATCAAAACTGTATACTCAACCCTATTTTCTTAATTATGATAGATCGTCTTGTCTGCGCACTGTATACATTAGACCGACATTGAGTGAGAAAGCATGACTTCTGTTATAGAAATTTAAGTGCTTTCCGTCAAAGTGGTATAGCGCAATGGTATGCCAATGATCGAAATAAGTAGAGGGATGATTGAGTATTCAGAATTCTTTGACACGTTTGGCGAGACAACAGAGAACACACACTAGTACTAAAAATCAGTTCACGAAAAGCACCAAACTCAAAATTGGTATTGTATAGACTACAAAAAATAGTCGTTGGAGTAAATCAATATTAAAAATAACGTATTAAACCATGGTCGACTATGACGGCACGTTATTGTCACTTTAAATGAATTTGTGGATATCCTTTATATTGTCAGCACTGAAAATTTAAATTAGTCACTATGACTATTCAGTTAGTCAAATATTAGCCGAAAGGTAGTCAACAGCATATATGACTACCCATCAAGTCATTATGACTACCTGCATAGTCAATTGACTATGTTAGGTGGTCACAGCACCACGTGGTGTAGAGTATCGGTTTTCACGCGCACTCTTTCGCGTTCCCTTTGTTCCCTAGATCGTGTAGATGTAAACAAACCAGGAGGCACGAAACTGCTATTTTGTCAATTAAACCAATTGTTTAAAGTAAGTATCATGTACATTTGTTTTAATTCTAACTTACAGAAATTAAATTTGAGAAAAAGAAGTGTAATGAATGTTATATATCGGCACATGTTGACGTAAATTAATGACAATACAAAACAGAGGGAGATATGTATACAGGATATCAATTTTGATACACATACAACGTATTTTCGATTGAAAAGAGTATTTAGCAATATCTATTTTTCACCTGATCAAAAACTGTTAAAAATAAACACTGCAATCGATATTCACAACAATGAATTAAAAAAAACCCTCAGGGTAGCTGTCAAGATCCTGGTGCTTACATTACAATGCTGTGATATAACATGGGTGGCTGTCAAGATCCTGGTGCTTACATTGCAATGGTGTGGTATAAGATGGGTGGCTGCCAAGATCCTGGTGCTTACATTACAATGTTGTGTTATAAGATGGGTGGCTGTCAAGATCCTGGTGCTTACATTACAATGTTGTGTTATAAGATGGGTGGCTGTCAAGATCCTGGTGCTTATATCACAATGTTGTGGTATAAGATGGGTGGCTGTCAAGATCCCGGTGCTTACATTACAATGTTGTGGTATAAGATGGGTGGCTGTCAAGATCCTGGTGCTTACATTACAATGTTGTGGTATAAGATGGGTGGCTGTCAAGATCCGGCAACTTACATTACAAAATAATGGTATAAAATGAGTGACAAAATCACTAGATCACAGATTTTAAAATTTGTTTTTTCTTTTAACTTTTAACATGACTGATATACTTGTTTATTGTTATATTTTAGCTTCTAAAATGATATAATTATATTTTTCAGCAAATGAAGACATTGCTATTTGTATGAACACAGCTGAGAGATTTTTGACCAGAGAGATTATTACACTGACACAGTTGATACCGAAAAAATATCTGAAATAAACACTTCCAATTAACAATGAGTTTATAATAAATATATTTTCTTTATTTGATTTTTAGACTTTAATATATGTCACTGAGTAATGGTTACACATGAAAATCATGAAGATATAGGAAGGTTTTGAACATTGAGCACTTTGTGGTCCTATACGGTTTCGATGTTAGTTTTGCTGTTGTGGTATTTTTAATGATATTATATTCCAGATGTATTTGTCAATCCTATGGAAGAGAAACAACAAAAAGTAGAATAACAG